TTATGTGGCGAGCGACGATGAACTCGTGTGGTGAAGAAGGCTCGGATCCTCGTCCAGGATAACTTTACCAAGTTCAGGCAGCGCTCTTCCCCGTCTCTGCATCCGCCCAATGCACTTCTCGCCATGTTCGCATGACGCATCAATGCAGGGCACGACGTTCTCGCCCAACCCTCTTTTAGATGGTCACCTGGACGGCTTCGCGATCTACGTGATTTTGAGAGGATCACTCGCACCCGCTGCTTCCGGTCGCGATGTCCGAATCCACATCCGCGTTTGTCTCCGGAAAATGCGGGAGCACCTGAGGGTAGGTGTAAAGCTGGCATGAAGTACTCCTTCATGATTGCAACCCCAGTTCACCTCGGTCAAGACCATGCCCACGAGTACATAGTGCTTGCATCTAGCGCCCCGAGTCGGGGCTTAAGCTGGATTCGTACAGCTCACACAGTTGGCACGGAGGTCGCGTGGTACTTAGGAGGCACAGATGTCATTCTTGCTCGACGCATCCGAGCGCTGATCGAGAACTTACATTATCAGCAGGCATTTTGTTCGGCTACGTGCCTCTACAAGGGTGCTGCGGCCAGCTCGGGTCAGAACAAGCGCCTGGATCCGTCGTTGAAGAGCTTGCACGCGTGCGTCTGTCGCGATTTATGTGCGCATTGTCCCCTCCCAAGATCACTGTCTGACCACTATGAGCTTCCCAAATCCGAATCAATCGCAACTGTCGTCGTCAGAAGGCGCGCCATATGGCAAGCTGTTCTTAGTACAGCAGTATCAAGCTGGGAAGACGCGAATTCTGAAGTTTGAGGTTGTGTTTGACAGATTACCGCCTTCCTTGGTCCGCGGCACTTCGCGACATATCCGGCTCTCGTCAGTGGCCAAGCGCCTATCTATAGTTCTCGTTTGCGGACCTGCTTCGACGCTGAAGCATCGGGTTATGACACAGCCAGATACCCCGGTAAGGGTCTGTAGGTCTGAGGTTCTAGCGTACTGTCTCTCTCAAGCCCCATGTACGTGATGCGGGATTCTGAAGTCAAGACCGTTCACAGGTAGACGTCAGGGTGCCTTCGCGCGGTATCTCTGTATGTCGAGATATTCAGACAGACGCAAAGCAGTTGATTGTCTCGGTGGCGCCCTTGCTGGTCATCTGAGCGCAGTGTGACAAGCTGATGCGCATATCGTAGAGATGGATCTGTATCTGGCGGTCTAAAACCCGTCGAGTCATGTCATGCGCCCACTTGTAAAGCCTTGTGTGTTTACAGACGGTGAGTCTTCCGTTCCCGCCCTGCCAGGGTGGCTGCGCCTGTGCTGTGTCCCGTTGATTTGGGCCTGACCTTCAGCATAGACCGCGAACCATGCGGGACGAGCTAAGTCAGGAATCCGCGGAAGATACAGAACGAAGGGGAACTACACGACGATGTGAACGCAGACCGTCGGTGCTTCTACCTTTGGAAAGGTGCCTCGCCGCACTCTCGTTATGACACTGATTCGGACTATTTTTGCCAGGTCTGAGGCCACTGCCACCTCAGCTATAAGATGTGCTGTTGATGCCTCATTGAAGGTTTGAAAATGATGCACATCGGTATGTTTGACGGTTCTGTGGTGGGCACGCTATCAACGAGAACCACGAACGACGAGAAGGACTTCAGATCGCAGTGATATTCTACTTCTGACCACCGTGGTGACCAAGCCGATGCATCGTGTTCATCCCTGGAGATACTCTGTGCCAACAGCCGTAACCACAGCCGAAGCGCTTCTCATCTGACAACACGCGTATCCGAAGCTGAGGACCTCCATCTTGCACCGCCGCGGACCTTCTCCATACCTAACGTTAGACCGAGCGCTGTGAATGAATCGTTCACCGTTGTCTAGACCAGCGCTCTCGCGTCTACGGTGGACCCAACCAGTTCTGTAAGTTGATCTTGGGGTACAGTTGTAGCCTGTAGAACCAGTTTCGCGCATGAAACTCAACATGCTGCTCGCTGTCACTCAACACTCGTATGAAATGGCGTAGACTCATGATGAAACGTTAACTGCTTCTACCCGCTGACTACTGCTACTACCATATCCATAGATGCGGTCGGGGTATCAAGTGACGTTCGGGACTTGCCGTTATGCGTATGACATACGCTCCTATGAATCGTGACGAGGGAACGTGTTTTAGCCACGAACGGCGTTAGGCGGCTGTTGGAATGTTATCTGATCACTCGTATATGCATCTAGCCGTGCTTTTTAGGGTGTTCGAAGGCTATGCACGTTGATTTCAAGCAGCCTGATACTGTCACCACGGTGAAAGTCACGTCGCATGATTGTGGTTATAACCCTAACCCGAATCTCGCGCGTGGCGTGGTCGCGGCCCCTCCTTGATGGACACGCTGTCCCCCGGATGTATCTTCAGTCGTAGACATGAACGAGACAGTATGCACCAATCCCTCGTACAGACCTCCTGCGCCGGTGCCTCACAATATCAAAGAATGAGGGGCAACTTATCGTGTTGTGATGAGTGAGAAGCGAGAATGGGCGGATGATGCATGGAATGTCGCTGGCTGGCACTCTGCTATAACAATGGCATTTACCTGAAGTAGACAGCCTCACGACTCAACGATTACCATTTGTTAGCTTTCATCGCGGCGGCCTTCAGTTTGGAAGCATCAATGTCCTCGTTCTCTCAGTACATACCCTTTGCGATACCCTTTTCCAGGCATCAAAAGACCAACACATACATGCTCAACCAGAGCTCTATGACACAAGACACTTCACTTCGCTGAAAAGAGGGCGCATGGCGTCGATGCATGAGTCCAATCAGATCCCTCGTTGAGAGTTGTTTGAAAAACAAGTCTAGCCACGAGGAGTCGCGCGCTACTACCCAAAGGCAAGGGCTGCAAAGCAGTCACTTGAAGCGCCTTCGCTTCTCGGAGACGCGTCCGACGGGGCAACGTAGTACTTAGAAGCGAGGAATCGGGAGATCCCGGTCAATGTTCTTCACTTAGAGACATCGATGAACGCCCGCACGTACAGCGCGCCTACCCAACGGTCAGGTGAGCACAAGTAGAGGAGTTACTGAGGTGAAATGTAACACAGTAGCGTACAAGTTGTTCGAGAAGATGCACGATGTTGAACACGGGTTGAGGTACTATTACAAATGGGGTTTATGCTGTTTCATTGAGTTCGTGACCGGATGATTGCGTGGAACAGTTCGTTGGGGCGGGGGCGGAGGCAGAATAGGTTACTGCGACGCCGAGTCAGATCAACATCCGGCGGCAGGAGTAAAGATAGACGACGTACATGCGACGGAGGGGAGCTGGAGACGGCCGAGCTGGTGCGGGCGATCTCGGAGAGGTCGATGTCTGGTGCAGTCCCCAGTCAACATGAGGTGGCACCACATTGCGTTACATGCACGTACCACCCTTGGAAAGGGCACGCTTGCGCGCAGCGATAGCCTTGCTGCGCTCTTCCTCGCTGATGGTGCGAGGCATAACCGGGCGCTCGGCTTCAACGTCCTTCTCCTCGGTGACAGCTAGGAACGAGTGTGAGCCACACTCAAGTGGAGACGCGGAAGGTGATAAGGAAGTTGAACATACCAGTCTCGTTATCGAAGACGTCGGCTTCGTACTCGTAGCGCGCCTCGTCGTCGACGGTGCCCCAGTTGTGAGCGCCTGCGCCACCCTTGCGCATATTGCCGTTCAGGCCGTTGCGCGAGACGGAGGCGTCCTTGGCGATGGCGCGGGGGTGGATGGCGCGTTCGGTGCGAGTCATGATGCACAAGAGAGATGCGGATAAGACAATCGAGGGAGATGAGGGTAGTGGTGGTTGAGTGATGAGCATGCGTAGATGGAGCGTGCGGTATTATATATGCCACTGGCGGTACTGCCCGGCCGAGCATGAGACCTGGGTCACGCGAGCCCCAGACCACTGCGCCTTGGCCACAAACAGCTTACGTGTCTTCGCGTTAAGGAATGAGGCAATGTCTCGGCGGCCTGTAGTCAACTTATCGGGACGGTCCGAGTGTTGCGATTCTTGCAACCGTCTTGCGCCCACTTACAGGAGCTTCTTGACGCGGACAAGCGGTCAAAGCACGTTTGTTTCGGCCTTCTCCATTCTTTCTGTTCGTTTGTGGCTAGAATAGCCTGGGATTCTCCATTGTATTCGTAGAGAAGAGATGCATGGTAAGGTTGGCAAGGCCAATGGAGAGGTAGAGATGCTGGGAGTTTGAGAACAAGGCGCGGGTCGTGCCGCAGCCACCTCGCGCAGAATGCGACGAAAGGCGGCCAGGCTTTTCTCGCCGCGACCGCGACTTGGGCTCGAGTTGTCGAGTCGATGTACACGCTCTATCTCCCCATTTGGGCTCTACAAGATACATCCTCATGTTATTGAAGAACAAAACATGCTATCGTGTGCGCCCGGGGCAGAATTGCGGGGAAATTGAGTGACGTAGCGTGCTTACACGTGCTAGATTGGCACAGCGGCTACCTGTCCGAGCAGCATCTGCGGCGTCGGGCAACAGGCGCCTACTGCCAGCTCGTCCCCGTCCTCGATGCTCTGACTGCCGCTGTGCTACCATATCTATCTTTTGTGTCTTATACATTTTTGACCCTCTTGCCATTGCATAAACTATAGCGAAACCTCCAACGTAGACTGCGCCCGCTAGCAGCAATCATGTCGCAATACCCGCCCGAGGTGCGTGCTACCCGATCTATCTTATCTATGAACGCATTCATAACCCGAATACAGGCAGACGAAGCTCAGCACGGGCACTACAATGATGGACACACCCCGTACTACGTCTCCCCAGGACAGCCCGAGAACCATGAATCCTACGATCCCTACGCACCCGCGCCACCTGTCTCAGCACTGTACCCAGCACCGGAAGAAGCACCCTACGGCCCCAACCCGACCAACTTTCCTCCTCACCCTCAGTCACCCCCCGTTCAACACAGCTACATGGCACCCACGCCCTTTGCCGGCGTGTACAACTCTCCTCCACCGGGTGCAGACCAGCCGCAGATGTCCGAGATCCAAGGACGGCCGCCATTCTTCGTGCACTCGCTCTCACCGCCTCCGAGCAATAATAATCTGCTCAACGTCAACGCCGCGTATGGACAGGGTGCACCTAATGAACCCCCGCGCGAGTCATACGCGAGCTACGAGCTCGTCGACCGACCTCCAGAAGGCCAGATAGTGGGCCATGAGGGAGAGACGTTGTTATCCCCACCCTCGGGTGAATGGCAGCCTGGGATGCCCATGCCCGGAGACTACAGCACGGATGGGCAAGTGACGAACATTCGTTACGGTCGTATCCCGCAGCGCGTACCGCGACGGTACAAGACCACCAAGAAGGTCGAACTCTACCACGGAAACTTCATCCTCGATAGCGCCGTTCCGACAAAGCTTTTGAATCTGTGTTCACTCAAGGACGACCGCGAGTTCACACACATGCGCTATTCAGCTGCGACTTGCGATCCGAACGACTTCAGGGACTCGGGCTTTACGCTGCGGCAGGTGCACTACGACCCGCCACGGGGGACGGAGTTGTTCATTGTGATGACTATGTACAACGAGGACGAGAAGCTCTTCACTCGAACGATGCACGGCGTCATGCGCAACATCGCGCACTTGTGCAAGCGCGAGAGGAGTAAGACGTGGGGAAAGGATGGGTGGAAGAAGGTCGTGGTGTGCGTCGTCAGTGACGGGCGCAAGAAGATCAATAGTCGAGCGCTAAGCGCTGTTGCGGCTATGGGCGTCTACCAAGAGGGTATCGCAAAGAGCGTCGTGAACAACAAGCCAGTCGTCGCGCATATATATGAGTACACGACGCAGATCTCTATCACGCCGTCGAACAAGATCGAGGGCGCAGAGCGCGGGATCGTGCCCGTCCAGGTCATCTTCTGCTTGAAGGAGAAGAACCAGAAGAAGATCAACTCGCACCGCTGGTTCTTCAACGCATTCGGCCCCATTCTGCAGCCGAACGTCTGCGTCCTGCTCGACGTTGGTACCATGCCAGGCCCTTCGAGTATCTACCACTTGTGGAAGACATTCGACATCAACAGCAACGTCGGTGGAGCATGCGGCGAGATCGTGACGCTCAAAGGCACATTGGGTCACAAGCTGCTCAATCCTCTTGTCGCGGCGCAGAACTTCGAGTACAAGATGTCGAACATCCTTGACAAGCCGCTCGAAAGCATCTTCGGGTACATCACCGTTCTTCCTGGAGCGTTCAGTGCATATAGGTACATTGCACTCCAGAATGACGTGAAGGGCGAAGGTCCACTGCAGAAGTACTTCTTGGGCGAGACTATGGTCAGTACCGCTCACGCTCATCGCCTTTCCGATTCTAACTGCGCGGCAGCATGGAGCAGGGGCAGACATCTTCACTGCGAACATGTACCTCGCCGAGGACCGCATCTTGTGCTGGGAGCTCGTCAGCAAGCGCGGCGGCAGGTGGCTCCTACACTACGTCAAGTCCGCCTATGGCGTTACCGATACACCCAGTCAAGTTGCCGAGCTTGTTTTACAACGACGACGCTGGCTCAACGGCTCGTTCTTCGCCGCTGTCCACTCGACCTTCCACTTCCACTATATCTATCGCTCCTCGCACAGCTTTGGGCGCAAGTTCTGGTTACACATCGAGCTCTTGTACCAAACGTTCAACCTCATCTTCTCGTGGTTCGCTATGGTACGTCTGCTCAACCTCATTGTTACAGATTTATGCTCATGGATGATAGGGCAACTTCTTCATCGCCTTCTACATTCTTACAAACGCCCTCGACGACCCCTCCATCATCGGTGGTAGCGCGATCAAAGTCATCAACACGATACTACAATACGCCTACGTCGGCCTACTCCTCACTTGTTTCATGCTCTCCATGGGCAACCGGCCACAGGGCGCGAAATGGAGCTACACCCTGGCGTTCGTCGGCTTCGCCGTACTCACGGCGTACATGACCTTCAGCACGGTGTATCTCGCCGTGAAGAGTATACAGGGCATTGTCAATGACAACGCCGGAAAGCTCGACGTTTCCGACTTCTTCTCGAATGCGGTGTTCCGGAACGTTATATTCAGTATAGCGGCCACCATAGGGCTGTATGTCGTCGCTTCGCTTATTCACGTAAGAGGATTCAGTCGCCGTTGTGCGTGGCAAGCGAGCTGATGATGCGCCACAGCTCGAGCCATGGCACATGTTCACGTCCTTCATTCAATACACCCTCATTGCTCCTTCCTACGTCAACATCCTCAACGTTTACGCCTTCGCGAATGTGCACGACGTAAGCTGGGGCACCAAAGGCGACACCAAAGTCTCGACCGATCTCGGCGTCGTCCAAACCACCGCAGACTCCAATGCGGTAGAAGTAGCACTGCCAACGGCCGAGACGGACATCAACGCCGCATACGACGATGCTATACATGTTCTCAGCATGAAGCCGCCGAAGGAAGTCAGCACGGTCGATGCTGCAACGAAGCAGGAGGACTACTATAGGAGTTTTAGGACAAATGTGCTCATGGCGTGGGTGTTAAGCAATGCGCTGCTCATTGCCGTCGTCCTCACGGCCACGGGGAGCGCTGCGGACAAGGGCGCAAACAGCACGGTCAACGGCTATCAAATATTCATATTGTACTCAGTCGTGGGTCTGGCGCGTACGTACCCTCTTCCCGGAGTCTTCATTCAGTAACGCTAATGAGCCCTATATGCAGTTGTTCGTTTCATCGGCTCAACGGCTTACATCCTCGTTCGCATGTTCGCGGGCGAGTAGGCTTCCGACTGCCTTCTATCTTAAGCTTCAGGCGCCTAGACACCGCCGCCGACCCCTTTCAAAGCTTCTCAACCCACACGCGATGCCCTCATGCCTTCCATACCAGCTAGTTTCTTCTCGGCTCAAACAGTCACCCATCAGCACCCCCTCATGCCTTTACGACTCATACCACGATCACTCACGACCACGCACGACACGACCTGTACTTTGCTTTGGCTCTCGCTTCCATGGTTGCTGCCATCATGATTCACCCTGTATCATTATACCATAGTTGTCCCGGACTTACACCCAGTCGTCCCGCATCACTTGTCTCCTGTTACGAGTACACGCATACCCTGCTACGGACACCGAGCTTTGACGAACCTTAACACCCCATCATCTTCTCCCGCGTCTCGAGACTCGAAAACGTGATCAAGCGGCCTTCGACCCCCGTCGAACCTACAGACAAATACACGTTTATCAGGCGTGGCAGGGCCAGCGGAAGGCTCGAAGGCGCGAAACAAGCGCGCTCGCCACACGCGACCTCGAGAAGAACGGCAACGACCGACGGCATCGATAACGAGTGCATGAACTTTCTTCCTGATTTGGCTTCATCTGGGTCTGATCTGGCCTTGGCCAATCTCGACGCGCCACTTACGGATTTCATTACGCGAAACCATGACGCCACTCAATTAATTTTACGAGGAACGCGTCCCCGTCGATCTCTTCTCCCCTGCCTGCCAAACCGTAACAAGATCTGCAGTGCTTCCTGTCAAGAGTGGGATTCGGTGTTTGATTGCGCGCAAGAGTCTAGCCTAGCAAGTGAAAGTCACGCTAGAGTCCAAAGGGGACGAGATTCGAAGGTCGAAGAGCGAGGAGGGCGAGCAGTATAGGATACACACTGTGCGACGAGCGAACGGTGACGGAGTGGCTAGGAGATACTGTACAACATTCGATGTAGGGAAACGAGGGATTTCAATTCTGTTCTGTTCTGCTTGAGCTGGAGTTGGAGCGAGCGAGAGGAGGACGAGCAAGAGACCCTATACAGTGACGAATAAAAAAGCGGGGGATGTGAGCCGAAGTCCGAGAGGTTCGTAGCGAGCGAGTGAGCGGTATCAAAAAGCGGTGGGGCAAGGGAAACTTGGGTACGAGAGACTGCGTGAGGACTTTGCGGGTCGTATGGCACTTCGTTGTGGTCGTTGAATGACTTCTTCTGTTTGCTTCTTCTTCGGGTTGAGCCAGGGAGTCAAGGCCCTCACTCGCTGAGCTCGCCTTCCTCCTTCTGGTCGTCGACGACGCTGGCGAGGAGGGAGGCGACGGGCTTCGGCATCTCCTCGGGCGACGCGACCAGCGCGTCCTTTGCCACGAGAGTGGGCGCGTCGGTTTCCATTGAGTCCGGAGCCGAGGTCGGTGCCGTTGCCGGCATGGAAGGACCTCCGTCGTCCTGTCCATCCTCACGGTCGTCAGCCGGCGGCATGAGCACGTCCTTGTCGGCATCATGCTCAGGGTCGTCGAGGGCGGCCTCGGCAGTGGTAGCCGGCGTACCCTCTGCCTCGGCGTCGGCCTTCTTGTGGCCAGCACTAACGCTGGACGCGACAGAGGCCTCGCTCGCGCTAGAGTCCGCACGCCTGCGGGCGCCACGCGCAGCCGCGGTCGGGCGCGTCGCAGCAGTGCGCGAACGCGTTGTGCGGCGCGGTGCGGCCTCTTCCTCGACGTCGTCTTCGGGAAGAGGCACGTTGCTCACCACGGGCGGGGTCGCGTCGCCACGAGTAGCCGCCGTACCCCGCGCGCGCTTGGCGGGGTAGGCGTCGTCCTCGGGCTCGCGCCGCTTGCGCTTCTGGGCAGCCGGGACCGAGCCGCCGTTCGCGGTCCCGCTGCCCGCGGCACCGCCTGCGCGGCGCTTGCGGGGGCTCTTGTTGTCAGGCTTGGTGTTCTCGACGCCGTTGGTGGGGGTGCCAGTGGGCGCAGGACTGGTGCCATCATTCTCGCGCGCTTTGGCGCCGGCCGGCTTGCGGGCGCGCGAGGGCGCCACAGTCTCCTGCGGCGTCGAGACGGCCGGGACTGGCTCCTCGGGGTCGACGACGCTCGCGTTGAGGCTGAGGGGCGGCAGGGAGGCGGCAAGCGGGCCGAGAGGGTGGTAGAGGGACGGGGCGGGGCGTGTGGGAGGGACGTATTTGTAGACTGACTCGCGCGGCGCCTGCGGTGGCGCCGGCGCTAACGGTTGCTCTGGCTGGGCGACTGCCCGCGCCTTCTTCGGGTTCGTCGGCCGGTCGCCCTCGATGCGGAGGCCGTAGTCGTCGTTGAGCGAGGGGGACTTGAACGTCCGCTGCGGCTTGCGGCGAGACGGCGCGGTGGGCGGGCCGTGCGGGGCGGTCACTTGCTGGTGCACCTTGAGCGGCTGCTGCTGCTGTTGCTGCTGGACGGGGTGCTGGTGCTTGCGGGTGGGGACGAGGACTCCGCCGGCGGCGTCGAGAATGACGGGGCGACGCGAGCCGGGGACTGCCATCCTTACAATCGTCATGGAAGCTCTGCTCAAGTTAGCAGTGGCGCACGGCGGCAGCGGGCCCAGTGTCTACATACCGTAAACGGGTCGAGGTTCGGAAAGGTTGCGTTCTTGCTGGGGCTCTCGGGCTGAGAGCGCGCTGGTCGTTGGGCTGGTGCTGGTGGTCGTTCGCGAACGAGCTGGGATAATTTGGTTTTGTTCTGGCGAGACGGAATAGGCCTGAATTGAGGGCACAGGGCTAAAGCACCGGGCCGCAACACCGGATTCCTACCTGATTTACCGATAAGACCACAGCAACTTGGCCGGTTACCGTCCCTTCTGATACGTTCTTCCTCACCAGATGCACCCGCGCTCCCTCCTCCCCACACACAGCTCCCCGAAAGACGTATAGCGTACAGTAGAATAGAATGGGCGTCCCTTCCAACCTGGAGCCAGAGTCGCCTGTATCTGGAGCAGAACTTCTAGCCGCATCCAGTCCCGGCACGTCAGAATTCTTCGCTTCGCTTTTCGCGTACGCGCAGGACCTCGCGCCGGGCTTGCCCATCAATCGCGTCGTCTTTCAATCAGTCCTTCTCTGCATTCTCGCTGGCAACCGCTCGCTCGTCCTCCGCACCAGAGAAGAGGACGTGGCGCTGCTGGCCAACACAACTGCATACGTGAGCCAGTTTCCGCAGTCGCGCGCCCACATGCACTCAAACCCAGGCACAACCGTTTATCTCCGGCCATCGATAATCTGCCGCTCCCCTTCGTTCCTTTGTTCGCCTTATCCGGCATCCCTGTCCCCAGCTTCTCGGCGGCCCACTCGCCTATACAACACATAGAGCTCGCATAGCGCCTGCAGCCCAGCATACCCCCGAGAGCCTACTGTCGAGCCTGTTCTTGTCGACGAACAAGACGCGTCCAAAGAAAGCTAGACGGGGCAGTGCCGTGCGCTCTCGTACCTTCCCGCCGCCACAGCCCTCGCCGACGGTTGCAGCGGCTCGGCTTCCTGCCCTTGCCGACTTGCCCGACGCTGACTCGCAGCGGCCGAACTCGTCCCATTCGAGCCAGTTCACGCGTCCTCCTCTGCGTGTACTCGCGCAACATGCGCTCTCAGATTCAGCCGCGGACGTTGCGTCCGTATGCAGCACGCGTGGAGAACCGCCGCAGGCGCTTGTCATATCTGGACTCGAGTACACCAGCAAGCCGTGTCAACGCGCCCTGCTCGAAGTATTCCAGGACGGATGCGTAGCCGCTGAGTACATCGGCGATGGCTCAGGCGCGCCCGTCCGCCTACCAGATGGCTTCATATGCATCTACGTATGCCCATTCGATCCGTACGAACGACCCGCTATCCACCAGAACCTCGTAAGCCAACTCCATGCTCTTCATCGATACAAGAACCTCATATATGCGCGCATATAGCTCGATAAGTTCGCTCTCAGCGCGAACGTGCATCTCACAGCAGCCCTACGAGAGACCTATACCGCATATCTCGGTGCATCTCTGCCGCCACCTGCGCCTGCACCAGGAACATCTCTCCTTCCGCGTGTACTTTCGCGTCTACAACAACTCAGCACACCACAACACACCCATCTCCCCGACGCAGCCGGACTCTTCCTCTCGCGCCTGCTCAGCGCAGCGCGACATCACCCTGAACTCGACGCAGCTCTACTCGGTGCGCGCACACGACAAGACGCTGAAGCGCTCGCGCGTGCCTTCCGCGTGCTATGCGGAGGCGAGAAAGTCGGCGCGCTTGTCGCACGCGTCGCTGCTGCTATCGATGCGGACGACTACGACGGGGAGACAGATCTGGCGAGCACGATAGATGGTGTTGGCCTTGTGCCCGGCGGCGGAAGACAGGTCCGCGTTGTGCTCAAACATGAAGCGGCCTCGGCATTGTCCTCCCCGCGGAGATCAGGCAGCGAAGATAAGAGCCATAGGCCACCCTCGGGGCTCACCGTAGTTCCAGGGCTGATTGAATACACGACGAGCGTACAGAAAGACCCGTCTCTCCCCGCTTGGCTGGCGGGAGACGATGCAGACCCGAACTTGCGCTGGGACCTCAGCGAGGCGGACATCGGCACCATTGCGCCTCGCGTGCTAAGCCATCGTCTGCGCATGCGTACTGGACCTTCGGACGAAATACTTGCCAGTGTTGTGTATCACGCGTGGGGTCCTACGGATCCCGAGAGGGAGATGACGAAAGGCGTTTGGAAGAGAAGGACGGTGAAGGATGTTTTGGTCCAGCTTTTCAAGGAGGTCTGATGACAGACGTTCGAAGACTGTATTCATGGAACTAAACGGATATGCATTGTCAAAGACATGGATCTTGAATGCACTACGATACATCGTCTAGGCTCCACAATCGCTAACAATGATCCCCTTGACTGAGAGTGCCCTCCAGCTGCGTGTCCCCACCCAACAGCTTTCCGAACTCGCGATCGCAATGAAGAATCGTCGCATCAAGGCCCATTAGGATCTGGCTTGATCCCGGCCTTGAGCGCCCGTACTGTCACCCCAGCCGCCACAAGCTCTTGCTTAACGTCATCCACAGGAGACCACCCTCCTATCATATCCATCAGGACATTCGTCTTGAGCGACACAGTCAAGATAGGCGAGGTATCGGGATGCACGCTGTCGGCCGAGGCATCTGACAACAAATTATAAAGATCGAGAATTTCTGGGCCCTCAGCGATCCTTCGCACGTGCATGCCAGCGACACGGCAGTTTGGGTGTTTGGCGAGTATGGCACGTATGGCCGGACCCATATGGAACTCGAGTTGCGGGCCCAGGATCGTCAGACACGTCGAAGTGGTTTGGGGGTATCGCAGATACGATAAGAACTGTCCGATGAAAGGTGCCGTTTCCTGCACTTTGACCATCCTGAGGGCAGGAAGTTCGATAATCGGCGCTTCAGGATAGGGCGCGTTGTTGTTGGATGGCCACGGTAGCCCAATGACGGCGTCTCCTAGTTCAAGGTATTGTAGGCTGGTAACACAGCATGTAAGGAGCTCCACTAGTTGCTCCCACGACATCCACCTGCTCGTCTCATAGCCTCTCTGTGAACTCTTCGAGATGGATATGGAGACTAAAGAGTTGGATTTCGGAAAGCGAACAGAGCATCCGCCCAAGCGAAGATGACGGAGATTCGGGGCAAGAACGGTGCCCAATGGTTTCAAGATGCTGCGATGGCAGAATAGATCCAAGGTTTCGAGCATTGGGGATTCGGCGGCTCCGAATATAATGGAGCCTAGGATGGAGAAAGGAAATATTCCAAGTGTGTTCCCATTGTTATGGATGGAGGGTAGTATCTTCAAAAGAGCCGCCACCTCGCCTTGCCAGGCCATGTCTTTCTTCTTGTTGCCAACGCGAAATGAAGACATATCGGCTGCCACGGGGCAAGGGTCCCACAGCGTGACGCTCCGTAAGCGCTCACGGATGACATCGCCACGGTCCTTCAGCACTGTTGCGAGGTGTTTGATAGTAGGCGACTTGACTGTCCAGATAGGAAGATGAAGCGATAGCGGGGCTGTCCGGCCCGCACGGACAAGCATCTCGTCGACTCCGGCCGGAAGTGAACCAATGGAACCTGCCCACAGCGTATGGGCATTCAAAAGCGCATCCCTCCAAGCACGGTTGACGTGTCCATAACGAACCCATCCCAGGCGCTCCTCGAGTGGGTGGTCTGGTAGGTTCAACTTCTTGCGTGCTTTAGGGTGAGCAAGTTGCGAAATAGGCATGAATCTCGGCGGCTCGTTAGATGCAGCCTCATGAAAGACGTGCAGTAGGATGTCCGCATTCAGAGCATGCGTAGTCATTGGCAATGACAGTGGGAGCAATGTGCGCCGAGCTATGCGAGGTTCAAGCGAGAGGCAGGACGACGATGGTGGTTCGCATTCAAGACGCCCAAGGGCCAGTCGGTGTGAATCCGCATGGGCGCGCGCAGGCTGGCCTCGTGCCCTCCGCTCCTTACAGTATCTAACAGCCTGTTTCTAGGAATCCTATCACTGTAGTCATACTTAGAGAGAACTCCATTTGCACACGCGTCGTATTCTTTTCGTGGTGCGCTCGTCTCAGGGTTGACTAGGACCGGACAGCACGCATGCCCTATGGGTCGACGTCGGTTCATAAAAACATTTCGATACCTATGTATAGTATCGCAGACCTGACTGTAAAATGCAGTCCAACTTGGAAGAGCAAGTTTCATGGGTCACTACGGCGACCTCCCAGGGGGTCACTCGAGCAGGGTGGCAGTTCGTGGTAAGTTGCGGATTGCGGCACGTGCGGCAGACGGCCTCCGACTGCGAGTCTTGAGCGCGCTTCATCACGACACCCATCCTCCCGATCTAGAAGTTCGTAGGAGTCTGCGAACGGTTGGACGAGGTGTCTGCTTCAACGTGGCGAACATCGCGATACTGCTTCGTTGAACTGCGCCGTGGATTGGCCGTGGACGATGTCAACTCTATTACACGTCGGCTGCAAATCACGAACACAGTGTCATTCAAGAGGCACGGCCGCGGTATAGTACAAATGAACCTAGAAGTCACTGACGATAACTTCTCTGAAGATAGCCTCCAGCTGTTTCAACAACGATGGCATCTCTTCTCCTGCTACCATCGTCTCGAACTTCCTATCGACGTGTAGCACAGTCGCATCAAGGCGCGCCTGTCCGAAAACGAGCACCATCATCCCGAGCTTGGTGTAGGCCTTTGGCTCTTCGCCGGCGATCAGGCATATTTTCCGGTAGGGGCCATGTTTGTCCATATGCCGGCGTAGCGCGTACGCGACATCGAGGAAGAAGCTCGCATTCGTCTCGAGATAGATGTCAAGCACCTTTGAGGCGTACTTTATCGCTCGTATTGCAGTGTGATTCTCGGAAGGGTCTGCGACGTTTACGGCAAGTTGCTTCACCGTCATCCCCGCCGCTCCAAGCTCTTTCGCGAACGCGTGGACGAGGGTGGCGTTGGCCATCTGGTCCTCTGCTGACCGGCTTTCTAGTGACACACTCAAGAAGAGTGAAGACTCGGAAACATAAAACCGCGTGGGAGACTGCATGCCGACGCCAGTGTCTGTCGGTAAACGAAATAGTTCGAATTTTGCATGATCCTCGGAATATATATCCCGAAAGCGCATGGCGATGAAGTGGAAGTGAGAGTATTTGCGGAGAGCGGCCCGGACTGCAAGGTGATTATCGAGACCTGGGTCGACACGCCGGATCGTGAGGTATGTCGCTGCATTACGGGAGTATTGCAAGCATGACAATAACCACCAAATCAAGGGTGCTAGCTCGTGCACTTTGAGCACCTTCAGACAGGGCAAATTAATCCTTCGTACAGGGTCGTTTGTATTAGCAGTGATTTGAGATTGAGGAAAATCAGGGGGGAGTGCAATAACCCCATCGCTGAGTTCAAGACGCTGCAAGGTAGCAGCAGAGCGTTCAACGACTTCGAGGACCTCTACGAGCGGTATCATCCCGTCGGCATGTTGACGAGCTCTCTGCCACGAAGTCGCTGTAATGGAGATAGAGACGAGAGTGTTGGATATGGGAAATGTGATGAAGCATTTGTTCAGGTGAAGATGATGAAGGTTCCGCGCATGAACAGGACCTGGTGCGCTCCATGAAGGACGATGTTGGAATAAACCCAGGCTGTCGAGGATCGGTAGTTCGGCTTCGCACAGGATGTGGCCCAGGGCAGAGAAAGGGAATATATCATTGTTGTTGGAACTGTATCGAACCGTGGACAACGTATTCATAAGGCTGATCATGGAGGTAGAGATGGGAACTCTCCGATCGCGGCTCAGGCGGAAGGCAGGCGAGTCTTCTATCACGGGACAAGGATCCCAGATTGTGACGCTCCTCAAGCGCCTAGGCAGAGTGCCGCTATGGCTCTGCAGCACGGCCGCGAGATGTCTGATGATGGGAGATCTTGTTGTCCAGAGGGGAAGATGAAGCGATAGTGGGGCCGTAGGCCCTGAACGAGCAAGCATCTCGTCAACTCCAGCTGGGAGCGTGCCGATATGATCGGCCCAAAGCGTCTGAGCGCTCAAGAGCGTCTCCCTCCATACATGGCTGACGTGGCCAAGGCGAACCCATCCTAGGCGCTCTTCGAGAGTTTTGAAAGGTAGATGCAAGGACTCGCGCATCCTCGGGTAGGCAAGATCTGGGATCGGCAAGTGACTTGGAGGCTCATTGGATGCGACTGCATGAAAAACGTGCAGTAGAACGTCCGCGTTCAGGGCAGTGGTGCCCATCGATGATGACAGTAGGTAGTCAAGGAAGTCGGCGCTGAGGCGTGCGGAACTCGTCTAGCGCGGAAGCAGGACGACGATGGTGGTCCGTGGTCAAGCCTCTCAAGTGTGTGAAACCGCGCACGGTGGGCGCGAGCGGCAAGCCTCACGGTGTTTTCGGTCATCTTGGACACAAGACGTGGTAAGCTCTGAGGCGATACACAGGCTTGACTCCCGTCCATGTATACATACATTGCATGCTTAGCCTGACCTAAAGCAATCGGCGCTCCGGGTAGAAACGCTGAATTGCTAGTCCGATTGCGACGGTGCGCCCTTGAATTGCTAAAGTACGCTGTACTATTCATTCATACTGTTGATACAAAGTGCTTCATACTACACGAACGTGATACAGAGCCTCGCTTTTGAGTCAGATTCTACAATGGCGAAGAATGACTTCTTGAAAAACGCCCTCCAACTCTGTCAGATAACCGTGTACTTTCTCCCTACCTGGCATCGCCTTGAATCTCTCGTCGACATGTAGAGAGATCTTGTCAGCGCGCGACTGTCCGAATGCAATAGACATCAACGCCAGGTTGGTGATCGCCGTTGGGTCTGCGCCGGCGATGAGGCAGATCGACTTGTAAGGCTGGCGAGAGCCACTTTCGGAGATGTACTGGCGCAGAGCATACGCTATTGACGAGAAAGCCATCGAGTGCGTCTCGAGGCAGACGTTGCGCGCATTCGGAGCGCACGTAAGCATTTCTAAGACCTTGTCCTGAGCTATCGAGCTGCGGAGGTTCAATGCGAGCTCCTTGATGTCTATGCCCGACACAGACAACTCGTTTGCAACTCTCTTCGCCACAGCTATGGCATCAGAGCGATGGGGTGAAAAGTCTACCAGCACTCTGATCATCGGTGAACGCGTCTGATACCACGCGCAGCTGTGCGCGCGCGTTGTGTCGCCCTCAGGTAAAGCGAAGACATCGATACTGCCCCGCCGCTCAATATCCTCTTGAACGCGCAAGCCTGCGAGGTGGCACTCGCCATACTTGGCGAGGGCAGCACTTATGGGCAAAGGCAAAGTAGTCTGATCCGTATCAAAGGGGGAACTGTGGGGATTCAAACACGTTGTCACGCTCTGGGAGTAGTGCAAGCAATGCAGCAGATCTGCGATATCCTCCGCCGAGTCGCGCAACGTGATAGTCCGAAGGACAGGTAAGTCGACTGTACGAGGCCTGGGAGGTTCCCTCTCTACGGGCGCATGGAAGACTGCGAATAGGAGCTGCGGAGTCTGGGTGTCAACGAAGACATTGCTCAGCTCAACGTGTTGTAGGCTAGCAGCGGATTGCTGTAGCAAATCCAAGGCCGCCTCCAGCGACATTCTCGGTTGCATGTTCCAATGTCTCCGCCGCTTAGTCCTCACGAGGGATAATGTGACCAATTGGGTAGACTGTGGACAGGAGATGGCATAGTTTTCAAGACGAAGGTGACGTAGTTCTGGAGCAATGATTGAGAACTCGCCCGATGGGCTGGCAGGGCGAGATAGATCCAGCACTTTGAGTGTACGGACTGCGTGGCGGAGTAGGACGGATCTCAGCATATTGAACGGAAATAGGTCATGGCTTTGATCTTCTGAGAGCACCGATGTTGAAGCCATCAGAGTGGCTATTTCGTAACCATCTGTGTCGTCATTCCCATGAGGTGGGGGGCGTTGAGGTACTGTGTCTCTGAATGGACGTGGATCCCAAATAAAGACGGCCTGTAAGCGTGCACGGATAGTGTCTTTATGTCCCTGCAGCACACGCGTAAGGTTCTGAACGTCGGGAGAGCTTGACGGCCCAATGGGAAGGTGTAGCGTCAATAAAGCCGTAGCGCCCGCTCGATCAAGCATCTCTTCAGCCCCAGCAGGAAGCAGGCCGATATGGTCGGCCCACAGATTCTGCGCGCCCAGGAGTGTATTCCTCCACTGGTGATCAACATGGCCCAGTCGGACCCATCCTAGACGATTACTCCGCGTCTCATCTGGAAGGCCCAGCGCTTTGCGGACGCCAGGGTTTTTCAAGTGCGGCACGTGCATGAAGCGCGGCGGCTCGTTGGCAGCCGCTGCATGGAATATGTGTAGCAAGATATCGGAAGGGAGAGGCTGAGAATTCATAGTGAGCCCTTCTAGGGATGGTAGATCCGATTATTATCTGCCAGTCGGCGCGGAGATGATGATGGTCCACAGTCAAGTTGCGCGGCTACCGTCACGACCGCGGCTCGTCTTCACAGTAACTGCCATCAGCTCGCCCTCCGCCTATATAGCTTTCGTCATGAGCAAGTACGCGAACTTGCCAGATATTGTGCGTGAACTACGACTGTCCTGCCTACCATCCAATAACCAGGCCCATCTCATGTAGGATACTGCACCGGACATCTATGAGACCGAGGACGTCTTTCCCACCACCACCGCCGTACGAGATGCCATGCCACTTCTACTTACCCTCACTGATCAGCCTGTGCCACTTAGAAAGACGACTACAGCGATGACGAGTCCGGTCTCCCGACGCGCGGTGCACGCGGCAAGAACGAGCTACCAAGTAAGGAAGAGCTGGATGGCGCGCATCTAATCGACGCGGACGAAGCGAGCAGACTGTTCAAACGCGCGGAGAGGAGACGTATGTGGAATATTATACATCTTGTTACCGCCATGGTATATTGACGAATATGTTCAGGTCCCAAGACAAAAGGCATCTACTCTTATCCGCGCTCGCACTCTCCGTCGCCTTCATCGTCTAAGCCACCACCACTTTCCCTTCGCCTTAAACAGCTCCAAGCAGAACTTGTATCTCTGGAGAGCGAGCTCGCCGACCCTGCCAGTCTTCAGGATGATCAAACGGATGGTCCAGTTGACCCCGCAGAGCTCATCCGCGGCTTGGTCGACGTTAAGAGCCGGCTGGAGAAGATCTCGCACGCCCGAAATAAGCGGATGAGGCTTGTGCAGGGCGTGATACAGGATGGAGAGGCGAAAGAAGAGGCGCAGGACGCGAAGAAGGATGCTGTGGGTGAGGAGAAGCCCGAAGATACACAAGAGAAGGGCCCGGCGAGGGATGCAGCTGAGATTGACAGGCGGGTGGGTGAGCTGGAGAAAGTTGTTGGTTCTGGTAGCACTTCACTGGACGAGGTAGGTCTACCTTTTCGCATATCTTATGCTGATGCTAAACAGAACGATACAGACATCACCCATGCCACAGCCACTTCTTCCCCTCTTGACGCGTTTGAGCACTCAGCTCAACGTCCTGACCCAGCCGAGGCATCTAGACAACATATCTCGACGCCTCAAGCTTCTCTTGACCGATCTCGACCGTTTATCCGCTTCGAACAAACACCAACGACAACTCTCCACGAACGACCCCTCCGCAGGACCCGCCGCACCTTCTGCGATTCAGGACCAACTGGCACCGTTACTCACACGTCTTGTACCAATGTTGCCCCACATCCCCCACATCCTCGCTCGGTTGCGCACGCTCTCTGCACTTCATACCTCTGCCGCAGACTTCTCTCGCACGCTTGATGGGCTCGAAGAGGACCAGAGACGCGTACGGGATCTGCTCGGAGAGTTGGAGCGCGCGGTGGGCAGTGTGGAAGGCAGTCTGAAAGAGAACGGGGAGGTCGTCAAGAAGAATGTTGCTGGATTGGAGGACAGGATATCGCAGTTGACTGAGCGACTTGACAAGTTGCAGACTTTCTAAATACCCGTCATGTCTTGGTACTACAGAACGCAGAATATGACATTGATTCTTGTCGCCCAAGGCGGCCTCGTGCTTCAGTGAAGACATCTGTAACGCTGGGTGCCACCTACAGGTCTATAAGCGCCTGCAATGCACATGTTGACGTCACAATGTCGGACAACCGGATGTTCAGTTGATCATGTTGGTGCTTTATTGCTGAGCGCAAGCTTGACCGAAACCGTCAACGTGTGTAAAGTTCGAGGTGTCATGTCTGCGACAAAGATAATATACGGGACTGCCTGGTACGAGCGCATGTTGAGGACGACCGCCTTCTAAAGCTCGTCGCTTCATGACAGGAAGAAAGAGAAGACAAAGGCGCTGGTCGTCAGTGCCGTCCTGAGCGGTTTCCGGGCAGTCGATACAGGTACGAAGGTGGTAGTGGTCCCCGAAATGATTGAGCTGAGAGGGAGGGCACAGCTTGTCAGTTGAAGCACTACCGAGAGGATCTTGTAGGAGAAGCGCTACAGACGTTGTACGACGAGCATGGCTTCAAGCGAGAAGACCTCTGGTTGCAGACGAAGTACTTCATATATAACATACTACGACAGTTCTACATGCATTGACTGCGTACTACAGATTCACGTCCATAAGCGGACAAGACCGCTCACAGCCGCTTCCTTACGATCCGTCCGATGCACTTCCGGCTCAGATCGCGTCCTCTTTCGCCAAGTCCCTCTCGAACTTACGCACATCGTATCTTGATAGCTATATCTTGCATAGCCCGATGCGAACGTATCAGGATACGCTCGAAGCCTGGCGGGTGCTCACGGGATTGGCTGAGAGTGGTCAAGTCAAGCAGATCGGTTTGAGCAATGTATATGATGCCGAGATGCTGGAACGTCTGGTGAAGGACAGCGGTCGCAAGGTGGATGTAGTACAAGATCGGTGGTACGAAGGCAATGGATGGGACGTAGACGTAGTGAACTGGTGCCGCCGAAACGGTGTGCAGTACCAGTACGTATGACCGTCCAAAGCGCTGCCAGTTCCTACTGACGAGGATCGCAGATCGTTCTGGACGTTGACGGGATCTCCTCACTTGGTTGGGCATCCGGCGGTTGCGAAGCTGGCGCGGGAAAAAGGATGTTCTCCGGAAGAAGTAGTCTACAAGTTCGCGCAGTCGGTGGGAGTGACGCCGCTGAGCGGGACGACGAGCGAAGCCCACATGAAGGCGGACGTGGCGGTCGAGAGAAAGGTCGAGCTGGGGGCGGAGGACGTTGAGGCGCTGAGCACGTTGATCGCGTATGTGTAGGGTAGTGGGTCCCAGATAATCGGATGATTACCTAAGCACGGGCGCCTTTTCGAACAGAACGTGATGGGCGTGAGTGATGGTTCGAAATTAGGCGGAGAGAGAGCTGGTTGCTTTGTGCTGCCGCCGCGTCGTGAGGGGCGTTGAAGAGGCAAGTCGCGTCTTTACGCTCGACGGCCAACTCAGCTCACGCTCGTTTTATGTTCTGACTCTCTCAAACAGATGCATCCCGCACTGTTGCCCTTAGTGCTGGCGACGTCCGCGCTGGCCTCGGTGCCGCTGGTCGACTTTGACCGCATGGGCACCGTCGGCCTGGCGGGCGCTTTCGCCGGCCTCGGCATCTTCGACAACTCGTCCTCTCTTTCATTCGACCCCGACACCTCTTCCCTCCTCGCACGCGACGACTCGGGCGCCCTCACCAAGCTCGGCTCCACCAATGCCGGCGGCTCCATCCTCGCCACATGCGTCCTTGGCGACACCGTCTACGTCGCAGGCTCCTTCTCCTCCATCAATGGCACATCCGCATCCAACATCGCCACCTACTCCTCCGGCGCCTTCTCTGCGCTCGCATCGAGCGGGTCGGACGGGCCCGTGCACGCATTATACTGCGACTCGTCGAACAACAAGGTCTGGGCGGGCGGCAAGTTCACGATCCCCGGCTCGGCCGTCGCCGTGTACGACACCAAGGCCAAGTCCTGGTCCGCCGCACCGTTTGGCGGTCTGACGGGCGCGGCGGCCGAGGTGCTGTCCATCACGACCAACTCGTCGAGCGACTCGCTCTTCTTTTCCGGCTCGTTCGTTACCGATTTCGTCGGAAACGGCACAGCGATCAACGGCACGAACAATCCAAACGTCCCCTTCTCCTCGGGCGCCTCGCCCTTTTCCTCGTCCCTCGTCCCCATCCCGCTCCAGAACGCGTCCATCCAGGGTTCTCCATCAAGTTCGGATGCGGACTTTAGCAATATCGAGAATATACTGTGTCCGGCTGGTGCGGACGGCGCAGGCAACACTTGGCTTGCGGCAGATGGCAACACGGCCGTCATCACCGCCCGCGCGTTCCAGTCCCTTTCCGCATCTGGCGTCCGTTTGGGCAACACGTTTGCCGAGGACAGGAGCACGACCGCGTTCAGGTGCGCATGCGCTTCTCGCTTCCATTCCGCCCGTCTAACCCGATCATCTCCAGCGTCACCACAATCCCGGACAATGCCGTGCGCACTCTCACATACCTCGACCCGGCAACGCAGCAGAACAAGACCTGCACGGATGCCTGCCCACTTGGGACAGACTCGTCTGTTCTGTACCAGGACTTCGTCTTTGCCGACGGTCAGCTCGGCATCACCGGTGTCCAGGTCAAGCTCAGTCAATGGACGGGTGCCGGCCCCGGTCTGCACATTTTCCAGTTGCTGTCGTCAGGCGCGTTCGCGTCCGCAGTCGCCTCCCAGAATGGCGCCTCGTGTTTCGCGCCTGCTGCATCCAACACAAGTCACACCGGCACGTGGACCGAAGTGCAGGCGAACACCAACATCGCCGGTACCACTGTCACCGCACTCGTCGCGGATGTCGCAGTTGGCACACCAGCAAGCCAAGCACCGACCGTCACCTGGCAGCCGTACGTCTCCGCTAGCGGAGAGTACGATATCAATCTGCTTGTCCCCGGATGCACCGAGTTCCAGAACTGTGCTGCTCGCACGAGCGTGAGCGTGTCCGTCTTCGCCATCGCGGGTTCGGACCCTACTGTGACGACCGTCGACGAGACCAACACCGACGACGCGGTTGTGAAGATCTATTCCGGCCCTGTTGTGCCCAGCTCGGACGACTTCACCGTCACCGTCACTCTCGGCCTCGCAAGCAATCCTACGGGTAACGGCGACGACGGCAACTACCAGCTTGTCGCAGACCGCGTGCAGCTCGTACTCACGAACGCGAACGTCACCGGTTCGAGTGGCAACGGTATCAGCTCAGCGAGCGGCACTCGTGGTAGCTTCGGCTTCTTCGAGTGGCCGATCTCGAGCAGCTCGAACGTGAACGCCGAGGGCACGCTGCCCAACAACACTGAGACTGCGGCAGACGCGCTCGGCATATCGCTCTTCACTGCGCTCGGTGGCAACTCGTCGCTCTCAGCTTCGACGACCGATGTCGTTAGTGCCGTTGCACACCACAGCAGCGGCGCCATCATCGTCGGCGGCGCGTTCACCCTCACTTCGCCCGCTACAACCCACATCGCGCTCTTCAAGAACGGTGCGCTGTCTGCGCTCGCCAACTCTGGGTTGAACGGCAACGTTTCGTCCCTCGCTCTCACCGGTGACACCTTGTTTGTCGGCGGCGCGTTCAGCGATACCAAGGATGGCAGTACCTCCGGCAAACTTGCCGGTGTAGCCAAGTACGATGTCGCATCCAACGCATGGTCGGATCTTGCCGGTGGCCTCGGCTCCGGTGCATTCGTCTCGTCGCTCCTCATCGACTCGGATGGCGCCCTCCTCGTGGCCGGTTCGTTTTCGGGTCAGGGTACGGACGGTTTCGCGAAATGGAACGTTAGCTCTGGCTCGTGGGTCGGCACGGGTGGCTTTGTCAACGGTGCCCTCTCCCTCGTCGCCAATGGAACGAGCGACTCGCAGCTTGTTGCGGGAAGTGTCAGCCAGAGCCTGCAATTCGGAGCGAGCGGGTTTGCGACGATCAAGAACGGCGCGAATGGCGCCCCGACCATCACGCCTCTCGGTGCAACTCTTGACGCATCCACTTCGTCGAGCACGGCCACCACGAATAGCTCGACCACGCGCCGCCGCGTACACTCATCCCGGCGCGTCGGACCGAGCGCCTGGGTCCCACACGTCCCTATGCCTTCTCTGACCAACCTCTTCGCGCGCCAATCCTCATCCTCCGCATCTCTCCCTGCGCTCCCCGCCGACGCGGCGGTCTCCGGCCCCGCAGTCCTTGCCGGTGCATTCTACACCAACAGCTCGAACAGCCGCCAGCTCATCGTGCTAGGCGGAAACTTCACAAGCGGGTCGGCACAGAACATCGGGTTGTACGATCAGGATGCGGGCAGCGTTACGCAATTGAACGGCGCGCAACCTAATGGAGTTGTTCGGGCGCTACTTGTGCATGGCGATCAGCTGTTCGTTGGTGGACAGTTCACCCTCGCGCTCGACGGCGGCAATGCGGACGGATTCGCTGTCTATGACCTGGCCAAGGGCGCCTGGGTTTTGGGCTTGCAAACGTTGACAGCCTCGAGCGGCGGAAGCGTTGTCGTCAGGAGTATCACGGGCAGTAACGCGAAGAGCAACGCCGTTTTCGTCGCGGGTAGCTTCGCCGGTACCTCCGGCGGTCTGAGCTGTGTGGGCATCTGCGAGATCGCGGCGGATACCAAGCAATGGACTGCTCTTGGTGGCGGGATCCAGGGTGAAGTCGGTGCGGTGGATTACTCAGGTGTACGTCCCTTATTTCTATCCAGTCCTTTGTGCCATTGTACACGAGGCTGACACGATGACCATGTGTCTTAATAGAACGACCAGCAATTCCTCGTTGCGGCTGGCAGCCTTGCGCTCTCCGGCTCGTCTACGCCCGCATATGTTCTCCAGTTCGCCATCGACAACAGTACCTGGACTGCGCTCGGCAACTCGGACTCGCTCGCTGGACCCGTGACGGCAGTTGCAGTCAACGACCTGAACACCACCTCGATCTTTGCCGCTGGCCGCTCTTCATCCGCGGACACATCCTACCTAAGCTTCTACGACGGTTCATCCTGGACATCGGTCGCATCAACGCTCGGTGCGAGCAACATCTCGCAGCTGAGCATGGTCCCGCTCCAGGACGGCCACAGCGCGAACTCGATCCTCCAAGATGATCGCATGCTCATGCTCAGTGGGACGCTCGACGACTCCAGCTTTGGCCAGGCCAGTATGGCGCTCTTCGATGGCGCAAGTCTCATTCCCTTCATGAGCACCGCTGGCGCGGGTGGCTCGCAGGGCTCGATGGCCGGCCTCTTCCACTCGCAGAGCACGTTCTCGTTCAGCCTGCGCCATCTCCTCGCGACGGGTATTGTCATCCTTATCTCGATCGCCATCGCCGCGGGAGTCGTGTTCCTCCTCGTCCTCGCCGGTGTCCTCTGGACACTGTTCGCGCGTCGCGATGATGCCCTCGGCGCGAAATACGCAGAGGAAGACGATGCGTCAGACCGCGATAGTGCAGGCGCACAACACCGCCCGAGCAGCTTACTTGCACACATCAACGCCGCAACACGTGGTACGATTGTTGGCGCGCTCGGCGCGGAGAAGATGCGCGGGGGCGAAGAGCACGAGATGTCACCCACGACGTACGGTGGAATGAGTGGGACGGCATACGGCGAGCCAGATGGGAGCAATTACCTGAGGGCAGAGACGCCGAACGATGCGATGGCGGGGTTGGGGATGGGCGAGGATGAGCCTGGTAGGGCAGCACATGCCAGGTATAGCTTTGATGGGGCTGGAGAGGGCGAGTTGCCACTGAGTGTGGGCCAGGAGTTGGAGGTTCTGGATGATAGGGATCATTCGTACGTCTGTCTATTTCGATGCGCAAGCGCTTTTACTGACAACCATGTGTAGATGGTGGTACGCACGCGACATACGCACTGGACAAGAGGGTGTCGTTCCCGCTGCATACCTGTACTAAGCCCCCTCCCTGTCTCTTCGTCTCGTCTTTGGTTATCGCTTTGCACCTCGCTGTGTCACCACATCTAGCTCACTAGGGTTCTTCGCGTGTATGGCACGCTCATACGAGTACTTACTGACCCCATCATCCGCTGCGCACCGTACCTTCTGACTATCGCGCCGCTCCAGGACCCTTCCAATCCGTGCACCTTATGCCGCATGTCGCACCAGCCACTCGCTGGCTATCTACTATGGAATTTACCTCCCCAGACATTTGATGCGGTCCGATCTACTTCCCAAACCCGTACATACCGCCGTTGTTTGCCCGGATACCCTCCCCACCTTTCCGATGTTGTCCATACTTCCCCCAGCTTTTCACGGTTACATTAGATTCTCTAGTTTTCCAAATTGATATCGGTTCGCTTTGTCTACGGTCTACCTCGGACTTGCGGCGTGTTCACGGACGCTGCGTGACGCTCGATGAGATTTCGCGGCCAGCTTCGTCGTTTCCTGTGGATTCGGTGTGAGCGCTGACGGTATCTCCGTGTGGCCTAGGACTGGTGGGACGCAACCCCGGATTGTCGTCGATTCGACTGTCCTCTTTCCTCTAGCTGGCGCGCTCGACGGACGTTCTGCAAACGCTGTATGTCTCGAACGCGAAGAACATGCCTTGAGTGCAATGAGTGGCAATGGGTCGTAGGCGCTATTCACGAGTATATCTTCTCTCGGCCTCGAGTTCAGCAATGACCAACCGCTGTAGCATTCGCATTCACTCCAACGTCATGTCTACCTATTCTTACACCGTCCCCTACTATTAGGAGGACAATTCCCGCCATGCCATACATCCCGCGGCCCATCCGCGGCTTGTACGCCCAGCGTCCGTCGCACTCGAAGCCTGGCTGAATGTGAAGAAGTAGATGGTTTTGACAGACCGAGCATGGAAGTACACTATTTGTCTTTGACATACATATAGTAAAGTAAGTTTTCATACCGCAGCACGGAAGCGGACAGCAGCAATCAAGTATTACGAGCCATTGACTGACGACACTATAGTAAAGATTTCGTGTACGCGTGGTGGTGGTAACATTCATTCCGATTCAGGCTCTGTATCGGAACCGTCAACAATCTCGAACTGAAGCGTCGCCTGTCTTGGGGCAGGGCGTGCACGGGCTTGGCTTTGCGACTGGCTTGCCGCAAGACGGACACCGAATAAGTGTATAAGGTCTGAAGGTTATGTGGATGATGAGTACAGGCAATATGCGCACAAGAGCGCCACGTACCTTGTAAGCGCGCTTCCTTCTTCTGTCGTTGCGTCTCCTTGTTCTTCATCCCGGCAAAGGCTTCCTTGATCAGGTTCTTCTTCTTCTCTTGAATATCGAGGACCTGAGGGCGGCTGAGTAACGAGCTAAAGGAGAACGACTGGAATCGCACCTTAGACTCTACAGTGTCTTCTGCGATGAGCTGGAAAACATGGACGGGCTTTGTCTGTCCAATACGGTTACACCGATCGATGGCCTGACTCTCGATGCCCTCCTGCCACCACGGATCCATGAGGTAGACATTATTGGCGACGGTCAGGTTCAGTCCTAACGCACCCGCCTTCAAACACTCTTGAGCGCTAGAATATCGTAGAGACCATATGAGTACATACCTTCAACGAGATGAGCATGACCTTAGGGTTGCGTCCAGACGGCAAGTGCGCATAGGTCGCTTTCCTCGGCCGTGCGGCTTTACCTTTGCCTTTACTCTTCGCCTTACCCTTGCCCTTCTTACTCTTGCTGGCGAACGCGGAATCATCGTCCTCATCGTCAATGAAATCGTCGTCGTCTTCATCTTCCACTCCAAGAACGAAGTCGTCATCGTCATCCGCTCCAGCCATCTCTTCATCACCACCGAACAGGCTCTTCTGTGAGCTCGCTCGTCGACGTAAGCGCGAACTGGTAGTCGACGCAGATGCAGATTGAGAAGCACTTGGGCGTTTCTGTGTGCGCGGCTTAGGAGCGGGTGTCTCATCGGCGTCGTCCTCGCGCAAGGGTACAGAGAATGCATCTAGCGTCTCTTGACGACGTCGCGCCGACATCTGGCCGTCGAACCGGCAGTAGTCGATTCCAGCTTCATCGAGTGCTTCGGCTATCTTGTCCAAAAAGGTAGTGAACTGGGAGAAAACAAGGGACTTCTCCGTCGCTGGCGTCAAGGAAAGCAGGTGAACCAGCTGGTCAATCTTGGCGGATGAGCCAGTGCGAAGCTCGTGCAGTGCGCCCGCTGCGTCTTCCTCCTCCTCAGAACGAACAGGGACTTGCGTCAACTCCATGGGAGGCGCGGGCTCTATAAGATCTCCGATAGTGATGGTACGCCTGTCCATGGGGCACTTCCCGACACGGTTGATAACCTCGAGGATACTGGAATGCAGATGAGTCTCGATACCATCCAGCCACTCTCAATAGGCGCCTACCATTCGTAACAGAAACGATGCGTGCAGCTTGTGATGCGAGGATTATCCAAGACGTCGAAGCAGACGGGACATTCCTCGTTGTCCTCGATGGCTTGCGCGAGGAGGCCTTGCAATCGAACCCTTTCCTCGGGCGTGATGTCCTGTGCAGCCTTGCCCGGGTCCTCCTCCTCATCGGCCTTCAGAAGCTGTTCAGCGTAGTCCGCAGGTATCAAGCCAGGATGAAGAGCAAGCTGCCTTAGTCGCGTGAGCATGCTAAGCGCGTTCGTGGTCACCTGGACAGTTGTCAGCACGTGATAGGAACGAACAATGTAGACATGAAACGTACAGAGATGTTCGCGAGTTCTCCGTTGCTCTGATTTAGGGCACGGTCAATGCGGTCTCGCGAGATCTCTTCAACACGATCGTACAACTCCTAATGAAGGCGTCAGCACAATCCGAAGTATTTCACGGGGAAAAATACTTGCTCGAGCATCAGGATGCAAGGTTACGCGGACTACAGTCATCTCGACAGGGGGGAGGGGAACGAGAGGGTTGCCATCGGCGTCTTGCATCTGACGCGCTGTTAGCATGAGTCCAGCGTTGGCATCAAGAGGCGACAAACCTCCTTGGTACGGCGCATACAGATTTGCGCCATGAGCGCCTAGTAGACAGGTTTGAGCGTACCCATCAAGATAGGGTAGTAGAACATACACGTAGAATTTCGGTTCCGGAGGGGTCCGCGTTCTTGAGTGGGCGGATGATGAGACGTTTGAAGTTCTCTGGATTATCCAGAGGCGCGCAGATCCTGAGGAAGCGCACCATGGAGCCCAGATCCTGAACATGGAATAAGTATTGCGCGAGATCAAGGATCACGATCAACATACAGACGGCGAGTTGATCTAAGGGGATGATAAGCAACCTTGCAACACTACGGAACATGATGAACTCACGATCGGAGTACCCGTCAGCACCCAGCGCCGTTGTGCAGTAAGAGCGAATATTGCTTGAGCCATCTTCGTACGTTCGTTACGGATATTATGACCCTCGTCGAGGATAACGCGCTATGTGAATTGAGCATCGAGACAATGGCATTGTGTGTCACTTGGTGCTTACCTTCCACTTCATCGTCATAAGACTATTCTCATGCTTCTGCTTCTTCTTGGACGGTGCACCCTTACTGGACGACAGACCGGTGTGGTTCGCATGTTCACCTGCTACCGTCTGATACGTAGTGATGACAACGTCATAACCTTCAAGATCCTTGGCAGAAAGGCCGCGGTTATCGCCGTAGTAGACAATGGACTTGATTGTACCGGGGGTGCAGTGATCCTGGATTTGCTTCTCCCAGTTCGAGATGATGGATAGAGGAACCACTGAGAGACCGTGCGGGTTAGCATCAGTCTGTATCCACAGCCTACAGGTGACGACGTACCGATGAGCGTAGCGGCGGAATGCCCATCCGTCGGCACGTCCTTCTTCGTGGCAACGATGAGCGAGAGCATTGTGAGCGTTTTACCCTGCATCAATAGACGTAAATACTACCGCCACTTCGATGAGCTGGTAATCACGTACCAAGCCCATGCTGTCCCCAACCAACGCGCCGCGGCCGAGAATGGGAGCCGCAGTCTGCGGTGTCTTTGTGGCCACTGTCAAGCAAGGGTCAGTTGGCGAAGAGTCGTAGTCCAAGCCTTAACATACTATTGTAGTAGAAGACCTGAATGAACGCTTAGCGCTAGAATAGAAACATATCAACTAGCGCAGGCTCACCCTGTTGCCTGCCTTCTTATATAGCCAGAACTGTACCGGCTTCTCGCCCTCTTTCTTGGGTAGCTGGGGGTACTCGTGCTCGTAACACCACTGCAGACCTTGTTTCTACTAAGGCATTAGTGGGACTCTCTCGCAAGTGTGACACAAGTCGTACCTGATGCTTCAAAAGGTCAACCGTGAACTCGCCCGAAGCCTTGCCAGGAGGATTGGGGAACTCCGGTAATTTCAGGATATCGTCTGATGAGCACAGCTGGTCCAGCAAACTACTCCGACGACCCTCGTCGTTGACCTTCTCCAGGTTATTGAGTATGTCACGAAGCTCTGCAGCTTTGGCGAACTGCTCTTGCTTCTTCATCAATTCCTCTCGCGCCTTCGCCTGATCGGCTGGCGACGGCTGCGACGACATCATTTGTGAAGAGTACGGGTACTGCGCGCCTGTGGTGTACGCCGGGGCCGGGGCCGGCGCTCTCGGCATGGCTGCACCGGGACGAGGAGCCTGGGAACTAGATGGCAGTCCTTGAGAGTGCGACGGACCCGCTCCGCTCCCGGTTGTAGTCGTAGAGGCCCGCCCCGGGAAACCGCGTCCAGACGTAGCCCACATGAGTTGCGGCTCCATAATGGCGCGCTTGCGCGCGTCCGCATATATGTTAATAGTCATGGGCAGCGTATAATGCTTCCCGTTCACTATTTCGCGTCAAGCTCTGCGAGAACGTGATTGTTTGAGAAAGCGCATACTGTTTCCGGAGTTCATGACGCCTTCTGGCCTGACGAGCTTCTTGTCCATGAGTGGGGCGAGCTTTGCAGCCACCTCCTTGGGGATGTGGCCGACTTGCTCTCCGGACATATTCGTGATCTTGACTGCGTTACTGCGACGAGGTCAGAATAATAATGGCGTAAGTGGTCTAGAGGTCTTACGAGTCATAGCGGTTGGTAGGTTCACGTAGAACGTTAACTTCCTGTCCCAGGGCGACCAGTCCTAGGGTAAAACTGAGCTCGTATGAGTGAAGGCGTAAGTTGCACCTTACCCTTGTAGTATTGAACGCCAACGATATTGGTGCGGTACGAGACATATAGTTCGTCTATGGGTTCCTGCTCGATAACCTCAATATCGTCGTCACCGTCATCTATTTCCCAGGTGATGCCCGAAGGCTGATTCGTGCGACGTGCGGACTGCGGAGGGAGACTTTGGGACGGTAAGAGGCCACTACCAGGTCGAGCGATAGAAGAGCTGCCGCTTGCGGTGGCGGCCTCCATAGCTTTACGCTTGCGCTCGGCCTGGCTGGGCTTCGAAGGTGACGAGGACGACGGCATGGGTTGTGAAGAAGAGGGTGTGGGTTGCGAGGACGAGGGAAGACCTTGAGACGAGGGCATGCTTTGAGAAAATGCCGGCGCTGGAAGAGGTGCAGGCGGCGCGACCTTTGCCGACTCTGGGACGTCTGCTGGGTCGACCTTACGCGTTGCGAGTGCCCTGCGGATCTTTTGCTGGTCTTCAGCCCGAAGTTCGTTGAAGCCCTCAACGCGGTTGATCCCATAACCAGCCAGCTCTCCCAAGATGGGCCCAGTGACGCAACCCCTAGCGAAAGTCAGAGTACAGTACGTGAAAGATGGCAGTCTGCCGCACCAATGCATCCACTTTATTTGTTCTCCGAAATCATTCCTGACGAGTCTGCCGTAGCGCAGAGCACCCAGCGGGATGAGCGTGCCCTTGCAGGGTGGTGCGCCATTACATTTGGCCCGCGAACTCTTGCTATACTGTCCGTGCAGGCACGTCAGATATGCGTACACGCGATGTTTTGCATCGCCTACCTCTAGGGTATGTTGGGACATGCAAGCCCAGATACAGGACACACAATCTACGCGGTATTTTCCACTTGTACACTGCTAGAAGAGACTGCTTGGTGGTGGTACAAAGCAAAGTCGTGGCTTTCCACCCTCGACGCGTCGCGACGCGTCTGACCGCGACTAGGTGTGCCTGAGCGATCAACGAGCCACAACGTGGCTGATCTTAGGCGCCCACCCTACTTCTTCTCACCAGCTTCGAATTCGTAGCTTCTTCTTGTACACGACGAACTTACATGCCGCATGTGCGCTCTCTGAGAGACTTTTACTGTAGAAGGAATGCGAACGAGATACTCCCGACGGACGTCCACGGCCGGCGACTAGATTATGCTATCTGCTCGGACGCGACCGTCCCTTGATATAAGTAGCTCATGGCTCGATCTTTCCGCTTCGAGAACCTCGTGTACGCTCTTCACCTGTTACCGCGATGTCGAGTGAGAAAGCTGCGCTGCTCCCGAGGCATTCCGCCGAGTCTAAGGTCGAGAAGTATGTACTGGTTATACATGGCGGCGCAGGCACCATGTCACGCGAAAAGTCGACGCCCAAACAGCGCGCACTCTATCATGCGACACTCAGGGAGGCTCTGCGGACCGGTCACGCCGTGTTGAAGGAGGGCGGTGAGGCGCTAGACGCTGTAGTCGCAGCTGTGACGGTGCTGGAAAGTGAGATCTCCTTGTTCTTGACCCCGACCTCAGCTCAATGGTATATAGACTGTCCCCTGTTCAACGCGGGCAAGGGTGCCGTATTCAACACTGCCGGCAAGAATGAACTTGAGGCCTCTATCGCGCTATCAAAGCCTCCAGCATCGCACCCAAACATCGCACCCAGTCGACGCGACGCATCCGCTACCCTCCTCACACGAGCTCGTAATCCATCGCAACTCGTGCGTCTTCTGTACCTTGCGCAGGACGACGGTGTGCCACACCCTATGATGAGCGGCTTAAATGCCGAAGAGATTGGTGCTAAGTTCGGTGCGAGTTTGGTGGACCCGAGCTACTTCTTCTCCGAGAACCGCTGGCGTGAGCACCGTCGCGGTCTTGGCCTGCCAGAAGAGCCTCTACCCCACTCCGGCGATGCGCAGCTGCCGATGCTGGACCTGATGCCGAAGGGGACAGTTGGCGCTGTCGCTTTGGACGTACGTGGTTGTATCGCAGCGTGCACCTCAACAGGCGGTCGTACGAACAAACTCGTCGGTCGCGTCGGTGACACGCCGATCAACGGTTCGGGTTTCTGGGCCGAGGAGTGGACCGTGACTGGCTTTGTCCGCCGTACGGTGCGCAAGCTCTGCGGAAAGAAGTCGAAAGCAGCTGTCGGTGTGAGCGGCACTGGTGACGGCGATGTGCGTTCATACGAAAGTGCGGATCCACCAAGAAACTGACGTCGTCGCAGTACTTCATTCGCCAGAACACCGCGTCGACCATCGCTCGGCGTATGCAGTACCTTAATGAGCCTCTCAAGGATGCGACACAGTTTGTAGTCGATGAGCTGCGTGCGGCCAACGGCGACGGTGGTGTCATCGCTATCGATGATGCTGGTAACGGTGAGTTGCAAACACTCAACATATAACCCACCCCTATTGACCTATGGACAGTCGCAATGACTCTCAACTGTCCTGGTATGTACCGTGGCGTGATCTACGAAGATGGGGTACCGAAAACAGCCATCTTTTCCGACGAGGAAGTCCAATAGAGGAAGACTTTGAAGAAGACAATATTATAGTAATACAGGGTGTTCGTAGTTCAGGACTGGTGTATGCATGGGTTCATTACACGTGAAACGTACAAATACAAAGGTCATCATGATAAATGCCACAGCCTTCCATAGCATCTCATGCAGCCATCGGCTCGGCGAAGTGCTTCCTGCCTCCTGGCGGAACGTCGAAATGGTACAGCGGCTCGATGTCCTTCACCTTCATGCGGAAGATGTGCTTCTTGATGTTGTGCGGTAGTGCCTTGATCTGGTAACGCGCATGTTGGCCGGTCGGCACAGAGAATACTGCAAGTCGCTTAGTAAGGTTTGTAGAGTGGGGACCGACGACAGCATACCTTCATCCAGTTCCTCAAGCGTGAGCGCCTACAAGCCCTTGCCTTAGTCTCATTAGACTACAAAGACTGGCCATGTGACGCACCTTCGTCTCGGGGAGGAACAAGAGGATAAGGAAGAAACCGATAATGTTCCAACCCGCATACCAGCCGAACGCGCCTTGCGGCGTGAAGGTCTTGAGCAAGGCAGGGAATGTGATTGCCACAACGAAGTTGAAGAACCAGAGCAACGCCGTTGCTGATCGTTAGGAGTTAGATTGCAGACATTCAAACCAAGATAAGGATCGACGTACCCCAGGACATGCCGATCTCACGGATATACAGGGGGAACGCCTCCGCCGAATAGGTGAAAGGTACTGGACCTTCACCAGGCGAATAGACGGCGGTATAAAGATAGATCCCAAGGGCCACTACCGCGATGCGCCCGGTCCCTTCAGGGATGAAGCTACGGCGGAGACATACAGTCAGCATCACTATAACTCTAAAGTGGGCGAAGTCGGCGCACAAAGAGAATCCGGTCAGAAGGAGGAAGATAGCCATGAACGGGAACGTTGTCAAGAGTAGGTTACGCCGACCGAATGTGTCTATTGTATAGACCTATCGCGACTCATCAGACAACAGCCGACGAATAGGGAAGCAATACGTACTGCAGGGAGGGCGAAGACAAAGTTCACCATTCCGAAGCCCCAGGAAGCAAGAAGCGCGCTCGATTCAGAATATCCGAACTCGACGAAGATCGACGACGAGTAGTATGCAATCCTGGATGATACCGCGTGAGCAAAGATCAAGAGGGAACGTAATGGCTATGACATACGCATTGACACCGCAGAACTGTTGCATGAACCTAAGGCGGGTGGTAAGCAGCACAATCGAAGGCCAACGACTGGGGCACTAACATGACGATGGAAGATGCGAGTGTTGCGCGACGGTTACGCGGGACAGTGAATAGCTCGAGGAAGCGGTTGCGACCGCGCGAGATCTCCTTCTCGGCTTCGAGGAAGACGTGAATGTCTGCAACGCAATGAGCAATTGGAAGGCATGAGGATGGGTAGCACACGCACAGTAAAGGTCGCGCGCAGCTTGGAGCTCGTACTTGCGGAGGCGCATAAGCGAAGCGAAGGCTTTATCGTAGCGTCCTTTCGAGACTAGCCAACGCGGTGACTCGGGCATGAAATAGACTTGCGCCATGAGGAATACGGCAGGAACGCCAGCCTATGCAAAACCATTTGAGTCAATGATTATCGAGCACTGAATACGGCGACGCACAGAACCGAGCATCAATCTCCAGCGCAGACCAGTAATGCCATTCTGGTCTGCGACGTGGTAAAATGCCAGATCGGCCACATATCCGAACATGATCCCAAAAGCCTGTAACTATCGTTCAATGGGTCGCACAGAGAGTGAACGAATCCACTGACAGTCCATGCTATCAACAGAGTCAATACGTAGAAACATGGACTGCAGACGCGAAGGCGACGTACTTTGCCACATCATGACTAGGGCACCACGAATTTGCGGTGGCGCGCACTCCGCCGCATAGACAGGGACAGTCGCACTCTTCGGACCAATGCCAAGTCCGAGGAAGAACCTGGCGATGAAGAGATGGGGCCAAGAATTGGTAGCGCCTTGCCAGATGCAAGTTGCGAACGAGAAAAATGCGGAGACAAAGATGGCCCCTCGTCGTCCCAGCAGTCTATTGAGTGGCTCCGTCAGCCAGCAACCGATGAACGCGCAGCAGAGCTAGGTGCAACGTGAGCCTGAAGCGCGAGGTGTCAAGAGGCGGATGCGGCTCACATATGGTGCCGAATTGACTAGGCCGACTAGCCACTGATTACGCTGGCTAGCACCATCACCATCCGTAGGTATCCCGAATTGCCTGTGAGAAGAGCATGTGAGTGTTGAAGCTGCGCAGCGAAGAAGATGTATGATTTACGATGGGAAAAAAAGGTTCGCGCCGTTGATGACGGCCTCGTCCATCTGCACGTACACATCAGACCCCAATTCCTATATCCGCCGCACAAGAGTCAAACTCACGCCTTGAACAGCGGCCGCAACCGAACACAGGACGACCAGCCAGTAGAGCGTGATGGGATGATCCCAGCGGTGAGTTCTCTCCCTCCTGATGATCTCCTTGTCCTCCGCGCTCAGTTGGGTTAGGGACTCAAATGAAGTTGGGTCCTGTGCTACGAGAGCACCTTTGGAAAAGGTCTCGGCTAGATGACCGAGACCATGCTCATGAGCGAAGTTAGCGGCGTCGGCCCAAACCTGGTCCTGAGGAATCCCCTCAAGCGGGTTTGCGAGGCGCTCGTTGGCGTTCTTGCTGGCAGTTTCGAAATGCCCTATCTGGCGACCGTCGAGTTTCTCGTTCTGCGAGGTTACAGGTACCTGCTTCTTGCGTTCAGCAGAAACTGGAGAGGATCGGTCCGACCCGGCGTAGGTCTCAGTATGCTCAGCAGTAGCCATGACAGAGTCAAGCCCAGACGCGAGAACGGCGGCGGTAATACGAGAAAGACGTCAGAGATCTCTAAGAGCTGGGCTCTAGTGGTCAATAAGGTAGGTCCGCTCCTTTATACAGTGAGCGCCCAAAGACGTCCCTGGCGAGCACGATACGATCAGCACCCCGCCCCACACCCCACATCAGCCTCGCAGAGCTTGCCACTCGGCCAAGACTAGCAGGAGACCCCGCAGCCGGTCAGAAGAGAACCCGTAAGTAGCACGACTTGCGTCACAGTGCAGAACCGGGCCCGAAACTAAATCAGCGCAAGTCTATTGACAAGCACATCAGGTTGGAGCACGAGACTTATGATGAGCGGGAACACCGGTAGCGAGACTCGGACATTATCCCATTCTCGTTCCGTAGAAGATAATGCAATGGTGTCCTATGCCGGGTAGATGTGTATCCTGCGTCGTGGTGGTAGAGCTGAGAGCTCCTGGTGAGCTGTTGCTCGTCACGGCCGTCGCGTCACGCGTCAGTTTCGCAGCCATCAGCGTGATGATAGGCCGCCGGTCCGTGTCTGTAGTAGCACCGCACTGATGTGGTATGCCGTATCTCCTACGCCCCAACTCTCAACAGGCTCAGATACAGTAGAAAATATGACCGGCCCGTCGAAGGGGTTCTGACAGCCATTGACGTATACGGAGGAGCTTTGTTCGCTCAACACTAGATCTAGGACCCAGCCGCGCGCACGCTGCCCGAAGCCCGATCGACACCGACTTGTAGTCATAGGGCGCAGCAGCCCTTGCGAGGTCCACGGGAAGATCCCCTGTGCTGGAAGAGTTTGAAGGGATACGCATCAAACCTTGAGACGAAGTACTTGCGGCTCACTCCCAACGCCCACTGGGTCTTGCCTATACCGCGTGCCTCTTCTTGTTACGGACCCCCTTTCCGGACGAAGCACAATACCCATTAGTCCCTCGTATCGATCAGCCTGTGACCTCCGACATTATGAAGCCATGGACGTTTTTCACTGCGTTTTTGGGTGTAGACCTCTTCGCGAGGGTATTATTCGTGAAGCAAGCCAGCAAGTAGTAATACAGGTACATGAACAAGTGAAACGTGAATAATCATGAGAGCATGTCAAGTACACATCCCAAAAGAGACGAGGCAGAGTCAAGGCAAGGCTCATGCAGCCGCATGCTCGACACGCTCCTCCTGGATCTTCTCCTTCTCGTTCTCCAGGCTCGCCGTCTCGCTGCGCTCGTGCTGCACGTGCTCGTGGTGGAAGAGAGGCGCGAGCTTGGCGTCTTTGCGCATGAAGACCCAGCGCTTGAAGAAGTAGGGCATGGTCTGGGTGAGCTGGTAGCGGGCAAAGACGCGCGTCGGGACAGAGAAGATCTGGTCTAGCTCTTCCAACGTCCTTTGTTTGGTCTCGGGCACGAGGAAGAAGATCATGAAGAAGGCCGTTACGTTGAGGCCAGCGTAGAAGCAGAACGCGCCAGTAATCGTCATGGCACCGACCTGACGTGTTCTATGAGTATCTGCGGACAGCACAGGCACGATTATATGAACATACCATGCGAGGGAACGTGATGGAAAGAACAGCCGCGAAGCCAAGGCAGACAGCAACAGCCCAAGCCATACCCTGCTCACGATGTGACAAGGGGAAGACTTCGGCTGAGTACGTGAACGGCACGGGGCCCTCACCGGGCGAGTAAAACGCCGCGAACAGGTAGATGAAGAACGCGACAAGACCGACGGCGGTGGTGCTGGTGGATGGCCTGATGAGGAAGCAGAGGCCGGCGGCGAGAAGTGACCAGGCCATTTGCGGGAACGTGAAGAGCAGGAGAGTACGACGGCCGAACGTATCGATGGTGAAGATAGCGGGCCAGGCAAAGGCGAAGTTCACAGCACCGAACCCGAGCGAAGCGTAGAGAGCGTTGCGTGAAGAGTAGCCGGCGTTCGCGAACACACTGGACGAGTAGAAGGCGATGATGTTGATACCGCACATCTGCTGGGCCAGCATGACGACACCCGAGGCAACGGTGGCGCGACGAACGCGAGGGATGGTAAAGAGTTCCATAGCGCGGGCGAAGAAAGTGGCGGCACGGATGATCTTCTGCTCCTCGGCAATCTGAACGGACATGTAGTAAAGGTCACGCGTCGCCTGGATCTTGTGGTGACGAAGCTTCAGCAACGACTTGTACGCGTCCAGGTAGCGGCCCTTCTCTGTACAGATTATAAGTTTCGCCACAGCGGTATATAGTGAGCAGGGACGTACTGATAAGCCAGCGAGGTGACTCCGGGCAGAACAGGATACCGCAAGCGAGGGGAACAGCTGGGATGAAGGCCGAGCCGAGTTGCAAGCGCCACGCAATCGCGCCAGTGTTCTGAACGACGACGTTCGCAGCGTAACCCAAGAACAAGCCAAACGCAGTCCACAATCTGCGAGGAGGCACATGCGTGAGACTCAATCATCCAGATATCGAACAGTAAATCAACGCACTGCCAACCCATAACGAGCGCGCCGCGAATTTGCGCGGGAGAGTTTTCAGCAGCGAAGACGGGTACTGTTGCGCCCTTGCAGCCCATACCGATACCGAGGATGAGACGGACGACGAAGAGGGTCTCCCATGAGTGCGTGAATCCAGAGCCAATAGGTGTGGCGATCAGGATGAGCGCCGTAATGAACTGCAAGGAAGCGTGGTCAGAAACTTCCCCAAATGGCAAATTCACGTGGACTCACAATCGTCTTGCGACGGCCAAACCAGTTGTTGAGCGGGTCTGCGAGCCACGCACCGACGGCTGCCGAGGTAATGTAGGGAGCGGCGTTCACGACACCGACAATCCATTGGTTGCGAGGACCGTGGACGGGGTCGTCCTCAGCGATGCCAAACTCCAGAGGGAAGGACAAGTTGGCGCCGTTGGAGCCAGTCTGATCCCAACCCTGCGTCGCTGCACCGACGGAACACTACGAATGGACGGATTAGGAATACGAAACGCGGAGGTGAGAAACCGAACTCACAAGGAAGATAGTAACATAAAGGATCATCGGGTGCGACCACTTGTGAGCGCGCTCGTAGCGAATAGCCTCCTTGTCTTCCTCGCTCAAGTCGGCGATGTTCTCAAAGTTGTCCGGGTCCTGGGCGAGGAGAGCGCCCTTGCGGAAGGCGTCGTTATCGGGCAGGCCCTTCTCGGCAACGAACTCGTCGACGTTGCGGAGTAGATGGTGCCGCGACAAACCCTCGAGCGGGTTGATAATCTTGGCTGCCACCTAGGAAAGAAGGCGTGCTGTCAGCGAGCGAAGAAGGAAGGCAAAGAAGCGAGGTGGAGTACGAACATTGTGGTTGAGGTCCATGCGCTCGGTTTGGGAGATCTCTTGCTTCTCGGCCATCTTTGTCGTTCGTGAAGTACAAGGATGAAGGGAAGGGAGGCCGGGCAGGACACGAAGGAACAGCAGGAGACGCTCGGGCAGCAGGGCTTTATACTGCATACAGACTCGCCAGGGCCGCTCCCTCGGTAAGGAACCCCTAAATTCGCTGTGCGCTGCATTTTTTGATCCCGCCGTCCACCATCAATCGCGATCGCGCACCCCGCGTGCATTTCCCCCGCCTTCCCCATGGTGCCCCGCGCTCGTCGCTTCCTCTCTCGAATCCCGCCCCGAGCGCCCTCTGCTTGCGCTCTTTCTTCGTCGCTTTCCTTCAGTATCTCGTGTTTCCTTTTCGTTGATGCGAGATACGCTGAGAACTTGTAGCGCTTCGTCACGTTCCTACAACGCGCCACAAACGAGCTAGCTGCCTTCTGATGACATCTCCCAGCGTCAATGTCAGGAACGGTCCCCGTGTGAACATAACGATCATCTGTGGAGCGTCGTCATCTCACAGAAGTTCATCTCTTCCCCTTCTCGTCCCCTCCGCTTGGACATGAATTGTTGACTGGGAGTGACCCTCTATCAAGGCGTCTACAGTCTCCTCCAAAGTACCCCTCACCGCAGTCCAACGCCTCAGGACGGTCGGGCACCTGCAAACCAAGCAAGACGTTGCATACGACCTCTTCCTCCACTTTCTCATTTGTCTCGGCATCGCGATCATCTGACAACCTCCGGTGCTTTCGGTACCGTTCCTGGCTTTGCAACAAGCTCGGCCGCCCTACCCGCCGTTCGCTGGTTTCGTGCGTAACCCTCATCGCCATCTTTTCCAGAGCTGCGCTGGAGGCTCGTACGTTATTCGCATGATTGACGAGTATATTCAAGAGCAGTCAGAAGGTTGCGATCTCGTATGCGCGCGTATGCTTTGTACGATGTTCAACACGATGTCGCCCTGTCCATTTCGTTCGTGCTCAGCCGCCAAATTAGGCATGCCTCGCGCTACGCTCTTTCATGGCATACAATCAGAATCCTTGCTCTTGGCTCTTACGAGAATTTCTTATTGCTCTGAGACTGCATCCATGTCGTTTTCTCGAACCTCTCCGCGCCCGCGTCTAAACGTGCCTGCTCTTCGTCCCCAACGGGCAGAAAAAAGGTCTCAGCTCCATACGAGCTCCACCAGGATCGACAATTTCATCCGCGGAACTTCACCGTTGCTGTCGAGCGCACAATCCCCTACCGATCGACTGTACCGGCGGGCGAGCTTCTGTACTTGTATTTCAAGTTCCGACAAATGCGTACGCGCGTGGAGCACCGGCCGACGCAGCGCATAGCGTATCGTCGCAAAGCAGCTCTCTTCCAGAAATCCAGAAACGTACAAACATGTCGGGTCTTGGTCTCGCCTCCGCGAGCTTTTGTGCTCGAGCACCTAGTTCCGTACCGCTCTAGCCGGCGGGTGCAGAGCTTTATCTTTATTCCAGCCCCGTACGCGCCACTCGGCCTGCCGCAGTGAGCGCTAATTGAGGAGTTTAGTGCGGGCATAACAACTAAAGCACGGAGAAGTTGAGACGGAGACGTTCGGCCCTCGGGCGCGGGAGCAAAAGCCCTGCATGATGCACACCCCGACCGTCGGCCCGAACCCCGCAAAACATCATACGTCCCCTGGAGGCGTTTGTGCGGCCCCGTACCCCGCCCCCACATTTTCTTCTTCCAACCACTGCACAGAGGGGAGGATGTCAAGAAGAGAGACGTCCGACGCAGAGGGCGGCCGGCTACTTAGGCCGAGCGTGGCACTTCTCCGCCGCATCCTTGGCCTGCGCGCTTGATTCCGGGCTGGCGCGAACCATAAACGCCACCGAAGTCATCGGGCGGGATGCCGCGCAAGTAACCACGCATCTAAGTTCAGTGACAGTTGCATCAACGAGGGTCTTGGAGTGGTACGGGACGCCCAGCACAGGCATACACGTACCGCATAACGACGGTGTCGTCGGCTGTCATCGGCCACTTGAGCAAGGCAATGTGCTTGTTCGGATATATGTGCGCAGTCTAGGCGGTGCTTTGACGCTGTTAGGGAACGATCGCGTGCAAGGAGCTCTTGAGCTTGGGCGTCCACTCACTGGATCTTAATGAGTAATGTATGCGGCCCGTCTGGGAAGACGGGTAGCGATAAGCGTCCGAGGAGCTTATGGCGGGAAGAGAACGCGTTACATGGTACCATCTCAGGGAGGTCTGGCCACATATCAGGCTTCTGCGGCGCCTAAGGGCATCTGAAGACGCGTGTTGTGTAGTAAGCTGTGAGCTCAGCGACCGAATTGTCGAGATTAACAGAAGAACACGGCGCTTCATCGAAGCGATTCAGACAGACTCGAGCTCTCGAAGGGTTCAAATGTCAATCGGTGGCTTCCCAGATTCGGCGCGTGGTAGCCCACGAGTACACTCTTACAGATAACCGCCGTCCTGTCTGAACGCCAAGCCAAGTGTAGGCATACGTGTGCGGAAGAAGGGCGGTAGCCGTTGGTGAACGTGCATAGATGTGCATGCATCTTACGGGCGCATGGATTCCCTGCGATTCATCGGCAAGAGACGGGAACAAAACCATGTACCGTACATGATAGCTAGCCTCGTAACCAGTCCGCTATCTGAGCATCTCGTTATCGGTCCAAGATTCGAGATTGTGAGCCCTGCCTGCAAGCAACCGTGCACGCTTCTGTTCACGTACAGGCATACCTGAATGACCAATTGTGACCTGTTGTCGATGGCTGCAGGCATTGAATAAAACCGTGACTCGCTGCGATCCATCCCTCGCGCATATGCGCACACGACGGTTCATTCTGCTGATACGATGGAGATATCGCTATACGAACGCGCAGAGGCGTGGTGCCTTCGCTCGGATCAGATGCGTCTCGGACAGACGGGATAGTGTAGAAGTAAGTAGGGTAGGGCTTATGTACCGACCCCTCTTCAGCTGTGGCACGCCGCTCTCAACCTCGATAATGACATCACACCCTGCAAACAGTGCCGAAAGCGAAGTTTGAGCTTGAGCAAAAGCTTGTGATACCGATAAGAAAGACCAAGCGCATCGTGTCTATTGTGCCCTGAGTGTGAGGAGTTGACGCTACAGGTACGCACGCGGATGACCCCGACGCGGCCCGGGCGGGGTACGGTTAACAGTGCGCATGACGCGTGTGTACAACACTATACGGTAGCGTGCCGATCGTTGGGGGTAGATAGTTGTTCCGGTGTACGGCTGTGAAGAGAATGTTCGGCAGGACTGCGCAAGACGAGGAGGGCAACGGCGGGCGTCGGATGGTATTCTTGTCGGACCGGTGAACCGACTGTATTATAATTCCGACGCAGCCCGAAAACATGATGGAGGACAAGATCAGCGCGCAGGGGAAACAAATATAAACGCCGGACCAACTGTAAGTAACCTTGTTATCGTGTACGTACTCGGTCAAGGTACATTCTGTACTGATGTCAAGAAAGACGCGTAGACTAGCTGTAAGTATGGCTCCGTGCTCTGTTGTTCTTCTCCAGCTGGACAAATATGCATCGCGAGTCGGTGATGTCTTGAATGAGCCAATCGTAGATGCGATGAAACGCAGCGGTGCGCAAGGAGTTCCGCGTAAACGAGCACATCTAGCGCAGGTAAAAAAATCCTGTGTCGAAGGTATATGCCCCCCAACATTACTAGAATCAGTGGAATATGCTTTGCCGTTGGATACGTTTGAGCTTCTGTAGACTGAACTGGAAATTCAGAGTTGGACTCGCCCGAACTTCCCGAACTTGCAACGAAGCCGGCTGATAAGCCGGTACACGTTTCCCTCCAACAGCGTTCAACACGGACACACGGAGAAACGTTGCGAGTGTAGGACCCGAGCTCCAGAGAGAACGGTCGCAGTACCGAGTAATGAGAAAGAGAAGGACCTGGCCTCAAGAGACCGCACATGCCCGTGAGTCCGCACCCGACGGCATCGGCGGCGGCCAGGCATTTCGCAAAAGCAGGCTCCTGCCGGCGCATTCCCAGCCCGACGCCGCAGATCTCAGGTTCGACTCCAGGATGCAGACGTACAAGACAACCTCAGCATTTGCTGTACGCGACATAGGGTCACTGGAGAGAATGCAACGTGGGAAATGGGAAGTTTCTCAGTGCGCAAGCGCGCAATGGGACATAATTGAAGCGCAGACGGCTAGTGGCAGTATGTACATGAGAGACCAACGAGACACGGAGAGACGACGACAGACAAGTTTTAGAAGGCTATGGTGTGGTGATGCAGACTAACAGACAGGATGCGAAAACGAAGTACTGGTGGGGACAGCGAATAAGGGGAATATTTTATGAAGACGAGCTTAACTGAGTGTTCATGGGTTTTTGGAGACCGACAGACACTAGAGTGAGGTTAGGAAATGATGATGAGGAAGACGACAGAGGGCGCCGGTCGACAGTGAGTGGCGGTCGAGAGATGCTGGAGGTGCTTGCCGAAAGCGGGTCGAAGGTCGAGTGATGGGTCGGAATCGAAGTGGTAGGTGTCGCATAGGTCGGCGGTCGGAGAGAAGGTTGTCGGCAGCGTCATGTCGGGGGGAGAGTGGTCGGAGTCGGGTCGAAGGCTGAGGTCGAGATTGAGTCGGAATATCGGTCTGTCGATGATGTTGATGCTGATATGATGGCGGAACGGAACTGGAGAATACGAAGCTAGTCAAACACACAGAGAACAAGAAAGAAACGTCAGTCGCAGGCGCGGCCGGAATGCGGTGTCGGTTGCTGATCGTCGTCTAGTAGTCGGGGTCGAGCATCTCGATGGCGCCACATTGTTCGCAGTGAGACCACATCGTCCGTGAGCCATTGAGACCGGATGAGCAGGCGATACGGAGCTTGGGAATCTGGGTGCAGGAACTAAAGGTCTAATGAGAGACATTCTTGGAGGTGCGTTGTGAGAGCTACCGACCCGTTGTGCATGAAGCTAGACTTCGGTTGGATGAGGCCGACTTCGCGGGGAGGGGTGGCGATGCGGGAGAAGTTGTGCGAGTCGACATTGACGGAGCCGTCAGGGTGGAAGAAGGGCTCGGGACGAACGTTGAAAGAGGGGACTGTACGTGGAACATAAACATCAGTATCCGGGTATTGCCGAAAACATGAGCATATACTAACATGAGGCACCCTCAGACGACGACGAGTATGCGCTGGCGCCGGAATCGTGACGATAGTGGAAGTTGTCGTTTGAGGGCGTGTACGGCGAGGGGACGGAGGACGACGAGTCTGACATATCGACGTCCATGTCATTCTGGTAATTTGGAAAGGGCACCAGCTTGAGCTGCTTGGCCTATATGAAGGGAGCATGGTGAGCACGTTGTATGCACGACGCGACGCGACGCGTTTGTGGGTCCACACTCACGCTACGGTCCTCGCAGGCATCCTCAGAGTCGAACTTGCGCTTGCACATGATGGAGGAGTTGAGGAAGAGTGTATGCAGGTGCGGGAGAGGGGCAGATGGTGGTAGGCTGGAGACCAGACGTCGTGGGACAACTGTCGAACAGCTCAGATTTATCCTACTCAGTTTTTGGCCTGTACGCATCAGCCGGCGTCCGTCCGGCGGAGGCACTTTTGGACCACAAACTACCTTTCCGAGGGCGTTTCTACACTCGAACCCCGGTTCCTCTACGTTTCGTCATTCGGCCTAGACTCGGAATCACGGGTTGACCGAGTTGTTGTCCGGCGATGAACTGATGGGATCTACAAGGTTGCGCCGCTCTGTTGGAGGTTCCACAGTCCTACGGCCACACTTGTCAGCATATTCCCAGTGCCTAGCCTCCCAGACTGCTTCTGTAGCACCCAGGATCATCTGACACGGGCAGCGGTTGCTCTCAGCTCATGAGTAGCGATACAGCGGTACACTCACCGTGTGGCGAAGCCCGGCCAACGCCGGCGTGATGTTCGAAATGGCAACTTCCACGTGTCCTGTTCTTGAACACGGACGCTTCTTTGGTTCAACAGTCTCTACGAGAGCACAAGCCCTTTCACCACTACTACTTGACTTTGAACCACCATGATTGAGCCTACAGACGTTCCACTACCCGCAATCCTCGACTCAGTGCTTGACTACCTCTATGATGTTCTGCCACCGGGCGTCTACGACTTCATGATGAGCGCCGCCGCGAACCTGCTTGCGTTCGGCACAGCCGCATACAATGTAATCATCTACCTCGCGGGTGCAAAGCCTTGGGAGTGGGATGCGCAGACTATCATACCGCCACTCATTGCGCTTCTTACTGCTTATCTCGCACTGCTCACCGCTTGGCGTACTATCTCGTGGATGGTCCGGTCTACGATCTGGGTCATCAAGTGGGGAACTATCCTGAGCGTCCTCGTCGGAGGTGCCGGCTATTTCGCAGGCGGAGGTGCGAACGGTGGCGTCGCGAACGGTCCAGGAGCGAATGGTGGCGTAGGGTTTGCGCAAATGGCCGGCGCCGTATTCGACATGTTGCGAGGCGCCGGCCGTCAGGCAACCACAGGCGGCGAGGAAGAGGGTGCCAGGCCGGGGCGCGCACGCCCCGCCGCATGGGAATCCTTTGACGCCCACCGTGAATGGCAATTCGAGGAGGGCGCCGAGCGCCAGGGGCAGGCCAATCCCGGTGCGGACGAGGTGCAGAAGGTCATTGATGGGATAATGACCCAGATGCGCGACGGTGGCATTTGGGGGATGGCGCAGGGCGTCGCGAGCAGCTTCCTGCCGAAGCGAGACCCCACTCGGCAGCGTCGTCAACGGCCACGTAGGGGTGCCGCTGGTGCTGCTTCCGACGCTTGATGGCGATTCAGTCTCGCTATGGATATATTTGATGATCTTATGAGTTTTGTATCTTCCCCACGATTTCTCGATTATTTCTGTGCTTTGATATGTTGTGCTTTCGCGCTTGTTATCCTGGTTGTAGAAATGGAATGCATCGCAGAAACTAGTAGTAAAAAGATGTACGATAAGGGGCAGGGCTCTACGCTGGGGTCGGCTTGACCGTCTCTGGCTGTTTCCCGTAGCGATAGCTGTGCCGCATGTGAGAAGGAGAAGAACGAAAGATGCGAGTCGGAAGAACGTACTTCGCGATGCGACCCAGCTGTGTGAGACCCGACATGCCGACGAAGAAGTTGACCTATATCGAGTCAGTTCGGGCCCAGTGCATATGACCATACCAGAACGTACGGCCGCAAGCGAGTAGTTGACCGGTGTGATGACGAACGAGTAGCGCACCCAGATCAGGCCGGTTGCGGCCAGAGCTACGAATATAGCCTCATTAGACGCGGAGGATCCCCGCACAGGCGAAAGGCACACGCACCGACGTTCTGCGACACACTGAGCTTCTCTGCTGGCCTGCCCATGTCCTTCAAGCCAGCCGCGACCAGACACCACTTCATGACGGGCGCCCAGAAAAAGACCGTCTTGGGTCCTACACACAAGGTTAACCCCAGAATATTTCTGCGCGTGCGAGCAGACTACGCACCTGCGGGGTGATTCATAAAGTTCGCAAACTTCGATGCGCCTGCAGATGATGCTGCTCCCGACATAGTGCTAGTATAATATGAGTGGGGAGGGAAGGGGCAGAGACAGGCGCAGGCGAGCAGGTGGTGGTAAGTACAGACGTCGGAGTCGGCGCGATGACAAAATGGCTCGCTGTCGGACGCGCTTCGGACACGCGCGTGGATCACACTTTCATTCGACATCCAATTAAATTACGCGATTCGTGCGGTATACATTATGAGGGACTACGTAGTACAAACGGCACAGTGGTACTCTTACAGGCGCAGAACTAGATACAGGCTACTCCAAGTCATAAGTAGAGGCTGACACTATCGTACACGTACACCTTTCAATGCAGTCCAGGTTGAGTTTCGCGGAAGGGTATCACCGGTTCACAGCGCCAGCGCCAGGGCGGAACGGAAAGCTTTACTTTGGGCACATCCATGATTAGTAGTAGTCCCTGCTCCTGCTATGGTGCCGACTGGTTCCAACATGGCTGTGGCGGCGGTGACGATGGTGCCGATGCCCAGATCCACTGGAGCCCGCGATGATGACAGGCTGCTGGTAACCAGAACCAGTGTAGCTGGACGGGTATCCCATCTGGGCCCCAGCGTCATAGACGCCCTGAGCGCCGCCGCTATACGCTTGGGCATATTGCGCCGTCGCACTCGCCGGATATCCCATGGCCCCCGGCTGCGAGTAACCCGTCTGCATAGCCATCGGCATGCCGGAGATAGGGCTACCACTAACCATTGGTGTGCTGGAAGCGTACCCATACGGCGAAGAGCTGATTGGTACGGCAGCAGTCATCGGGGTGCCGACGACGGAACCGCCGCCGCCGTAGACTGAGCCACCCCCTCCGTATCCACCGCTGCTCGCGTAACCAGAGACGCTGCTGCCAGCATACGAGGGTACGCCTCCTGGCATAGGTGAACGGCTCCGACGGCGCATGAAGGAGTCTCCGATACCGCCAAACCCTGAAACCGAGTTGCGACGGCCGCGGTAGTACGCGTCTGCCGGGGTTTCGCCATGACGAAGAACGTTACCGCCATCCATCTTGCGCCTGAGGATATGGCCGACAGTAGCAGCTGCGGCTTCCGCGGCGAGCTGACTGGCGTACTGATCATAGCCGCGGCCTGTATCCTGCCAGAGACGAACAGCTGGGGGAACTGATCAGCGAGGATATGAAAGACGTTGGAGAGCGGATACGCACCCTCTGCCACTGCAAGTCCATGCATGGCCTCCTGACGGCGATCGTAGGGGTTGAGATAATCATAGTGAGAAAGCGTGTGTCGGAATTGACGCCATGCTTCATACGCCGCTGCAGCACCGACTTCTTCAGGTAGAAGACGGGAGAGTTCGGCCTATCAGTGAGCCCTTATGGTCAGTACATGAGGACTTGGAGTGAAATATATGAAAGAGTGACGCACGATGCCACCATACGCCCTCCGATGCCAGTGCTTGGCCTCATGATAGCCCGAACCGACCGCGCCGCCCTGACCAGCACGGCTGACAACGTTCTGGTAGAAAGCGCTATGAGAAGCATTAGGCGAAGAAGCTTTGGGTTGTGTCAACGAAGTACGCACGGGTCATAGGGACCACCCCTCGACGAGACGTGCGCCCGATAGTAGTCAAGACCGTTCCCTACGCCAGGTCAGCGTCGCGTACACACACAACAGCGAGTATACGCACAGTTGTAGTCCGGTTGATAACCTAGCGGCGGAGGCGTTCCGAATTGATACTGGGGACCTTCAGCATGGTGAAAGCGGCGGGCGGTGGCTGAACACGCACCTGCTGTTGTCCCCATCCCGGGGCTGCTTGATAGTACTGAAAAGCCATGGTGATGGTTGAGGGGAAAGAGTGAACAAGAGTCGAGAGAAGGCACGCTAGTGGTAGATATGCGCAGCCTGTAAGCGCTCGAGAAAACTCAAATGAGATCTGACGTCGACGGAGGGGAGAGGTGGTGTGCGCTTGATGATCCGCCCTTCTTATGAGGCACGGGTCATCCTGCAGGCTCGCATCAAGGGGATGGCGCCCGTCGACAGCCCCGAGTTTCAGCGTCGGCCACAAGGACCGGGTGAAGGCTCTGGTAAACACGAAGAAAACTCGCGAACATAATCTGCGTTATCGGCTGGCCATCTCTCAGCTGGCCCACCTCTAATTCATTTATCCCGGATTCCGCGCCGGAAAGCCGCGCAGCAGGCGGTTCATCGCATCGCAGGGTACTATTACATGCAGCAGACAGCCGGCGCCTTCTTGACTCTGCGGGATGACGAATACGTTTGAGTGGCTCCGAAGATTGCTCGGGGAAGCGGGTTGGATGATTCTCGTGGCCTACAACGTCCGAGAAAGGGACAGCAAGCAGCTGGGCGTAAAGAACAAAGATCTTGGCGTGCTGAGCCGCCTAAACGTCCTCACTTGGTCCGCCATTCCGAGGTAGAGTGACAAGGCGTATCTGAAGATAGCTACGCTGACTTTGCGGTACAGGTGGAGGAAGCGACGAAAGGCAAAACGGCAAATGCCGGCGCATCGGGCTCGGAGACGCGTCTCATCCGTGACCACAACACCATACACCACTTCTACATTCATCGCCACCATCTCGGGCGCAGATCATACGCCTGCGCTCACATTACCCTCATGTCCGCCGATGATTCCACCTTCTTCGAGCGAGAACGTGAACGCCTAGCTAGTGAAATCACTTCCGTGAGCTCAGGTGATCTGAAGCGAAACTGCGCAGCTCAACGCTCGCTTGATGCAGGGATTCGAGGAGCTGTTGTCGTCGAGCAACATCCTGAACCGCAAGCTTGAAGACGTGCTGGATACTTCTCGCGACTACGATACTATCGCACAACTATGGAGCAGCTTTCGTGAGATGATGCCCGGGGCGAGAGCTAGCGAGACTTCCGTGGACGAGGAGACAGCGGGTGTACCGGGCACTGGCGGACATGTAGTTTCTGCTTCTGCTTCTGGCGCTGGGCCGTCCGCTGCAGCTAAATCATGATTTGAATATATCCAAGATTGACCACCATTGATCGTGCGAGCTCAATGCCCGGTATGAACCATCTAGGATATCTACTGTGCACCGTATCGTTGACTTGACCGACGCGGATCATTGCTAAAGGTAATAACATTCGGAATCTGGACTTTTACAATAAGCGAACATGGACAAGATGCTCCCAGTTCCCAGCAGAAGACAATCAATAAAGTTACCATAACATCCCTCCGAGTGGCGAATCACTTGCTACCTTGTCAACTAGGAGCCGCTCAGCCTTTGTGGCTCCCGACGAGTGTCGACACCTCTGACAGCCGCACGTCCAACGTCAAACTGTGGGGGTTACGAAGGATAGAAGGAGACGGCCTGCGCTCTCGGTGTTTGGGGATGGGTATCGAGAGCGTTGGAATGACGGGCTCAGAGTGGTGTCTCGCGGAACGCTTGCGACTAGGATGCGTGGGGGTTCGCGACGGTGGTTGTTCTTGTCTGAAGGCGAAGTCTTCGAACGAGTCGTGGTGGGAGTGCATGGAGATCGAGGCCGGCGGCGAGGCGAACGGGTCGTTGGTGTACATGTACAATTCAGTCGGCGTGATCGGTGATTCGGGTTTGTGCACTCGACTGTTGTCGGCGTCGCTGAGCCCTGGACCGGAACTGTACGCAGGGCTAAGGAAGCGCTCCTTGTGGACGATTATGCGAGGGGTGATTGGGAGAGCGACCGCTCCTTCGGTCCCAGATTCGGACGGAGCCAACGGTTCAAGCGTAGTATATACTTTCGTCAACATGAGTACGCCGTCAACCGACAGATCAGTGAGCTTACTATGTAACGCAGCTAGAGTGCCGACAAACCATGCCACGGTCATCCACGATTGCAGCACGAGCTGCTCAGCCAGTACCATGCTGAATACGATGTCGACGATTCCCGCAGCCTGCGATAGGGCGAGCGTGATCCACATTGCCTGATAGTGCCTCTCGTCGTACACTGGCGGGGCAAGAGCATGCGCAACGCTCAGAAGAAGTGCTGGACCGAGGAATGAGATGATAAGATAGGTCGGAATGTGCTTGAGTGCGGTGACATCTGTGAAGGTGTCTGCGATGGCCCAGCCAGTCCCTGGAGCGCGTGTCAATTTGACTATCGAAAGACTACGCCAGATGATGGGCCTACCAACGAGCAAAGGCAGTGCAATGAGAAGGCCCACGAGACGAAGACATGTAGGTGTGAATAGTGAACAACATAGGGAAAGGGTCTGAACGAAGCTCCTCTGTTGGAGCAGAAACAACGCGATGCTGCCGGCTACAATACGCGTCAGGCAATTGATACCCCCGGATGATAATTTCTCTACGCACCGAGAAGCTGCGCGCAGATGCTACATACGTCGTGGGCAACTCCTAAAACCCTCCCTCCTTGCAACCATACCAAGACGCCCAATGTGGCAGTGGCACCCGCGAGTAGCGCAAGTGCAATAGATAGTACAAATGCAAAGGTGTAGCGCGAGCGCCGTCGGCCAGTCCACGCCCATGATAGCTTACGCGCGGCATACAGCTGCAACGCTAGCGCACAGATGGCAGCTGCAACGACGATGAAAAGAATGATAGATGCGGCGGCGACAGCGTTCATGTCGAGATTCCGAGGAAGCACGAACAGTCGAAGACAAAAGGGAGGAGAAGGTATCACTAAGCGAGAGGACGGATACGGGGAGTCATCCGAGCTACCCGCATAAAGCACAGTGTGTACTTTATACGAGACGTCCCAAGCAAATCATCAGACCCGAGAGCGCAGTGACATGTACATCGAGCGGCGATGCGCTTCCATCACAAGCAACCATCCGGCCAAGCATCGCTGAGAAAGGAAGTCTATCTGATAGCGCTTGCGAGGGCATGGATACGACGTCTCCAAAATGGTCTTGCTTAATGGAACTTCGCAGCATCAGGTTCGGGTGTGCAGATCATGTTACACTGGAGGAGCGCGCCTGTAGATGGAGCAGAGGGGTTGATTCGAGGACTGGAAAGGGGCAGGTTACACTGGGACGGCGACGAAAACGCGAAGTAGTCGCGTACGGAAGGACCTCCACGCCCGCTGCGAGTGTACGCGCCGACGCAGCTGCATATATGCATAATAGGTCATGCGTCGACAACATTCAGGATCTGACCAGGGATAGGCGCGTGAAGTCGAAGCGGGTCAGTGAGTCCCATTTCCCCGACCTAGACCGAGCCGCACACGAAATGGAGTATGGACAGCATCGAATGCGCTGCGACAACGTCCGCTCTGGTGTTGGACCAGAAGCCACTAGCCCTGTCAAGCGGGTATCGAGAGGAATTCGTACTGTCATTTCGGAGGTAACAGTTTTTCACCTGATCCCATCCACGCAGGGACAGATATGGACCGCTTCGCACATAGCGACGATGAATGCCAACCTCTCTAAACTCCAGTATACGGCAGTCGGAGAAGATTCCGACTCGTCTACACGTTCGCGCAAAGCACACACTAGAAGCCGATAGTTCTCAAGAAATAGATTGTGTAGAAGAACATCTTGGGATGATGATGCATTATGTAGCGTGGGTGGTGGTGGTCAGAAAGGAGCTGTGCCGCGGTGTTAGCATCGGTTTCGGCCGGGCCGTGCGTGCCTGCGCACGCGTTCTTGGATCCAGACGTCCACCACCCTGCTCACATACCTACTTTGCCGGCTAGTATTCCACAAAAATGAGCTGGAACGGGTGCGTTTGGTCATGTAATACATATGACGGCTGTCTCACAATACTCTCAGATTCAAGAAGACTGTGAATCGCGCGGGAACGACTGTACGCCTGACCCCTCTGGTGTATCCTAGGCCGCCTAACGGACATCGAACGCGCTTCACAGCTCTTGCAGAAGACGGGTCAGATCGAACGTACTGTCGATCATGATTTCACGACTGAAGAGGCGAAGTACAAGATGTACGTTCATACCCCCCATCACCCTACGCAGTCCTAAATGCCCGCCGCGCAGCTACGAGAAGGAGTGCCAGCAACTATTGAAAGACTCGAAGACCTATCTAGATGCTATGCGCAGTAAGTGTGGCTTATGCGACTCTACGCGTGGTATTCAGCCGCGCTGCAGGTATGGCCTCCACACAGACTCGTCTGGCCGAGACGATCGACACATTCTATTCCGCATCCGGTCGCTCTACCGAGGGTGCCATTGCCGCACACTCATATCGCCGAGCTGCAGAAGAGTTGGATACAGGAATCAATCGAGAACTTGTACGTCGATGCTTGCATCCTAAGATCGAAACCCCCTAATCCCACGATCCTGCAGGATCAACCCTTCCGTACAACTGTCCTCGACCCTCTTGGAAAGATGAATGCCTATTTCCCGGTCATCAATGAACACATCAACAAACGCAACAAGAAGCTACTCGACTACGACGCTGCACGGAGTAAAGTGCGCAAGCTTACCGACAAGCCGAGTGATGATCCGACCAAGCTACCCAAGGTCGGTCGTCCCTGCGAAGGCGTCTGATTGTTCTGACGATTGTCTGTAGGCTCAACAAGAACATGATGACGCGAAGGAGGTCTTCGAGTTACTTAACTCTCAACTGACGGAAGAGCTGCCGCAGTTACTCCAGCTTCGGGTTCCCTACTTTGATCCTAGTTTTGAGGCCATGATTCGCATGCAATGCAAGTTTGCGGAGGACGGCTACGAGAAGCTGAGCGGGGTGCAGAGGTGCGTCGCATGTCCAACAACAACCTTCATTTGGGTCACTCAACGGTTACATCGCACGCAGATATTTTGATGATAGTGTGCGCGACGATTACGCCGCGGGGCAGCTCGATGCGCAGGTTGAGGGTGTACTGCAAGAGATGCGCGAGTTATCCATTTGCGGGGCGGCTTAGACCTTCAGTCTATGGAGATTATGTACCTTATCTCCCTCTAGGGCGGACAGCTGTATGATGAGATGCTCTGGTTTATATCAATGCCTGGAATCACATGCATGCCGGTGCATCCGGTGTACGTGAATATCTGCATTCGGGACTGAGATTCATGCGGTATATCTATCCTGTATACATTGTCCTTAATCCACACAAGCAATAATAGGAGTAACCGACGCAGAATACGTCAGTGTTCACTTCATCTTCCTAGTGACGTTATCGTCATCCTCGTCCTTGATCGTACGCGTGTTGTTTGCGGCGACGGCAATGGGTTGGGCGAAATGCTCACGAAGGCGCGACTCGGCCTGGCGATGGATCTCGCGCCCAACTGTCGTGCCTACTTGCAGGAGAGGACCCAGCAAACCCAGTCGCATGACCATGTATCTATAAAGGATGATGTTAGATAAAGGGGCATGTGACTAGTGCCAGAGGGACTGACCCAGCGCCGGCCAGGATGGCCAACATCGCGAAGTAGAGCGGATTGAAGAGGACAGCCATCGCTTCGTTCCATCCGAGCACGACAAGTACACCGTACATCCAGTACGGGATCTGCGCGATGCTCGCAACAGTGCTGCGCTTTGCCTCGACGTAATAAGCATCCGCGTCGCGGCGGAAACGCGTCGAGAGGTCAATTGCCTTCGTCTCGCTGAACACGACGAGCGGATCCAGGATACCGTCATCCTCGTCCAGCGCTGGTGGTTCGATAGCCAGCGACGCGTCGGACGGTGCAATTTTGGCATATAGAGGGATGAGCTCCAGCGTTGAGTCCTTCGCGACCTTGAACGCCCCGTCGATATCGTCCTCCGGCTTCCACACCCGTGGTACACCGTTCTCGTCGTAGCGGAAGCGCTCCTCAAAGAAGCCCCGCAGTTTGCCAAGAATAGCAGCGTCTGCCGTCTGCTCCTCAATCTTTGTCCGTAACGCGCCCCAAGAGCGCTGGCGAAGCGTCTCGAGCGCTGTGTCATTCTCCTCGTCGGTACAGTCGAAGCCTAGCGAGGGTCAGGCCAATGTCCCCACGCTCCTAGAAATGGTACAGCTCACTCTTTGCTTTGGATAGATAATTTTGCTCCGCCTTGTTGAGCGTCTGGGTATACTCTGTCAGAATCTTGTCCCACATGTCCGGCGTGGGCTTGCTCAGAGCAAGCTCAACAGGTTCCGCAATCTGCTTCCTGACGGTACGCTATGTTGATGGTCGGTGTGAGCGATGTAAAATGTCCAAGGATTATTAAGACCGTACCTCAATGGTATTGACCATCTTCTTAGTCTCGTCCTTGCGTAGTTGGTCGCCAACGGCACGGATCTCCTGACGAAGCAACTCCAACTCGTCCTCCCAGGCCCATGCAGCATCACCCTCGACGACGACTGCCTCCTTGGCGCCCTCGACAAATAGTTGCTCTGCGCTTTCACGAGCGCCCGATAGAACGGTGGCGAAGTTGTAGTCGGCGGCCTTAAGGCCAACTTGAATATCCGTTTTCAAGCCAGTGAGAGCGGCCTTGTGAAGGTTCTTGAGCTGTCCGAGGAAAAGAGGAGAGAGGACAGAGTCAAGTGCGGCGACGAGATCAACCCGCTTGCGTTTGTATACGCCCTGGTGGTAGCGTGAAGCCGCCGAATCGAAACGCGCTGCCAGGATGAGGTCAGACCGGGTGACTGAGTATGCGATGTGAACGCACCGAGAGCTTGGGTACGCCATGCACGCATCGACTTGCCCAGTCCCTCCACGACTTTGCCAATCTCAATCGGTCGCTTTTGGGACTTCGCCTGCTCATTGAATTCGAGCAGCGCTCCCTGAGCGATCTCGTCGCAACGGAACTGGGCGAGCAGCTCCTGCTGTGTGGGCAAGTCAAGGTCCTTATTGGTCTGGACTTGTTCCTGCAGTCGCGGTCAGATCAGACGCATGTAGTTGATTCACCCTGGTACGAACCCAGATGCTCTCCATATAATGGGGAATGCCATCTGCAGGGATGCGCTTGTGATAAGCGGGCTTGAAGACGTAGTCGTCACGAGACTTGTCTACAAAACGTTTCCGCAACTCGTTGACGTCCGCCTCGAACTTCTCTGGGACGAGAATCTTGTGCGACAAGCCGGTGAACGCAAGATCAAAGTAGTCGCTCAGCTTGCGATCTTTCAGTTCTTCGGGTTTTGACAGACCCTCCCAGATACGCTCTAGGTCCGCGGTGAGGGTGTTCTGTAAGTTGACAAGAGGCGTCGTCCCTATGTGGTCGCGGATGACGAAGAGAAGGAGCGTGCGCTGATTCTTGCTGATAATGAAGCGTGGGTATCGAAGTGCAAGAAGTCAGGAGGCGGTAACGTACCTCTCCGCCGAGCGCTTGCCGAACAAACCCAGATTTACCTCAAACACGGTCTTTAAAAGGCCCATATTGGCACCTTGGTAAAGACCGACTTGATGTTCCCAGATGTTGACAAGGAGCACCTCGGAGGAAGCTAGAGAGAAGAGCGCAGACTTCCGCTCGAAGTCCTATGATGAAAAAAGTCAGCATGTGTCGGGCGCCAAAGACAACACGGGGCAAGTCCATGAATTATATGCGCGCGCATGGTGTTGCAGCATGCACCAGCCACATAGTTCATACACGCGTAATGCAGCAGGCACAGCTTCTTTCCGGAGCGCTGACTTCGACAGAAAGTTGACACGCGCAGCGGGTGCTGCAAGCAAATTGCAGACAAGCTCATCGATACCAGGCAGCATGGGAGGTCAGAGTGAATGTCGGTACCTACCTGGTCCTCTCCGCGCTCTCTGCCGTCTGTCCCCTCCACATCCATGACCATGACATTCATACCTTTCCCTCTACACATCCAGATACCTATGGTGTTTAAAACGTCAGTCCCCATGGAGCTGCGGGTGCATAGCTCGCCGCGCACCTTTAGTGGTCTGTTGACGCCTGGTTTCGTCCATCACATCGAAGTTGGTACCGAAGAGACGGTTGAGTAGTGTACCTAGCTAATTTTCAGTCACAGTCCAAGGTATTGCAGCAATTGCGCACTTTTGCCGGTAGATTGAGATCCGAATACAGCTACAACATTATAGTCGAAGCCAGCATCACGTAGACCCCAGTGCGCAAGCTGGTCATTCAAGTCTTGGCTGTAGCGCAAGCTCAGTCTGACCATCTTTCGAGCATTACAGCAAGCTCTACATACGTGAACCGCTTCTCATCGTCGACGATTTGGATGCGGTCGGCTGTTGGTGCGTGACCGTTCATGATGGATACAGAGGGCGTCGTGAGGTTCCGTAACAGTTAATCAAGCGTAGCGCTCGGCGCAGAGGTAGTAGTATGATCAGATGTTATATTCTTTGTCGCGCGAGCTTTCCGGTACAATATCAAGGAGGCAAGGCAGGAAAGCGCAGCGAGATGCAAGTGGAGGTGCAAGCAAGCCTGGTGCGCAACGCGAGTGACGTGAGACATCAATTCCGCCACGTTGATCGCGCGTTGTGGCCGAATCCTGGGTCGCGGCCCTCTTCCTCCCGTCTCCCATGACCAGCGAACGGATGACCGCGGACGCCTTATCCGTGCTTGCAGGCAGCTGACCTCAATGGAGGTTCAGTGTGATTGGCACAATGAGAAGGTTGTCTTTCACCCCGACCGTCGCTTCTGGTCCGATATTGTCGCGGCTTTCGAGCCTACTATTTCCTGTCATGATGGATTTCGGTAATCCTAAGCTCCTCTGGATTCATCCTGCTCCAAGCTGGACACGTCTGGATTCCTTCCGTCGTTACATCAATAGAAAGCATGGCCTTCATCTGAGTACGTTTGACAAATGATGTCCATGCTACCTGTCTAAAGCACGGAATCCCAGGGGACTACCATGACCTGCACGGCTATTCAGTGACAGACTACACGTTCTGGCAAGACTTCTGGGAGTTCATGGGTATCAGGTACTCGCAAAGTCCTGAGAAGGTAACTGTGATATCTTTCCTGTTTTCAAGCTTGTCACTCAAAGTGCCTAGGCCATAAAGCCGGGCAGCCATAGGCTCGTGCCAGAATGGTTCCCAGGTGCTCGTACCAACTACGCCGAGAATCTTCTCTGGCGCGATGATGACGGCTTAGCTATAACAGAAAGCAGTGAGACTGGAGAGGTCTGCTCATATAGCTATCGGCAGCTCAGAGAGAAGGTCCGGGTGATGGCCGCTGCTCTGCGACGCAACGGACTTGTGTCCGGAGATCGCGTAGCCGCGGTAGTAGCGAACAACACCAATGCAGTTGTCCTCGCTCTAGCGACTGCTAGTGTCGGGGCAATATTCTCGAGCACAGCTACGGACATGGGAACTCAGGGCATACTTGACCGATACCGGCAGATTCAGCCGAAGTTCCTCTTCATAGAGACCTTAGCTGTGTATGGGGGAAAGCGCATCGACCTGGTTCCAAAGGCCGCTGCGGTTACTGCTGAGCTGACGAAGTGCGGTCTGCAATATGCAGTTCTGTTACCTGGCGGTGCTATCTCGGATGATGCGCTGCAACATATGTCAAATAGGTGAACTACACTTTAGATTCATCAGTGTTCCAATATTGATCCTACCTACGCGTCTAGTATGAGTCTGGAAAGCTTTCTCGCGTCCGGAGACGGTAGACCACTAGATTTCGAGCAGTTGCCATTCAACCACCCCTTATACATCCTATACTCTTCCGGGACGACTGGGGCGCCTAAGTGCATTGTGCACGGCGCAGGGGTAAGTCGGTTCGCCGGTACAGCCTCATGTGTCAACACTCACGCTGTCCAGGGTGTTCTGATGCAGACCTGGAAAGATATCGCACTCACCTGGGACGTCGGTGTGAATGACACCTATTTCCAGTACACTACAGTGAGCGGAGAACAACCCCTTAATGACACTCAATTCTGAAAGATGAGTAGACTGGATGGATGATGTGGCCCTTCATGCTTACTGGGCTAGCATGTGGCGCCCGCATCGTCCTATATGAAGGCTCCCCCTTCTACCCGAGCGTGAAACACTATCTACAGTTCATCGACAGCCAGAAGTGCGTGATCCATCTCCGCCCTATACGCCACTCATCGATCTGATAATCTCTTATGCAGTGTTACCGTCTTCGGCACAAGCCCACGGTTTCTATCCGAAGTCCAAGGCCGCGGTATCAACCCCTGTGAGCTACTCTATCTTCCTGTGCTAAGCAACGATCGCCATGCTCACGCTATTCTTCTTGTAGTGAAGGATATCGGGACCTTCAGCGCCCTTCGTACAGTTAACAGTACTGGCGCAGTACTAACCACGCCTCTTTGGGAATGGGCGCAGACCGCCTTCGGTCGTGACAAGTGCATCGTAGCGTCATCTGGTGGTACCGATATATGCAGCGGTTTCATCTCAGCGGCACCGACTCTGCCGAACTATGCGGGTGGTTAGTCCGACTTGTTCGGTGTCTAGCATCCTTGCATCCTAATGCGAGCGTCCTCTTCAGAGATGCAATGTAAGTCTCTAGGAATGAAGGTCGAGATATTCGACCCGGAGGGGCGGAACATCGAAGAGACCGGGCAGGCTGGCGAGCTTGTCTGTGTGCGCCCACATCCCTCGCTTCCCCTCAAGTTCTGGGGAGATGATGACCAGCACACGAAGTATATGGCCGCCTACTACTCGATGTATCCGGGTGCGCAGGTTTTCTCTCTGCCATGCTCTATAAATCTAACCTGTTGCCGTGGCAGACATCTGGAGGCACGGCGACTTCATCGCACGCAACCCACGTACGCGCGGCTACGTGATCTACGGCCGTTCTGACGGCGTCTTGAACCCTTCTGGCGTGCGCTTCGGGTCAGGCGAGATATATAATGCCCTTGAACGTTTCGGAAGTATCGTCGACGACAGCATCTGTGTCGGACAGCGACGTCCACAAGATGCGCACGAGCGTGTGCTGCTGTTCGTTAAGATGCGTGACGGCCATGAGTTGACACCGTCGCTCGAGGCCGAGATACGCGAAGCGATCAAGAACGCACTGAGTGCGCGGCACGTTCCTTCATTCATCTTTTCGGTGGATGAAATACCGGTGCGTATCGGTGTTTCAAGTAAGGGGGCAAGAGGTGGGCAATCGCTGACTGTATCCTGCTTTAGTACACGGTGAACATGAAGAAGATTGAGATTGCGGTCAAGCAGATCGTTTCCGGTTCGAACGTACAGCCCAGTGGAACGGTCGCAAACCCGGACTCATTGAAACTGTACTACAAGTACAAGGACATCGAGAACTTCGCTGCTAAGAGCAAGGCTAAGTTGTAGATAATCTAGACGTAGCGCCTCCCACTGAAACTTCCCGAACCGTTCAAACGACCTGAAAGTCATCCATAGTAGATTTCAAATGCAGAACAGCCTTCCACGAACTCTGCCATCGCGCTAGCAGTGCTGCGCACACATTTCAGAGCGAGCGCGATTGTAGTTACGAGGGTTGTCCGTGCGCCGCATAGCGAACCGGCCGCAGTTCGGCCCGGGTTTGGCGGATTTCCCGAGAGAGCATGTCTGCCATTCATGACCAAAAGAGGCTACTACTGCGCCAAGTGGGCGGCCACAACAGCCGTTGAGGAACGTTCTGATGACGATCTAGTGGTTTCGTACAGGGAGGTCTCAACGGTCTCCACACACGACATTGGTCCTTCCCAGCATCTCCTTCGCTCCTATATACTTTCTGTACGCGGCTTTGTTCTCTACATGTGCATGCGAGAAGTATGAGTGCAAAGCCGGCGGTCGCCCAGAGTTGCCCAGAGCAATAAGGCAACGGAAGATCTTCGAAACGACATCGCTCGCTGCCGATTCACGGACGACAGCATGCCTCGTGTTATCTGAACCTTCTCACTTACCACAAGGCATGGTGTGTCCGGCCATCCGCGAAGGATGCCTGGCCCTGCGTCCTGCTCCAGTAGACAATGGAACATGCCCTTTTTTCGTATGCCTCGCCGTCGAACCCGGCGCAGATATGCGAGGGTGCGTAGTGCTGTGCATTCTGATATCGATACACGGCTTCCTGGCCCATTGTGACCGGTTGCGCCACGTGCTGAATGCGCCATTGTGCTGGCCTCATTCTTTGTCTGATATTTTCGGTCGCGGTTGCAACCGTTCGAGCGTGTGCCTGACTAGTCCACGCAGGATCAATGGTGAGACTAGGGAAGCAGAGGGCAGGACCTCTCTCTGCCTCCGTATGTATCCCAGAAGAAGAACACGAACCATACTCGTCTGTAGGATTAACCGTGGCGCCCGATTGGAACAGCGCTCGGTGTCGCGGGCTGTGTAACAATGGATAGTCCGCAGAGGACGGCCCAACAGGCATCCACAGGCGCTCGCGAGGGGTGGAGCCGGCTGCGAACAATGACAATTGAGCACGCGACGGGGCGACCATCGATCGATTCACTCTCCGTTCACGCGGCATTGTCCAGGATCCATGCCATATAAAAGCCGCGGGACGTATTCGCGAGTGGTCCCTTGTTCTCCTCATCCATCACCCGCCTCCCCTGCTGTGGCCCACATCCCTCCGCTCGTCTGTTGATTGCTTTTTCCATTGTTTGTCCATTGTACACTTTGGGTCTTCCTCTCGACGAGGCCACTTCTCATCCACGCATCTACGAACTCTTGACGAGAACCACGGTGCGCGCCACATGCCTATCGTCCCGCATCCGGATGTTGTTCTCACGCTACGGATGCTCCCGTTGACAGGCTCGATCGTGACATCGCAACTGTCCTTTTGTGTGTAAGACTGTTTCTGCGGATTGACAGTCGCATATAATGCTGACGCGGCCGATATGCAGATTGTAAAACGTTATGGGTCGCAATCGTACCCGGCCAGCACGCGCTGACCCTTCAAAGCCGCCACGTCCGGTAAGCCTATATGCTCTACTTTCCTCGATATGCCGATTGATCATTCATTTGATGACGTGCAGCGCAATGCCTGGATGTTGTTCCTCTGCGCATATCACCAGGAGCGTACCAGGAAGCAGGAAATGAACCTCCCTCTCGAGAACGAGACGCACCAACACACTAAGATCATCTCCCAGATGTGGAAGGCTCTTCCGCAAGAGGAACGCGATAAATGGGTCATGGCCGCTGAGCGCGAGAAGGAGGAGCACGCCAGGCTGTACCCTGGCTACAAGTACCAGCCCTCTAAGCCTCCGGGGCGCAAGGCGTCCACAGCTTCTGCATCACCGCCTCCGGCTGTGCCGCCACAGTCGTCGTCGAGTGCTCATCCGAGCGTGACCAAGGCGCGCAGTAACTCTTCCGCCGCCAAGCCGAAGGAGACTGTACTAGGCCAGACTCCGATGCAGTGGGACGTACCCCAGGCGGCTAAGAAGGCGAGGATGAGGCAAGAGTATGATCAGGTCAAGCAGCCGAATTCCCAACGTCAATCGCAGACGCCACCATATGCTCCGGCGCCGCAGCACTATGCACAGCATTCTGCGCCTAAAGCTAGACGAGGGCGCCCACCGAAGGCCAAACAGGAGGTTATCGAAGAGGATATCGAGAATATTGAGCTCGTCGACGGCCAGCTTGTACCCAAAGCCGGCGGTTCGGCGGCTGCTAACGAGGATAGCGATGAGGACATGTTGTATGAGAGTGAGGACGAGGATCACGCGGGCAGCGCTCATGGACACCAATACGGTCATCCTGGTTACGCCTACGATCAGGCGCCCGAGGATAGCGAGTCTGAGGACGAGGCGTCAAGTCAGGTTTCCCCCTCTACGCCCACGCAACAGGATAACCCCGCCGCGCCAGTGGCATCTTCGAAACCTACCGCGACGGACGCACAGTTCCCGCTGCGTCATGCGAGTTATGAACAGTAAATGGTTGCCCTGTACTTATATTCTGCACGCTCTCGAATCACCCGCTGTCGCACGTCCGAGGGTCCTCGTCGCTTTCGCAGTCGTTGTGCTTTGCCAAATGTATATGTGTCGATTATGGTCGCGTACGTAGTACTGATGAACGAAATAAGATCACGACTTACGACTAGTGCTTATAACGGAAAGGAGTAGTCCTTGGGCTTGTGCTCTGTTGACAGGCGAGGGTACCATGTTCTCGTTTCGGCTGTCGGTGTACTACTACAAGGCTTTGCGCGCTCATAGCCCGCCTATCAAGATGTCCACCCCAGGTGGACAGATGTGGACAATAGCGTGCGCGACCTGTCCCCTACACGTTGAGATGCTGAGAGCGTGGCAGCAACTTCTGGTTGCGGATCGCGGTGACCTTGTCCCAAATTTGGACAGAATGAGGGGCCCTCTACGTGCCGTTGACCGGAGATTATAGCGTGCACAATGGCGCAGGCAGTGTGCAAGAAGCAGAACGTCCGAGCATGACCAGTTAACGCAGGCGCAGATCGACATACCACGCAGGCTGTCTCAAACATTGGGGAGTGGGCCTTTGAGACAACGTCCAGATGCCAGCCTACAATTGATGGGCATCAAGGCGAGATTAGATGCACCTGAGCGATGGAAGTTGAAGGTAGGCGCCAACGTACAATAGCTGCTTACATACGCATAATAGAAAGCCGGGCGCTCGGAATTCTTTCGCACGGGTCCTTTGAGGCTGGGTCGGTGCGCTGGAGCCATATAGACTAGGAAGGGCGTGACTTTTAGTTCAACGACGACCAGTCTCTTTCCAACAGCGCGCAGGGCCCTCTCGTGGACGTTTGTCGGTGAGTGCGAACAAAGTAAGGCAGCGCACGGGAGATGCCGAGCTGAGTGACGCAGAGATCAACTGCACCAGTGACCATGGTTCGTCTCGCGCGGCCACTGCTCTCGACCAACTCCAGCAACGTCCAAGCCCTTCCCCGCCCCCCGCCCGCTTTCAACCGCGCTCTCGTCGTCGTCAAGTCGGAGTACCCCGTCGGGGTCGACATTATCCCCGAGCACAATCCGTCTGGCGTCGTGATGGCGAACAGCGGCCATGCCGGCCCGTCCTCGTCGCCCAACGGGTCTCAACCACAGCCCACGGACAAGAAGCCGCCGCGACCGCCCAATGCATGGATTATCTACCGCTCAGACAAGCTCAAGGAGCTCGGGAAGCCCAAGCCTGGCCAGCCGAAAATACCACAGGCTGAAATTTCGAAGAGCATCTCGCTCATGTGGCGGAACGAGTCGGACGTCGTAAAGAAGAAGTATGAGCGTATGGCGGAGTACGCCAAGGCTGAACACGCGCGGATGTACCCGAACTACCGGTTCGCGCCGATGAAGAAGGCGGACAAGGAGCGTCTGCGCAAGGAGGAGAAGGAGGCAAAGGCCAAGGAACGCGCAGCCGAGAAACGTGCAAAGGCGCGGCCGGGACCGTATTATATTCCTATGCTCCACGGCGCGGCCAAGGCTGAGGAGGAAGAGGAGGACGGGCTGATGCCGACGGTGCTGGACCCGATGGCGTACTCACCGCCCATCTCGTGCGCCAACACGCCGGAGCCGGTACACGACGACTTGCCCTCGCCCGCCGACGAGCCGTCACCCGCCTCCATCGGTGATGAGCACGTTTTGCGTTTGCCGTCGGCATCGTACAAGGGCAAGGAGCCCGAACAGTCATTGCTCTTACAGCCTGAGCAGCAGTGGCAAGCCGAGGACCCGATTGCGCCGGACAATAACGTCGAGGGACCCGCCAGCTGGACCGCACACGGGCTATTGGTTAGTCCAACTAACCTACGTTATCTCTTATCTCGCCTAATACTGTCGCGTAGCCTGACGGTCCCGGTAACCTCGACTTTGGTCCTATGGACATGACCAACAGCCTTGGCTGGGATCCTGCCTTCCTCGAGTCGCTTAACAACATGCAGCCCATGGACGGGATGCCGACACTTGACCAACCACCCGAGCACCTTGATATCGACTTCTCGCTCTTCCCTGGCTCCATTGAGGCGCAGAACACCGAGCCTACTGAGCAACAGTCCGCCGCTGCCGAGAATTTCCTCGCACCGTTCAACCTCGATGCGTTCGACTGGAACGGCCCGCCAGTGTTCCCAACGCTTCTCGATGATAACCAGCAGTGGGATTTGCCTCAGATGGGTGGTGGCGATCAGCAGCAGCAGCAGCAGTGGCCCGGGCCGCTCGACGCTCAGCCATTTGACGGCTCTCATGACGCTCAAGCGTATCCCCAACTGCAAGATCAGCATCAGTATGGCCAATTGCAGGCCCAGGAGCAGCAGCAGCCAACACATGATGGATCGCAACCGGGCTTCTTCGGCCAACAAGACGCCTCTCAGCAACCCCCATCCCGCCACTCGTCAGGTGATATGATGCAGTATCTGTCATTCGACGGTGCGACCGACGCTGGCTCCCGCCACAGCTCAGGCTCTGCCTCGGTGCCACAGTTCATGGCCTCGCAAACGGAGGGCGAGCGGCAGCGCATGTCTTCAGTTGCGACTATCACGACTGAGCGTTATCAACGCATAGTGTCGGGTGGTTCCGAGGCACCGTCGCCTTCGTCGTATTACGCTCCATCGCCTGCGTCACGGTACTCGCACGAGCCATCGCCCGTGCCAGCTTCGTCAAGCTATGCGCCCTCACCGGCCTCTCCTTATCCACCGTCAACGTTCCCGCATTCGCAGCAGCCGTCTCCGGCTACATATGGCGGCCCGCCCCACATTCACCGCTCAGTCTCAGGCTCCTCGATCGCCTCCACGACTTCGACGCATTCGCAGCAGCAGGCGCTTCAGCCAACTCAGCCGCAACCTTATGTGCCCCCGGCGGGCGCTGCTAAGGTCGGTTCACGGCGCGTTGGGGGTCGCTGGGCATACCCCACACAATGAACACGCCTGCTGCGTGCTTACGATTGGAATATTTGATGCCATCGCACATTCTCTCGCTGTCGACACACCATCTCGTGCTTTCCTTGCGCACTCCGGGATACCTGTCGCACCCCGCAACCCGCACCTTCGCAACAAACAACTCTGAAATACTGTCGACTTGCACATCGCCTCCATATCTGACTCCGCCGAACCCGACTTATGCTCTGAACCTCCTTTGATCTAACTATGCTGCCCATCTCCACTTCGCCTCGCTTCATCTCAATTATCCTTTTCTATCTGGTGATTGGTGTACGACTACTTGCTGCCTCCTCATGGACTCTCTCCACCCGTATTCGTTCGCATTCGCCCTCAAGACACTGGACGGCTGTCCGGCGGGCCTCGATCTCGCTGTCCGCCCTCGCCCTCGCAAAATTGTCGACTTTCGCAAGCAAGCTATCGCCTAGACGCGCGTAATACCGGTATGCAGTCGTCTCGTCCTCAGTGAGTACTTTGCGTCATCTTGTCGTGCTCTTGCTGATGTGAATCTTTACAGTCAGTCATCGCATATCACTCAAATTTGTGTACCATCAGCCATATACTCTATAGGCGCTCTCCCGCTTGCTTCTCCCACTGCTACCGTCGCACACTGTTCATAGTTCGCATTTAACTCTCCTATTCTCTCCCGTCGCTCTTCGCTCCTATCCGCCTGCTGCCTGCTTGTTACGAACATCATCACGATCTCACGTTCACGCTGTCTATGAACTCGAACTCGAACATATTCCTTTCAACCCGTCGCTTCGCCCTTGTCATTGTCTGCCTCGCTGCCTGCTACCCCACTCATCCTTGTCGTACTACACCCAACCCCACCCCTACAACGTCAACGTCAAGCTTCGGTCGTTCGAGTGCGCCTAGTGCGCCAGATAGCTAGCGCGTCCGGACGTGTCGCTGCGACCTCTTATTCTTCCTCCCCTCTCGCAAACTTGTTTTGCCTAACGGAACGTGCACGCTTTGTCATCCAGGTCGAACACTTTAACTTCCCCTCCCGATCCCCGCTTTCTTGCCCCGGGTCCGTATATAGTTGTATCGTTTGCTCTTTACTCCTTTGACCCGTGCTTCAGTTCAGCTCTTTATCTTCCCTTCCTCGGCTTTCCCGAAATGCTTACCTACATACTCGTTCTGGTCCTCCATCGTCGTATACTGTGAATTTGCTTCTCGTCTCCTTTCCAAGCATCGCTACGTATTGTGCTGAAAATATGAAGAATTATGTGTTCATGTGGCGGGTGCCATTGTACCGTGATTGAAACAATGATGTGAGAACTGTTATGAGCGCCAAAGGGCCTTGCAGTGTCCCGAGGAGATTTCAGCGTGATTATAGACCATCCCGTTCGGCTGCTATATGGCCATAGTCCGGACATGGTAGGTGCTGCCATCTGCGGTACGATATCGATCTCTTGATCCTAGAGAGCCATTCTGTAGATGTTGCTACTTAGAGGGGGAGAGCATTCTACGGCATCTATCCTATAGCCATACAGGTAGGCGCGTGTTGCGTTCTTCTCCACTGAATATGGATCCTATCGAACAACTCACGTGGGCGCGTTCAAGTCGTAGCTCAAGCGCGACGCGACGCGAGTCTTTTGCAGCGAAGCTTCGCTTCAACCACTACCGTCTCGGCTCTTCTGCGTCTTGGCCCGAACCGTTGCACCGACCCGACACTCGGTGCATGTTATAGCTCATGTGCGTGAAAGCAACTACAGTACTGTGGACGTCGTTAGACTGACGGTCTTCTTTTCATGTCCTTGCAGTGAAGATGGAACCCGCACGCTCCTCCCAGCTGGAATTCGCGCCCGGCGTTCCCTGTCATATTCACCGTCTTCCCACGGAGCTCATCAGCAATGTCTTTTCGCACCTGGTGGACATCAAGCCCTTGGCTGTGGACAAGCGGGATCGAACTTCAGCGAGTGCAGTATGAGTAAACGTCACAATAGATATGTACAGTAATGTTGCATGGACATATATTACGTTCAAGATCTGGTTGAGGTGCGATTCAACGCAGGGTGGTATCTAGAGTAGGAAGCAGCCTCCAACAGTGGAGAGCACTAGCGCGGCGCACAAGCATATGACCCGCATCTCTTGACCTGCCGGCGAAGGGTCGAGTAGTAATGCAACTACACCACCCTTAAGCGTCCCAGGATAACCCGGTGGGCGCATGTCGACGAGCTGAGTAGTGGCGGTAGGCTGACGCCACCAGAGTAATGGTCGGGATTTCTCTCTCACGCGTAGCTGCACGGGTAAACCGTGCTGATCCGTCAAGAGATCGAACGACGCGCTGCGGATGATTGTAGGCGGAGAGCCTCGCGTTGGGGATGGGCCGGAGCGTTCGAGGAAGGAGATGGTGAAGTTCGATATTCGCGGGTTGGCGCGGACAAGCTGTGAGCCACAGGTGACGAGGGTTTCCTCCCCTCGCGCGCGAACGATGCTGAGTTGGAGGCTTCTCAATCGTCCGAGTGGTTTGATTGAACGAGAGAACGTGTCCTGTCGGAGTACGTCTGAGCGTTTGGTGCGGAATGAGAATATTGGCATGAGCTTACAAACTTGAAAGCCGGCCGGCAGGCGCAGGTGAAGTCGAGGTGCTCAAGCATGGGGCATGCCGATGCTATTGACCGAACGATCCCTCCATTATCATATCCGTGAGGAAGAGCGAACGATATCGTGAGGGACGTGAGTTGGGGAGCCGTGACCAGGACAGCCGAAACTGTCAACGGCGAGCTCTCCCGAAGCAGGATAGCATCAGGCAACCGCAAGGTGTGAACTTTCGCCCTGTGAGCGTATGCTTGCAGCTGAGCAAGCGATCCGCCGAAGTCTCGCACGTTAGGTAGCGCGCCATCGTGAAGATCATCCAATATGGACGGAGAGCCGACACTCATCTGACCGCTATGCAGATGTAGGATCTCCAGGTTGCGATGTTGTTCGAGGAAGGTGAGGAAAGAGCGGCGTGCAGCATGATTCAAGGCCGTATGCCATTCTGTGACGACGTCTCCTAGGACGAGTTTCCGCAAGTAGGGCCAGCGCCCGCGGGTGAGGCGATGGGCGTCCACGGGTTCAGCGGGAGAGTAACCGTCGATGGTCAACTCTTCCAGATTCGGGCAGTGATTGATGAGCATACACCACAGGCGCTTGTAACCGGGGATAGCCTCATCTATGCGAGTAAGATCACCTCGAGGAATCCAGCTTTAAGTAGGGCACTCACCTCTCGACCCGGGCTCCATATGCGCAAAGAAGCCTGGTTTGAATATGAGGGAAAAGCCATGCAGATCTCTGAAGTCGAACAGCTACGGGTGCAATATGTTAAGTCAGCAAGTAGGACGCTGTGAAGAGCATACGTACATGGCTATTCGGCGAGGTCAAAATAGAGCCCACGGATGTCCCGATGAATTTCAATCTAGGGCAGCTACCACGCTGTCAGCAACGCGGTTCACACAGTGCGACGAATCTGGAAGCGTACAAGACTCGTAGAGCGAACCACATATCATCATACGGGGGAAGCTCTTCTCCATCCCACATAAAGCTCTGTAGTATCTCCATCTTCGACGCCAGACGGCGTATGGCTCCAGATATGGCATATCCGTTGAACAGCGCCCCGCGTCCCCATATTCGCGCTGCGAACGGTCCATGATCGTCCGGGTGCAGACACAGCGAGCGTATGTGCCGTGCGCGCTCCGGATGCGCGACGAGCATCTTCAGCGTCTGTATGCATTGTATAGATCCGCGTAGTTTGACCTCTGCATATAGAACCTGGGCGAGCTGACCAAAGACGTGTCTGGACTGCAAGACGAGCGTGAGCTCGGGCGCGTCATGAAATAGGGGCTTCCGCCACGGGCCGACTCGCCGTAAGGCTGAGGTGCAGTATCTCTGAAGGTAACCTCAGGTGGCTCGCGATCTCGAGGAGAAGGTCGCCGGGGAGGTGGTCTATGTTCATAAGTAAGAGATCGTGGAGGTCGTGATGTTCGTGAGCAAGGACAGTTCTGTCGCGAGGCGGACGTTCGGCGTTGACTGTTCCGTCCCCACACAAGCACAGGGCTGATGTAACTCCGAATGTCTTCCCCGAACCATCAGCAGGGACCAGCGCGGTCGTACAGTTGTATATATGCATGCTACAGAGGAGATGTACACAGCAAAGTACATTATCAAGAACAGGTCCGACCGAAACCTTAATACCTGTATCGCGCAAATCGTGGGGTGGGAGCAGAAACGACCGGATATAATGCACGCGACCAAGGATCAGTTCATCGGTGTATGATGCGAGTTGCGGGAGAACGCGAGTGTCAGCGGGACAATGCGGTGTATTTTGGGAGTGAGGGCGAATTATGACCTGGAGCCGATTAGCGCCGTCTTGGGAAAAGTGCGCGTAAAAGCACGCAAGGAGGGAAGGAGGAACGCACATCTTATAATCCATAGTCGTCGGCTCGTTGCGTGGTGCTTGGTATGCTATTGTGATATCGAGGTCGCGGTTGTTGCGTGCGTTCGGTGCGCACTTCAGGGTGCCGGTAATCTCGTCACCTGCGTTGATCGTGAGCGTCTCCGGGGTGTAGAAGACAGTTTGTCTATGAGCGCTTAGATCAATATCGAACATCCTGATTACAGCGACAGCTGTACGCACTTCCAATGTGTGTATTTCGCATGAGGGCCGGTGGAGAACGAGACTTGTTTGTGCGTGCACTTGAAGGACACATCAAACCATGCCAGGAATGCGTGGACATCTGACAACCTGTCAGCATAAATAAGAGAGCGAAAGACAATTCGAACTTACAGTCATCACGAGTCGCCTTGAGCTTGAATGGCGCGGTGAAGCTTAGGTCCTCCTTCTTTACCGTCTTGATGTCGATTTCCTGTACCTCATGCGTGAGCGCCCACTGCCAGCTTCGGCACACCCTCAACTTACGCGGAACATGCATGGGTCGGTCACAACGGCCTTCAACTCGACAGTGTCAACGAGAGGTTCTCTTAATGCTATGTCCTTGATGCAAGAGTAGTCGAAGCCATAGACATTGTCCCAGACTGAAGGGGCGATCAATGCACGTTCAGAACGAACGAATGCTGCGGATCTAGGACGCACAGTTGATCTTCTCTTCCTTGTAGTCCTGATCCTCAATCGCGGCGAGGTACATGGTCGCGTGGTCAGGGAAGATAAGACCGTCAGGCTTGAGGTACTTGTCGCGAGCGTCGAGGACGGTGTCGAGCATGGACTCATAGAGCAAGAAGTAACCCATCCACTCGGAGATGATGATGTCGAACTGCTTGATCGGCAACTCGGCTTCCTCCAGTTTGCCCTTCACAAGCGTGATCTCTTTAAACATCTTTCAGAAGCCGACTTCTATGCTTCTACAACTGACGCACTATCTTTGAAGCCATTGGCCTCGACGATCTTCGCGGCCTGGTCGATGATGTTCGACATGTCGATCTGCAGGAGTTGAGTATCTTGGCCACAGCTGCCACAAAGTCATACGCACCCCAACAACGTGCTCAGCACCAGCTTTTGCCGCAAACATACTGAGGATACCGGTTCCGCAGCCAACGTCGAGAACGGTCTTGCCCTTGAACAGGTGCGGGTTTTGGATGATCGCCGCGCGGTAGGTGCCCGTGCGCACGGTATCCTTGAGCATCTCCTCGTGGATACCTGTACAGAGAATATCAGTACAAGTCAAACGTAATACAACCCGTATTGCGCGTACCAAAGTGTGCATACGAGTCGGCGTAGCTACAGGACCATGAGCCACACGTACTCAGCCGCAGTCAAGATGATCATGAACGCACTAATCCCGAGAGGTCATGCTCTCGTGCGCAACCGGCGCAGATGAGGTAGAGGCATCGACATCCATCGTGGTAATTTTGGAAAGTGGGGTATAGACGATGCAGGATGCGGTCGAGAGCAAGCTGCAAACGCGCCGTCCAAAGTCGCGTCCAACTTTTCGAAAGCGGAAAAGAAAAACGGCCGCTTGATCCGGTCCGAGGCTCCGAGGGCCACGCCTGTCGCCGGCGCGGCGCAGCAGGCAGTGCACTCCAAATACAAAGCTCCGTCCTTCGCTCGGTTCAGCCAGCCTTTTGCTTTCTTCCCCATACCACCACCATGACGAACAAGTCTGACAACGTATGTCTCGCTCCCTTTTATGGCCTTGGGGTGCAACTCACGATATTGTCCAGCAATACCGCGAGATCCCTTCTGAGAGTCCCCCGGCTTATAACGATGCGGTAGCTGGGCCTTCCAACGGTACGCCCCAATCACACGACGTGTCAGTATATTGCTAATGTAGTCTTAGGAATGTCAAAGCCGGGCCCTGTCGCGCCAATGTCAACGACACCGTTGATACATCCTGCGACCACACCAGGATCGCCAGACGGGCCTACGGTCTACCACTACCAGCACCCTGTTACGGGACACCAGATAGTATCACTGCTTCCTCCCGATCACCCTCAGATGGTCTGTCTGCAGCGTGGTCACCATGACGTGGAAACCAAGTTTGGCTTGCTCGGTACGCCGCTTTGTGCCCCTATTCCGCGTTTCGCGTCCTAACAAGCCTTTACAGGCGTTCTCGCTGCAATCTTCTGGTTCCCCCTCGGCGTCGGCCTTTGCCTGCTCGACCGTCGCGCGCGGTGCCGCAGCTGTGGCGAAGTGCTTGACACCGGGATGTGCGGCTAAACATATGGATGGAGGACATTACGACCGTCACGACTCTGATCACTGTTGACCTATATTCTTCTGGATTGTCTGGACTTTATTGTACATATCAAGCACGCATTGCATTACTCTCACTGCTCAGCTGTAGCATCTTAGGATACACGTATAACCATACTTGAGTTTGATTGACGCGTAGCTATGATCTGACTTCGTCACTGCTGTGGCGCGGCGGGTGACGGGAACGACCGACACGCCAAGCGCGCCTGGCATCCGCACCGCCATGAAGCCTCTCTCAGGCTTGAGGCAATATCATCCCCTCCCTGCTCTTGACCACCATCTCAGTGCCTTTCCCGACTCTCCATCTCGCTAAACCTCCCGCTGATCTTGTCTCCAACCCGAGATCTGTCGCTCTGATTATCACGCGCCACTCGAAAGTGTTTCTGAGCTATATCCCCATTCGCTAGAATGAGCGTATACGCTTTCGAGCTACCGACGACAGGCTCTTTCTCCTTCGCTGACTGCTTCTCCGATCTCACCGGCACGCATACATCTGCACTCGCCGAAGCTACTCAAGCTCGCGCATCCTTACGCGGCTTGCTCAAAGAGAGCAAGCGCACGGACGGTGACAAGGACTACTTGCGCCTCGTCAAGACTCTCGAGGAGTATATACCCTACCTCTACGGTGTCGTAGCATGCGTACAAGCAGGCGAGCTTAGTGAACGCGGCCGGCCCGGTACGTTCCCCTCCATACTCTTTCACTCTGATCTCATTCAAACAGACTATCTGTCGTTCTCGCATAGTATTCAGCTGGCGCACAACGCTCTCATCAACATTCATGCACAGCTCTCCCCGCCTCTCACTGCCAGGCTTAGCCTCTGAACAGGCGTTCACGCTTTTAACCTACGCCTTCGCGCTCTCCAACCTCGCACGCCTGAATGTCGGCGCACTTGGCGCATACGAGCGTGCGAGGGGACTGTCGGACGCAGAGCGGAAAGCCAAGGACGAGAAGTTGCAGTTCGCAGTCACACTGCTGTGCAAGGCCGCGGGTGTATTCGCGCACGTCAGCGAGGTCGTGCTTGTGCAGGCTGAGAAGGACCCTGGATGGTTGAATGGTGTAGAGCGCCCGCCTGAACTGAGTAAGGAAGTCGCATCTGCTTTGTCGAAGTAAGTTGATAGAGTATCCCGTGTTGCGATGGGCTGCGCTGATCATCGTTGCAGGCTATCACTTGCCGCTGCTCAATCACTCGCTGCTCGGAAACTCTTAACGAAGGCAGCTGCAGATCTGGCCGTTGCGCCCGGTCCACCGCTGCCCAAATCACATCCAAAGCCAGCGCTGCTCGCGATGTTACATCTGGACGCGGCAGCACTCTGCTCCGGTGCACTCGCACTTCTGCGCATACCCGGTGCATCGCGCGCGCGCTTGAAGCCTCCTATGAAGGCTTCGACCAGCTCGTTCAAGGCGAAGTTTGGGAGGAGCAAGAGTAGTGGTGTTGAGAAAGGGGACGATGGAGAAGACGACGCGCCCTCAGCGTCTGGAAGCGGTCGTGAGCCTGATGTTGCAAGCGTGGCCAGCGATCTCCTGCGTTTCGCGGGGGACAGCGCCGCGCATCATACGGCGCTGAGCCATAAATGGCTGGGAGTTGATGCGGGCGAGGCCGGAGGTGATCGCGCGGGTGCAGCAGTCGGGTTTCTCCTGTGGTCCAGAAAGGAGCTCGAGGAAATCAAGGACTCTGCCGGTGCCGCAGGGAAAGACGAGGGGAAGGATGGAAGGAAAAGTCGAAAGGAGAAGGTGCTCGAGGAGCTTGAGGCCGTCGGTGGTTTTCTAAGGCATTACAAGAAGATGAATGATAGCGTGCGTCTTCACGCCTGTGATCCCGCCGTAATAGTGCTGATGGTTTGTGCAGTTGTCGTTCAAACCGGTACCGAGTCAGAGTGATTTACAAGCGTTTATCCCCGCGGGAAGGATGGCGGTCGCAGTGCGCCCGTATACGCCACCAACACCCGAGTTTGGACCGGGCTCCGTCGAGTATACGCGGCGGCAAGCCGAAGCACTAGAGCTCGAAGGTGGAGGGGAAAGCGCCGATGCGAGTCCGCCACTTGATAAGGGAACGTACCTCGGAGCAGGATCGTACTTCTAGGAACACATCGCCCCAGATGACCCAGTCAGCAGGACCACAACAAATCATGGCAGATTGCAGCGAAAGCATGATGGGAAGCGACAGAGAGTCTACTGATACAGGTATACTTATGCAAAGTCCGGGAAGGGAATAAGTATGTGTTGTGCGGGTGGTGGGTGTTTGGGGCTAGGACAGATCAAGCGTAGGACAATGGTTAGGCGACCGGGGGTAAACAGGGCGCAGAGTGCTAGATACGCAACAAGAGAGGGGGGATAGCGGAACATAGTCCGTGTATATCATGAAGACAGTGTGACACTGGCACTGTGCCGTCGGCGCGCCCGCTCATTGTGGCGGTACGAGGTTCTTCGGATCCGCGCGAATTTGAATGCCGGCTTTACGAAGCATGGGCGCGAGCTTGCCGCGCTGGTGAAGAGCAGCGAGGTCGTCTGAGCCGCCTATCGAGTTTCCCTTGAGGATTACATTCGGGAATGTCGCGCGGTCAGTGAGACGGGTCAATATGCTTTTGATGAGGTCTCCATCGCCTGAAGAGTTTATGTTAGCGCGTGGGTACTGTGGACACGGCCAACCCGACGGGGTGAAGATTCGTGGGGAAACGGGGTGACATGGGCAGGATCAAACATGCCGTGTGGGGAATTCGGGGACCGAAAGGAGCCTGAACGCACCACGTTGGTCGACCTCAATGATTGTGGGCGGGGGCGAGAGGTCGTAGGATGCTAGTAATGCCTTGGCTCGACGCGAGAAGCTGTATATATATAGTGAGACACCTGCAGTCAAGGTGGTGCAAGGGATGTAGCATACGGGCAGTACGACTAGACGATGCTCAGTACATGTCCCCTCAAACGTGTGTGCACTCCTACCTTTGAGAATATGACCAGCGGTGTTTCCCTGTCAAGTGCGTTCGCGCGCTGCATCCAGTCTTTCTGGCTCGCAGACTCCAGACCACCATCCTCGCCATACACCCGCAGCTCGATCGGCTTTGTCGGGTCGATGGGTGCGTCGAGGTCGCTCAGAGGAACGAGGATCTTGTCGGCGCGATTGATGACGAAGTAGAGGAGGCCATGGATCTCCTGCGCCCTGCGTGCCTGCGCTGAGGGACTGCCCAGCGGTGCCCAGTCGTCGAAGGAGTAAAGAGAGGATAGCTGCGTTGGCGGAAATAGATATACAAGGACGGCGACGAGCAGCAGGACGGGGAGCAGAATAATGCGCCGGCGTGTCATGGTGGTATGGTCCAGACCTCTGTTGCTATGTTTCCCAGAATACGTGCAGTGCCCCTAACCGCAGCAGCCTTTCTGGTTCGAGGTCAATTGAGAGCTTTACCATGACGTAGCACGTGTGCATAATTTGTACACACATACACCAGCTGCCATCGTGCTACGAGCCGTATATAGTTCGTAGTTTGGGGACCGCACAGCGACCAGGCTCGTGCTCAAACCGTCTGGTAGGCGCTGGTGATTCAATGATTTCGAGTGACCGTGTCAAGGGCCACGGTGATAAGTCGCGCGTGCGGGGACCCCGCGCGGGACACAAGGCTCGCATTTTGTCGACTTGCTCCCATCTGGACCACCATGTCCCCGACTCGTCCACAGATCGAGTATGTCCTGTTTGACATGGATGGTACACATACCTTTGATTCCCACGATGCGAGGTCTCTCCCGCTCATAATTCGCCTGCAGGCCTCATGATCGACTCGGAGAAGGTATGCTCTTCTCGGGTGCTATGGTGGTACGGATGCACGGTCTAAGTGTAACTTAAGGTCTACACGGACGTGACCAGTAATGCTTCTAGCTCACTCCATGAGCGCATGTGTTCATGTTCGGCCGCATGCAGATGAGATCCTCGCGCCGTACGGCAAGGAGATGACCTGGGACATCAAGGCAGGACTAATGGGAAAGCGTAAGTGCTATTTGGCCACTGTCTAAGAATATGCATTCACTGACAGCCTTCTCGCCGTCAGCCGAACGCGCCGCTGCAGAACATCTTCTCGCCTCGTTTCCTGGCATCGACATCACCATTGACGATTATATCGCGAAGCGTACAGAACTCCAAGACAAAAAATGGCCTCATGTCGCGCTTCTACCAGGTGTCGAGCGCCTTGTCAAGCACTTGCACGCACACAACGTCCCGACCGCGATTGCGACGGGCTCCCAGCGAAGGAACTTCGAGATGAAGACAGGCCACTTGCAAGAGGTCTTCGGGCTCTTTGGGGAGCGCGTTATATGCGGGGACGACTCATGGATAAAGCGCGACGGCGGCAAGGGCAAGCCGGCGCCGGACGTGTTCCTCGTTGCGGCGCGCGCACTCGGGCGCAAGGTTGGCGAAAAGGGTCCGGCAGGCGAAATCGAGGGCGTTCTCGTGCCCGACGCGGAGGCGGCGGAGCGCGCAAAGGGACTCATTTTCGAAGACGCTTTGCCCGGCGTTCGGGCTGGGAAACGAGCCGGGATGAACGGTACGTGCTGTGACACAGGTGATACGGAACAACTGGATGCTCAATACGATGCTATTCAGTGGTCTGGGTTCCCGATGCCAATCTACTAGAAGTTGACGACAAAGGCCAGGAGAAGCCAGATCTGATTTTACGCTCGCTGGATGATTTCAAGCCGGAAGAATGGGGACTGCCGGCGTACGACAACCTGTAATTGTCATGTCATGGCGTGCCTTGCGGAAAGCACTGTTGCCTCCGTGTATGGTTCCTAAATCCAAAGCGGCAATTGTATACGCTCAAGTGCTTCCGCGTTGCCAGTGGTGTTCACACTCAGATCCTATGTTCCCATGCACTATTCAGTCTTGAACGCGAATCTGTAAGACACTCGTCAGCGCCTCGTCACCGTACTGCCAGCTTGAACTTGCGATTGCCTATCGGCGAAAGATGCGCCAGATCTACGCATGTTGCCTGTCAGATAAACGAAACGAGGCGCGAAGAACTGATGCAGGCCAAAGTACCGGTTCTGTTTGTACTACTCCCTCACTGTCCTGGCAGTCTGCGAGCCTGGCTGCGGTGGCCTCTATAACGTAGAAACACTGTACTTGGGAAGTGCACACGCGCAGAAAGACTGAAATATGAAATCAGATCGGAGTGGCCGGAGCAACGATGGGGGTAAATGTGACATCAAGGGCGTGTGAGTGGCAACTTCCGTGCGGTTCATCGAAGCCGTTTGACGGGGGCATGCCTTGTTCTCGACCTCAAGCACGTTCTTCTGACGGTCCTTCCGCTCTTTTAGTCTCGACATGGCCTCTTTGTCCTTTCACAAATCCCTCCACCGCCGCACAGATTCGCGCGCCGTCGCAGCCTCTGCCGCCAAGCCCCCGCTCGCCATGCCTTTGCCATCATACTCGACACCCGCAACTCCGACCACACCTCTCGCCCACGTCGTCGACGTCTTCAGGCCACGAAAGAATCGGTTCAGAGCGACCGCCATCGCATTGCTATCCCTCGTCGCCCTCTCATCATATATCGTATTCTTCGCCGGCCCGTCATTATCCACCGCACCCTTGGCGCTCCGTCGTCAACCACCCGTCGACCGACCGAGCGCTTGGCAACAGTTCGCCATGAACTACGCAGCCAAATACGCCGGGACTGCTGTTGATGCTTCAGAAGAGCGGCAACACGTTGTCCTGGATCCCGCGCAGGAGTTGGCAGCACTGACCGCATTCATGGCTGCGTTGCCGCAGAACGTACTGCCGACCAGTGTCGATCCGGCAGAACCTTTGGATCCCCAACTCGTACTCGACTTTGACACGCGGTCGCCTGGTGCGAGCGATGAGGTCGCAGAGGTCGTGCATGACGCCTGGCACAGGAATCCCGTGGTCCTCTTCACCAAGTCACGCTCGTCCGTGAGCCGAGAGCTCAAGACGTACATTGACGCGCTCAACTTGAAACCTGCGCAAACCGTATTCGATGTTGACGAGCGAGGTACGTGGATGGAAGCTGTGGTCGGAATTAGGAACACTGCTGATTGATGTGGACAGACGACGCACACGTCCTGATCCCGATCCTCTATCGATTGACAGGCGCGACTGAGCTGCCAATTTTACTCGTCGGCGGTCATTATGTCGGAGATATGGATGCCGTGCGCTCGCTGCAACAGAGCGAAGAGCTCAAGGCGCTTGTCTCGTCCGCAGGCGCGACAGTCGATGGCAGGCGCAAGAAGAAGGGCCGCAACCACTAAGGTGCTGCGAGCTGCTTCTTCTGGCTGGCTTTTCCAGAAGTTGATTTCTCTTGTGGTATTGATGATGCGGCGTTACGATTTCTTGGCCCGCCATGGACGCGGCTGTATGCAGTAGATCTTCCGGGCTGGTGCCTGCGTTTGGCGCAGAAGTACATATACTTGCTAATTTGCATTTCCCCTACGGTGCTCATCCACTTTCTCGCCTTTCTTGCCGTGCTTCCCTATACATATACATACTGAGAATTAACTGGTTCTCTTTCCGGACTCACTCCCCAGTTCTGTCGTTCACTCATCACTACCTTCGGACACCACGTTATAGAGGGCTACTGAATTTTTGCGGTACCCGGCTGCACATAAGCCTTGCACTATACCACAGTAACATTCTTACGCTAGTTAGACGACCCCTCGTATGACATGGACACTTAGAAACTCTTGCACCAGCGACTGATATTCGATGACTGCTTGTTCCCCGTCTTCATCCAGCGCAATTAAATGAGGAGGTCATGGGAAGGCTCCTGATCGAGCTTCCATGATTCTGTGTGAGAGTGGGAAGGCCACAACAAGCTGTTGTGGCGCGAGGAATGGGAGAAGGGCCCGCGCGAAGATCAAGCAGGCCGCGCGGGTTTTAGACACGTCTATTTGTCTTGCGCATCTCTTTGATCTACCACCACCAAACCGTGCCACAAGTCCGCCACAGGTACGTCTACTCATACCTTTCGAAAATCGCGTACCCGTGATTAAATTCGACCTCCACTCGAATTTCCATGTTTGGTTCAGGTATGGCCATTGAGCCTCAGCCTGCCCCTCAGCAACTCGTATTCCCGACTTTCCGCATCATAGGACGCCCGCCCGCCCTCCTTGCACGCATGAGCGACGACTCAGATCAAACTCGTCTTCGTACTTCATCTCCGGAACCCATGCCACTTGATACAGCTCTCGCCCACTCCCCTACGGGCGAGACCAGTGGAAGCCACGATTTCTTGTCGCGCATGTCCAATCCCGGCTCGCTCCCAGCCGGTCCCTCTACCGTATCGAACGCCCCATCAGCCTTTTCTCCGCCAGCCCTCGCAACGTCGCCTCACCCGACGACTCCTGTCTCAATATCTGCACGCCTTGCCAGTGCTTCGACGCCCGATGTCCCCACTTTCTCTCCTATCGTCCCTAGCTTCGAGAAGGGCAAGGGACTCGCTATGTCCGGCGGTTCTTCCTCAATGCCTGTTGAGCAAAGCTCTTCTACGGCTCAATCGACCTCTTTGACGTCTCCTCACGTTACCGACACGCCACATACTGACCTCGGCTACGACTTTCCTGGGTTTCTACAGTTCCTTGAGAAGCGCACCCAGAGCTTGAATGGAGTCCACAATTCGAATGCCACGAGAGCGAAGAACTGGACTGATCAAGCTCGGAAGACGGCAACGTCTGGCGTCGAGCTTCTCGAATTCCTACGCACTTTGATCGCCGACGCCGATGCGGCTGCGGCCCAAGCGTCTCGCGCACGCGAGGAAGCCGATCGGGCGGCACAACTTGCGACAAATCTCCAATCCCGTGTCAAGGAAGCCCTGTCGCTCGTTGAAAGCCTTCAACAAGAACACACCCACAATCGCGATCTCGCAGAGAAAGTACAGCAGTACAGCGAACGTCTCAAGACTTGGGACGCTGCCACCGGAGAAAAAGAGAAGAGCTTCATCGCCAAACTACGCAATCACCTTCAGGCCGAAGAGAATGCCCGAACTTTCCGTTCCGCCGAAGCCGCGCGCCTGGAAGCCGCCCGGGCTGATGAGGATGCAGCTCGCGCGCGGCTCGAGCTCCAACGCGCGCAAGATGAAGCGACACGATCTGCAGAACGCAACGAGCTCAATGCCGTGAGGGCTGAGCTAGAGGCGGCTAAGAGGAAGGAACTTGCGCTCATCAAGGAGCGCGACGATTTGCAACGCGCAAACAATGTCTTCCTGGCTTCGGTCGAGGGCCTTCGCGCCTTCACCTCAAACCTCGGCGCGAATAGCGAGGCTAGGATTGCCCCCGATTCCTCCATTCTTACTTCCACCGCTGCTCGATCCACAACTCCTGTCACTCCGGCTGTTCATACGGCGACCACCTCTTCGTCTAGGACCGCTATCCTTCCTCAACCCAAGGCGAGCCCGTCTGGCCTTATTTCGAGCCCAGCGCTTGCAGCAGATGCTTCTCTACAGCTCAACACAAGTTCTCCTGTCGCCAGGCAGACGACTTCTCCCGCGCAGGTCACCTCTCGGCCACTTGTGATGGGCTTTGTACCAGCTCAAACGGAAGCTGGCCGCGCTCTGAATACGCAAAGCCCCCTAGCCAGTACGGCTCGTACTTCATCACGCTCAGTACGGCCGACTCCCGAAGCTCAGCGATCATCTCCCACAGTAATACCCGTCCGTGGTTCATCCATTGCGTCTGCTGCTACGTCGACCGCCGCCTCGCCTGATGTCATGGTGAAGCAAGAGCCCGAACCGGATACAGAGCTACCTCAGAGCACAAAACCATCAGTTGCTCAGAGTGACCACTCGCCTGCTCATGCTGCAGAAACACTGGCCACACCACCCCCTTCCGCGGCTGCCGTCGTCACTCCGTCCATCATCGAGTCAGCGCCTACACCTACTCAACGCCCTCCCTCGCCGATCTCAAATGCGGAGCCTACAAGCGTGGCATTGCCCGCGCCGCCTCTCGTTAGAGAACCTGAGCCGCTGCGTGAGCCGTCGCCCATGGGGCCCGGATACGACGGGGATCACCATTCCATGATGCCTCCCGAACGGGACTATGATCTGGATGACCGCCGTTCCTTTGACTCCCATCCGGAGGACCGCCTGTCCCCCGCAAATCGCCGTTCTATAGACTTGCGCTTGCCGCCAAAGCCCCAAGTCACTCTCCCACCATTGAGAGATGAGCGACCCGACCAACCTCCCTCTCCCATCCATCAGCGTAGCCTGGCGAACCAGTCGCCCATAGAGCGCCACGATCCTGGCCGACCTGTCGTCAACAGGAGGAAATTTGGCGAGCGCGGTGGCTCAAGTGGAGGGCTGCGAAACATGGACGACGATGCGCTCCCGTCTAGCTCAAGTGGTCCTAGCAACAGGCCATTTGGTGACGAAGAACAACGGCAAAGCTGGGAAGATCGCCGCCGCAATGGTTCTGGCCCCTCACGACCTGCACCAATTAGGACTGCCGATTCATATGTCCCCGGCCATGACGACCCTTATTCGCCGGGCTACGAGCGCAACGGGTGGGCTACTTCGCCGCGACAAGACCAGGGTGGGTTCGAACAGCGCACCAACTTCCCGCCACAGAGTCCATCCGTGCCTGGTGGCCACTTCAACTACAGTGCGAGCTCGCCCAACACACGTAATGCTCGCCCTCGCGGTGACCCCTACCTGGGTCGTGCCTCAGATCATTACAGTCCTGAGCGGTCGACTCGCGACCCCAGTCCGCAGCGGGCCATCCAGCGCCGCCCTTCGCGCGGAGGTGACATGTATCGTCCATCGCCTCCTCAAGCCATGCCACAGCGGCAGCAGGTGAGGGACTACCAAGATCAGTCACGGCGCAATCCCCCGCCTCGCCAGACTTCCCCTGATTCTCGACCTGCGCCGCGTAACGATGGTCGATCTCAGCCAAGTGGGCTTCAGGCCAGAATCTCGAGTGGACACGGAGGAGGACATCATGGGTCGTCGACAAGTGAGAATCGTTTATCTCTGGAAGAACGTATGCAGACAGTACCCGCATCGCCAGACACATCGCCTCCTGCTGGAGACCTCATGTCGCGTATAGGTGTGCCGTCCCCTAAGCGAACCTATAGTCACAACGACGACGACGATGACGATGAGCGGGAGCCCAAACGGGCGCGCGGTCCGCGCGGAGGTGCCGGGCGTAACAATGGCGCGCGTGGACGAGGTGGCGCGACAGCCACAAACGGGCGAGGGCGCCCGAATGGGCGCGGGCAGAGTGGTCAACGCAGGAATGGGCCTTCGATGGACAGGTCTAACCCTAGCCTTTTGGGAAGAATACATGACGCTGCTTGACTGATTGTTACGTGAAGGTACGTTGGTATCCCTGTTTGCGTGTTTCGTATCGTAGTGTATCGTATATCAGGCCCTGAATCATGTATCTCTTGCAACACTCTGTATCATAGCTTCCGCGACGTTCAGTGCCAAAACTTCATCCACTTTATCTTGCACCCTCCTGCTTTTCTAGTTTTCATTTTGACATTGGCCCATTGCTTGTAATGATGAGTGTACCTTCGCATGCCTTTGCACAAGTTCTACCTACTATTGCTACGGCACATCGTCCCACACGTATGCCTCTAAGACTGTCACCAGCCATTCTTTCGCGCTCGGACCGAGTCCCGGAACGCGACCACGTGAAATCCGAACATGAACCACATTCGCATCATGAAGTTCGGGCTTGTTGAGCGTCTCGACTCCTGCTCTCATCTCACCCGCCACGTACATGCCCCGCACGCGACATACTGAGTCTGAGCTAACACTCTCTCGAGTCAACCGTCTTCTACGCTCTCTACGCAGCAAATGCGCCGCTCTTACCTCTGCAACTCGCACATCAACCGACGAGTATACAAAGTCTAGGATCACCGACTACGCTCGCGCGACAGGAAAGGGGGGCGAATGGGCCATCGAAGACCCGCCGCCACTTGCGGTGTTTGATGATCCCAAGAAGCTTGAAGGTCGCGCGCTCGACCGTCGAAGCATGATGAACATGCCATCCTGCAAGCTTGTCCACGACGTGGTCGGGGCGTGGAAGAATATATTGCAAGCGGCATTGCCTACGCCACAAGCGAGTTCCACAGGCTCCTCACTATTACCGTTGACTAGCATGTGCGCGGCAATCGTAGGACGATCTATGGTCGGTGTGGTGGGAACGGGCGAAGCGGAATTCTCCGAGAGCGAGGGAGATTATAGTGGAGACGAGGAGAGTGATGCGGAGGGTGCGGAAATGGCGGCAATCCAGGAGCTTTACGACGCCGTGCCAACTCGGTTTCGCAAGTGAGTTCCATGGATGTCCTCATGCGTGTGCATGCCCTCTAACGCGCCTACACAGCTGGACACTCATCTCTCACTCTCTGACTCTCCTGCTCAGCAGTTGCCCACATAACCCCACGCTCTTTTCGTGTCTACTGGACTTGTCTCTCAACTACAGGCTGGTGCAAGAATCTCGATCTATATTATCTGCCTATCTGTCACTCTGCGTCCAACCCGCCGCCTCGAACATGGCTCCTCCTCTAGCGCACCCCTCCCATACCGAGTTCCTGAAGGACCTATCTTCCCGCTGGACTAGTACTCCTGCGTCATCATCATTATCTGCGCTACCCCATGCACCGCAACAAGGCTTTCAACCCAACCCCCATTTCTCAACACGTACTTTCGTCGACATCTTCGTGACCGCGTTGTCCGAGACACAATGTCACGAAGCATGGACTTGCAAGGCCACAGCACGACTTGCGCGCCGGCTTCGACAGACCGACACCCACGGCTACGCTAGCCTGTGCGGCGGCCTCATGGAACTCCTATGTCGCGCACCACCCGCGGCCGACGACGACCGACCAGAGCGTCTCGCTTTATGGCTTGACAACCTACCGATGTCTTTTCAGGCAGAAGAGGATGTCACTATGTCGATTATGCATCTCATCTGTGCCGCTCAAAAAGCCGGTTTGCACGTCATGGATACCACACGCCTTGCGATAGACTCTCCGATGCGCCTGCTCCAGAGCGCTCTTGTGTGTATCGCCATAAGATGTCTGGGCTCTGTGGTCTCACAAGCAAACTCTCACCTGCGATACCCATTGATTACTCTGTTGCGATCAGCACCTCAGACCGCGACTCTCGATAGTGTGGTCGGCCCATGCTTCGATGTATCAACATCGTCAAGCGCAGACACTCCCTCCAGCACGCAGGCACTCTCAGATTCCTTCAACGACATCTTCCACCGCGTGGACTTCATTGCGAGCGCACTGCGTGAGGGCGTCCTTGCCAGGCTCGAGAGCTCTCTCTGGAGTTGCGCCCTACGACACTTCCAGCGCATGAAGTTATCAGAAGGTTCGGGCGCCCATGCATCAAACATCTTCCGACAGAAATTGGTCGATGCTCGCACAGCTGCCGCAGGGCGCCGGGTCTTGGAGGACGCTGAGATCGAGCGTATGCGGTCGCTGTGTCCATCACCTCCACCGTCGCGGCCGTCGAGCCCGGTCCCAGAGCCAATGCAGATACCCGAGATATCAAGACGGTCTCTTGGCGCCGTAAGATCGGTTCCCGTGCACCGTCCTATGCGCTTCCAGTCAGCCTCAACCACGGTGTCGCCCGTTACTACACCAAGGAAGCCGCGTGCTACAGCGAGGAGACGAGCGTCGCGTGGTCCCGCTGCCTTACCCCACCAGGAGAAGTCTTCCTCGATCTCTGAGACCTCGAACGCAAGCTCGTTTCTGCTTGCGTCGCTCAAGACCGTATCTCTCAAGCTGCTCGAACATCGGTCTTCTGGAAATTGTGACGAACGCGATGAAGCCTTGGATGCCATCACACCCCGCGCGAGACGAAGTGATCGTCCCAAAGTAACCCTACCAACAACCGATGCGGATAGCGAAAGCGACTGGAGCCGTGATGAAGGACTCCGCGGAACGAAGAGGCCACGCAGTATGTTGACACCTCGAGCTCGGCCTCGCGCGTCCACAGACAGTAAAGATGTCGAGGATATCGCCAGTCCCCTGGCTAAGCGGAAACGAGGCACCGCTGCAGCTCGAGCTCAGGTGTCGCGTATTGCGCTTCACCATACGATGGGCTCCGAGTCCGAGTCTGAGGAGAGCGGCAGCGACTGGGGACAAGAACATGGAGCCGACATGGCCAGGAGAGCTGCCTGGTCGCGGGCGCAGTGCAGGGAGTCGGACACTTCGGACAGTGGTAGTGACTGGGCGCGCGATCGACGAGTTCTTCCTCGCAGCGCAACTACTATGACCAGTGGCTCAGCACCCTTGCAGCCCAGCGTCAGAACCAGAGCAACATCGAGACGTCGTGCCTCCGAGTCGGTCGCCCGGTCTTCGAGGGTATCTGACGTCTCTTCCGGCCCTTCGCTGTCCCCAGTACGATTCAAGTCTTTGATCGCGCAGGCTTCTCGGCGGCGTGTTTCTCTTCGCGAGGAACCCCCCAAAGTACCTCGCATCTTACGACGGCGCAGAATCGTACTGGATTCGGAGGACGAGAGCGGACTGGACGAGCCGCGACGTACTAGCGAAAGCGAAAGCGACATCGATATCGCCGTGAACGTCCCCGCCAAAGCCCACGATATGGAAGCTCCCGGTGACGACGACGCGTTGGATTTATTCATGTACGAATAGGGCTTGTGTCGGGTGACATTTTCCGAATCTATCTTATATACTCATGATATATAGTACTATCTAGCACACATGTACAAGGCCTTACCTCACACACTCATGTCCTCTTGCATCGAACAGACTATAACCCAGCAATGATGAATTGACGTGTGTCTTTTGTCAAACAGGCACGGCCCGATCACGAGTAGTGTAGTACGTACTCAGCTCGGCTTTCACCTATCGCTCTCGAGTGTCTACCCCCAACACTTAGAAAGCAATCCATGTGGGAGATCGAGCTGCTTCTCTCACTGGAGACATCTTGGTCAGAACGCGTATCGTGAGTTGGGATCTGACAGCATTGTAAGCTCCGCCGGGTCAATTTCTCAGCGTGGGTCACAGTTTCTCTCAGGGTCAGCACACCCAAGTGTGGTTGACAAACCTCACAGTGCGTACGACAGGGCTTAGCGAACACGACAGTGACCAGTCAGCTTACAGTTGGTTTACAGTATCCGTGAACGACGTCTAGCTGAGTTTGTTCAAACGCGCATCGCGTCGGGCCACATCCGCGTCACACGCTTCTTTGACACCTTCCACCATGTCCAAAGCCAAAGACGCCCACACGCTACCACTTGACGCTACGCTGCGCGATCTCGCACTATTGCGTGCATGCGACGTCGACTTATCTTTGCTGCTGCCGCCCGAGGCGCCGAGCGAGAGTGAAGTAGACAAAGGCGTCGCTCGCTCACATGAATTCGCGAATGAAGCCCGCTCCGCGATCCGGATGCTCAATCGCGGCTCCGTCGATGAACAGGGCGAGAGACTCGAAGGTGTCCGCGCCGTCTTAGAAGACGCCGCCGGTGCATTGGAGAAATGACTAAAGAGCACTCCTCTATCGATGCTGGGAGAAGATGGCGTCGTTGGGTGGTGGATAAGGTGCATACTGCATCGACATGAGGTTACGGCGTGTCGCAGGGATTAGCGGAGGAGAAGCAAAGGGGCGGATCAGATGCCCTGCCGCGAGGCAGACGGGTTAATTAGATAGCGGTGTTTGAGATAGGCCTTTGAGGGAATAGAGTCGAGGAAACCGACTGGAAAGCCAGCAATTCCATATAAGCCTGTCATGTGCGGAAGTAGAATCCCAGTTGAACTTCTGGCGCTCAACGGCGCTTGACCACGGGAGCTCGAGGCAAGCCTCGGGCAGGGGGAGTTTGGTTTACGGATATCGGAGCTACTTGGGCCGCGCGATTTTTTGGTTGATCGGCGGGCACGAAGGCGTAAGGGAGGAGTATAAGAAGGTTTGGTGCGAACGTCGCGCGCCGCGCTGTGCTCAATAGCCCAACTCACGACCCGCACGACCTCGACACGACGGCCACCATGGGCGGCATCTCGCTCGCCCTGTTTATCCTCAGGATAATAGCGCCAGCGCTAATACTCCTGCCGACTCTCGCCCTACTTTTCGCCCGGCCACCGGCTCCGTCAGAGCCGTCGCCCATCACTCAAGTCATCGTAAAGTCGACAGTGCCGCGCAGGGGCCTTATCCTCGCACTACTTTCCCTCGTTGCCCTCACATATCTACTCGATGGCCTCGCATTCGTCGTTTACGCCGTCGTTGATAAGCGGTGGCCATACATGACCGGTATCGAACTCAATGCCATCATCGGCCTTGTCGCATTCTCCGGCCTTGCCTCTCTCGGAGCGTACAAGGATATCAAGGGCGTCGATGTCTGGAGCCGAGGCGATTTGAAGGCTGCCGTGGTCCTGTCACTTCTCGTTGACGTCGCTCAGGCCGTCCTTTTCGGCGCGTCTATGCCCAGAGACAGTGCGTATTGTTCCAAATCCGGCCGACGTGAAGCATGTTCGCTGACAGGCCGTCCGCTATAGCCGAGTCTCACCCGTACCCTCTTCCGTTCCCTCTCACCAGCCTTCTTCACTTCATCTTTCCGGTCCTCCGCATTCTCCTGCTCGTACCCCTCTTCGGCGCCTTCATCAGCCCCGTGGTCACCTATTCTTCGCTCGAGGTCGACGAGCCGCAACCCACGACTGCGCTTCTCGCGCCTGAGGCCTCGTCAGCCGAGGCCGGCCTCACTCTGACCGCAAATGGCGCCGGCAAGTACGGTACTTTCCGCAGCACTGGCTCAAACGCACCCACGAACTCGTCCAACGCTCCGACGCGCGCTCATTCGCCCGTACCGCCGACTGCTGTTGCGAACAAGGTATGTGAAGCACTTTGCCTGTTGCGCAGCATTCGCTGATCCATACATTCGTAGAAAAAGGGCCTGAACGAGAAGGAGGTTAACCCGGACCCGTCTTGGCGCGAGCTGGGCTCCCGTCTGAAGCGCATTACGCCTTACCTCTGGCCGTCAAAGAGCGTCCCTCTTCAGCTCACCGCTGTACGTGTATGATGGCGCAACGAGTTTCATGACGTGCTAACGTCACATCAGCTTCTCTGTATCCTCATTCTGATAATCGGCCGCTTCGTAGCGTTTGCTGTGCCCTTCGTGCTCGCTGAGCTCATCTCAGTCTTCGAGGAGAAGGACGGCCGCTCGCCCTGGCCGTACCTCTTCGGCTATGTCGCCCTGCGCTTCCTCATGTCCTCCGGGGGTCTCGCGGCGATCCGGGACGCGCTTTGGGCGCCCGTCATGCAGTACTCGGACCGCGAGATGAGCGAGCTTTCGTTCAACCACTTGCTCAATCTCTCGTACAATTGGCACATCAACCGCAAGACCGGCGAGGTGCTGCGCATCCTCGATCGCGGCGCAGCAATCAACCACATCCTCGAACTCTTGTTGTTCACGGTTATCCCGACCTTCATCGACATTATCGTCGCGCTCGTCTTCTTCGCGATCCGTCTCGACTGGACACTTTCGTTGCTCCTGTTCTTGGTGTTGTCTGCGTACATCATCGCGAGCGTGATCATTACTCGCTGGCGTACGAAGCTGCGCCGCCAGATGAACGAGCGCGATACCTTCACGCGTGGTATTCACACGGATTGCCTGCTCAACTACGAGACCGTCAAGTACTTCGGTGGCGAGGAACATGAAGGGAACCGGTACCGCGAGGCTATCAAGGCGTATCAGAACGTTGAGCTTCGCGTCATTCTCTCGATGAACCTCCTCAACCTTGTTCAAAACTTCATCATTGTCAGTGACACTCTGTGCTTATATTCTTCCTACTGACGCGAATGTGTCCAGACGCTTGGTCTTCTGATCGGCTCCATCTTGGTGGCGCTCCAGGTTGTCAATGGCAAACTCACGGCTGCTGACTTTGTGTTCTTCATCACCTACCTCGGTCAACTCTACGGTCCACTCAACAACCTAGGGTACATCTACCGCTCAATCAATCAGGCACTGATCGACACCGAGAAGTTGCTTATGCTACTCAATGAGCCGACCGATGTCAACGACAAGCCCGACGCACCTGATCTCGTCGTCACCAACGGCGAACTTCGCTTCGAGGACGTCTCGTTCAGCTATGACGGTGGTCGCACCACTGCGCTGAAGGGCATCAGCTTCACCATTCCCAAGGGCTCATCCGTGGCGCTCGTTGGAGAGTCCGGTGCTGGCAAGAGTACGATCCTCCGCTTGCTGTACAGGTTCTACGATCTCGCTCCCGGCCAAGGTCGCATCACCATCGATGGTCAGGATATCCGCGACGTCACCCAACGCTCTCTGCGCCAAGCTATTGGTGTCGTCCCGCAGGACAGTGTGCTCTTCAATGCCAGTATTGGGTACAACATCGGCTATGGCAAGTTCGGTGCATCCGAGGAGGAGATACAAGACGCGGCTCTGCGCGCTCAGATGCACGACCGCATCACGAGTTTCCCCGACGGCTACGCTACCAAGGTTGGCGAACGCGGCATTCGGTTGTCCGGTGGCGAGAAGCAACGCGTGGCCATTGCCCGCACCCTTCTCAAGAACCCGCCTATCCTGCTACTCGACGAGGCAACTAGCGCGCTCGACACTAGCACCGAGCGTGACATCCAGAAAGCTCTCCAAAACCTTGTTCAGGGTCGTTCCTCGCTCTCGATTGCGCACCGCCTGTCGACCATTGCCAACGCAGACCTGTGAGTTATTCCTTGTGCCTTTGACACACTAGGGACATGATGCTTATATACACTCTAGCATTCTTGTTCTCAAGGATGGGCAGGTTGTCGAGCAGGGTTCGCACGCGCAATTGCTCGAGCTTGGTGGTCTGTTTGCCACAATGTGGGCCGACCAAATCTCTGTCGAGGAGCAAGTCCGTGATGCCAAGAAGGTCGAGGGCTATAACGTCGAGGCTGAGCCTCAGGTCAAAGAGGAGCCGGCCGAGGACGAGCCCACGCAGGATACCACCGTGGACGAGCCTGAACCCGAGGTTGTCGCGTCTCCGACGGCTGATGTCCCGATTGCTGCTGCCGAACCCGAGCCTGAGATCAAGAAGGAGGAGGATGACGCCCCCGCTCCCGTCGCTTTCCCAACATCTACCGATGAGCCTGAACCGGCACCCGTAGCCTTCCCGAGCAGCGCCGACGATGAGACACCTGAACCCGCTGCCGCTGCGCCAATCGCCTTCCCCGCGAGCGACGAGCCCGAGACGTCTTCGCAGGCTCCTACGACGGATGCGCCTACCAGCCCAGGTATCACATTCTCGCCGGAAACTGCGCACGACCGCGAGCGCTCGCCCAGCGACCCCGATGAGCCCAAGCGCAAGCGGATCTCTAGCCAGAACTTCCAGCGTCTGGCCCGCCGAATTTCCGTGAGTGCGCGCCGCACCGGATCTGGCAACATTCCGGGTATTGCGGGTATCGTGGGCGCTCTGCGGCGCGAGGGCAGCACCCCTGGCAAGGAGGCGCCTCCTCGCGATAGCACCGATGACACCGCGAGCGCGAGCGGAAGCACGAGTGCTAGCCCGCGCCCCGCTACGCCTGTCCGCGTCGCTTCGACCGACAGTCCCGCGGCCAGCGTGCGTAGTGACTCGCCCGCGGGCGATGGCAAGAAGCTCAAGAAGGAGAAGAAGGAGAGGCGCAAGACGCTCGGGACTGGCAAGTGATGGCCTTCTCCCGCAGCTGTGTGAGCGCGAGTTTCTGCACGACTATTCTGTAACGACCCCATATGACCACCTTTCCTCGTCCACATAGTATCACTTTCTATCCTCAGTGTCCAGAACCCATCCCAGTAGCTAGTAGTTGTTGGTCCCATCTGTTTGCTGTCTTATTACTTCCCTGTCCCTGCACTGTGCTTCGTGTCGTTCCATCTGATATGATACCGCTTGTCCTTGCATCTGTTCTGGTGCGCTTCTGGTGTCGCTTCTAGCAGCCATACTTCTGATTGTGCCCGTGCTCGGGCTGTATACTTTGTACGCTCATGGCTGTGGGATCTCTGTATATGTACTCCCGGTACTCAGGTGACCCGGAGCGGAGCCGGGGCGGGGATCGAATTTCCATCACGGCATCCGCCGCGCCGTATATAAGGTTGCTGCGAATTGGCGCTCGGCCCTCACGGCTCTCTTCTGACCGCGTCCCAGTCTCGACTCTCTGCCTGTTTGACCCCCGTCTCCCGTCTGCAGTGTCCCAGTCTCTGTTTTCGCGTTCCCGGATTACGAGTGTATCAATATCCCCCGGCTTCGATTGATCAAATATGTCGACCAAAATCTACGTTGGGTTCGTCTGCGCGAGCATTTTTGTAATATGATGTGTCCAACGACGGGCGTCCCTTCTCCTTATGTGGGGGACGTGCGCTCGAATGGTGACTGATGATACCCCCTGTACTTAGCAACCTTTCTTGGAATACGACCGATGATACTCTGCGCGATGTTCGTGATTGATTGCCCGTTGCCTGACATTCCGTATCCTGATCAAGTATCTGTAGGCGTTCATGCAGTTCGGCCAAGTGCTTGACGTGCGTACAGCATGCCGCGCCTTGTGGCGCACGTAAGATCGGAATGTGTGCTGAGTGGGATAACGCTTTGCAGTCCATCGTGATGCGCGACCGCGGCACCGGCCGTTCGCGCGGCTTCGGCTTCGTCACCTACGGCTCTGAGCCCGAGGCCACGAACGCCATCCAGACCATGAACGAGCAGGAGCTCGATGGTCGCCGCATCAAGGTCAACATCGCCAATGCCCGCACTGGCGGCGGAGGTGGTATGTAACAACTACCCTCATTGTGAAATTAGAGGTTCATTATTATTCAGGCTTCGGCGGCGGAGGCGCTGGCGGCTACGGCGGTGGAGGCTACGGTGGCGGAGGCTACGGCGGTGAATCCGGCGGCCAGGGTGGCTATGGTGGCGGCGGCTATGGCGGCCAGCAGGGCGGCGGCTACGGCGGAGGCTATGGTGGCCAGCAAGGCGGCTACGGCGGTTCTGGCGGCTACGGTGGCGGCCAGGGCGGCTACGGCGGCGGTCAGGGCGGCTACGGTGGCTCCGGTGGCTACGGAGGTGGCCAGGGTGGCTACGGCGGTCAGGCCGGTTACGGCGCCCAGGCCGGCTACGGTCAGCAGGGCTATTAAGCTCATGTGTATGTTGTACTCATAACCCCCCAAGGCAGCTGATCGCTGAATGGTCGCGTAGTTCTCCGCCAGACTGATCATGTTTTTTCTTATTCGCTTCCGTCCATATCGTTAACAGTCTCGACACGTCCCGGCATCCATCCTCGCACCCCTCCTTCCCGTGCAGCCTCGTCCCTCCTGTCCTTATTCTCTCGCAGCACTCGTCGTCTCCTCCACATTCTGCGTTCGTCGTGTGTTCATGTCTCGACCGTTCCGTATCGCTCGCTACGCACGCACTCGATCACGACCTGTACTAGTATGCCGCTGTTCCCCGTCTGCTCTTCGCTTGCCCCTCCGCGTCGCACCCCCTGCCTCTTTGCCATCCCCGATGCTCTGGATGGATGTGTCACTAAATCCTGATCTCTTTTGTATCTTTGACTTGCCATCTGCTTGCCCGTGAAGCAATGCCATTCATCGCTTTTTCTGGAAAATTTGTGTGAATGCAACGCCCATGTACAACTATGTATCAAGTCAAACCCGGGAGGAATATATTCGAAGAAGAGACCCTCCCCTAACCATTTAGTGCGCTGTAACAAGAGAACGCAGTTGTACCTTCGAATACGCGTCGGGATAGGTACGACGAACGTACTGAATCGGTCCGCACGGGCCCGCTAACCGGGACGAAGTGTCGGCTGAGCTCCTTCGAGAGAGCCGTCATGCTCGCTATAATTATGGTCTTCTTAACCGCCATCTCACACCGCTCCTCGATAGAAAGATGACATCGCTGAACGCTGTAGACATCATTGTCGAGCACATTCTCACGAATCTTGCAGCGCTGCCGCAGCGACCGCTCTTCGTCGCACTTCAAGGCCCACAGGGATCTGGCAAGACCTACACCACATCGCGGGTAGCGAAAGCTCTGGAGAGCGCATCCGTGCGCACCGCGACGCTTTCAATCGACGATCTGTACCTCCCGCATGATGGTCTCATAGCGCTCGCATCGTCTCATCCGGATAATGGGTTGCTTCATGGGCGCGGGCAGCCTGGAACGCACGACGTGCCTCTCGGCGCGCGGGTGCTAGCTGCTTTGAAGTCTATCAACCATTCCGGACAGAATGTACGACTGCCATCGTTCGATAAGAGTCAGTACAACGGCGAGGGTGATCGCGTACCCGAGGCGGACTGGACTCCCGTCAAGGGACCTCTGGACGTTGTGCTCCTTGAAGGCTGGTGTGTTGGATTCTACCCGCAGGCAAGAGCGGATATCGAGAGAGCTATGAGCGAGACTCCCGCTGGTCTTGAAGATATATTCGATCTGGGGCAGTACTCGCTTGAGCACGTGCTTGAAGTGAACGAGCTGCTCGCACAGTACGTCAAATGGTGGGATATGATCGATGTATTCATACAGGTGAACCGCCTGCCCTTCGTCAGGGAGGAATACTCACAATCGCACACAGATCCGGCCTGAAGCGAGTAAACCGTACGTGCATATATACAAATGGCGCCTCCAGCAAGAACATGCCATGAAGGCGCAGAACGGTGGGAAAGGAATGACGGACGAGCAGGTGAAGAGGTTCGTCGACGTTGGACACTATGGCTCCAACCCTTGTACTGACGACATTCGTTAGGTTCATCGATCGCTACATCCCCGGTTACCACTTCTTCGGCCGGGGCGTCGTGGCGGGTGGCGTGCTTCCTGCTACTGGCGAGCGCGTTTGGCCCCCTTGGCTGCCCAATCTTGCGCCTGTCCACCCCGTATCTGAGGCCAGTCAGTTCAGACCGCCGAGACTGTTACAGATCACCATCGGAGAAAGTCGCGAAGTCCTCGACTTCAAGGGTCTGTGCAGGATCAGTGGCGTGGTCGAGGAAGGAGAATCCCCGAGAGCATAGACGACAGCATGAGGTCTTGTACGCAGCAGCCCATATGCTACGGGTTTCGATGCGAACCGGCTATGGGAACACACGCATATGTCAACCACCATATCACATACAACTTCGTTCCAGTGTATATATACAATTGCGATGTACACGCGTAATGCGACAGTCCTTCAAGCTTCAAGCTTACACGGCAACGTCATGAGGCATCTCTCCCTTAGAACCCGCCAGCCTTGTTATAGCAGAGCACCTCGTATTTCTAAGAGACCTTGTCAGCATGCCTGTAGAGAATGAATGTCTCGATCACGAACCTCGACGCGCTTCTCCTTGCCGTGGTACGCGATGTTAGCACCTTCGACATTCGCACTGGCCTTTCCGGGAATGAGCCAACCATCCTTCTCGGCACGCGCGACAGCGAGAGGGGCCCCGTTGGCCTCGTGCCCGCCCTCGACTGGTGCGTTGTATAGGTTCTGGGGGACGAAACGACCGCGGAGGTGCTCCCAGTGTACAGCGCGCTCGTCGCCCAGCAGGATCTCATAGGTAGTCACCTCGAAGTCGTCACCGCCGAAGCTATACCATAGTGTCAATCGAGTCTCGCGAGCTCACAGCGCTAGATATGCCTACCTGATAACAGCACCCTGCTTTGTGCTGCGGGACACATGGCCGACGTGAACGCCACCCTCGTGGAAAGCGCGCGCAACATAGATGGTGTCGCCGTCAGGGCTGCGACCCGCTGGGAGAGCACCATCGGGGATATCATGGTTCTGCGTCAGTATCCAAGACGTCGGCGCGCGAGGCCCGTTCCTGTAGAACTCGTCGCGGCGGCGCTGAGCGTCCTCGAGCCACTTCTGGAGACCGAACTGCATGGCTTTCTCCTCCTCCTCATTCTTCTCATGCTTTTTGTAGGCGTAGAAACCGCCGGCCAGCAGGCCGGCTGCACCAAGCAGGCCGCCGCCGACCTAGATAGTATGATCAGCAGGGATGCCGATGCGAAGAATGTTGATGCGACCAACCAGGAGCTCTTTCTTGCGGTCGTCGTCCAGATCCCACCAGTGCTTCTCCTTCTCGTCGTGCTGGATCTGGGTTGTCTGCTCTGGGGGCGCCTGATACACGGGCTGCTCGGGCTTGGAGTCTGGAGATCATGTCATTGATTGGCTTTGGGAGAGCAGAACGTGCGCTGAGCGCTGATGTTTGGTCACTGACCTTGACCATAACCGTACTGAGGCGGGTTCTCAGCATGGTGCTCAGGCGCGCGGTATTCGCCGCTGCCGAAGCCGTGGTCGCCATCTTGAAGGCGCCCCCAGAGAGCAGGTGTGGCAGGCGGCGTCCAGTCGCTCTAGTACAAGGGTGTCTGAGCGGGAGGATGATTATGAGGATAGCACATACGAACCTGCGAGCGGTGAGGCTGGATGATCTTGTAGCGGTGGCCTGTAGAAGCTTAGCAGATGTAGAGAGATCGAGTGCAACTGGGAGAGCGCGCACCCTCGTACTCGACGATGTCGCCGGAACCGTACTCAGTGCCAGGCTCCCAGTAGTTCGTCATGGTGGTTTGTGTAGAATGAAGCGAGCAAGCAAGTTCGCGCTGATCATCTCCCGCCCGGCGGGATATCCTTTAAGTACTCGCTTTACAGCTGTGCACATGTACAGCATGAGGCAGGCACGTCAGCGCTCGAGCTTTTCTGAACCATTCCATCGATACAAAGGAAGAAGCTGTATGAAGACCGTCCACGTCAGATGGCGTGCCGAGACCAAGGTAGGTGGTGATGGGTACAGGGCTGCTGGCGCGTGTTGGGGCGGGTTTGGGGGAATAGGAACGCGCATCTGTACAGCTGTATACGTTCTTGACCCCTCGGAAGGTCGTAAGGAAGCCCTCGAGGTGATTTGAGGTGGCGAATCTGAGAGCGATAGTCCGGAGATATCGCTTTACCGGTACTGCAGTCGCGTGTATGTACCGGATATAGAGTGAGGATCGATGGTGGCAGGTACTGACGGAAAGTCGAGGCCGCGCCACAACCCCGCACGACGCAACTCTCATCCGGGATGACATCCGCGGCCGGCTAAACTACTGTCCGCTTAGTGTCTAGTCGCCACAACACCTGTTCACCCACATAGTCAGCAGTCTCTCTACGCCTACGCGTTGGTTCTCAAGCTTCACACTGCAAGTCTTTTGTGGGTAGAGCGATCATCAGCATGCATATCGCTAGTCCTTAGCATTATAAGACGTAAGCCTACAAGAAACTAATACAACAAGTGCCCAACACCGGCATTGTTCCCTCTCCAACGGGGAATCTATGAACGTGCACACACAGCGGATGGGGATAGCAATCGATGATGTTTATACAAGCATACCGCTGTGAATAGGCGTCAGGACCGTTCAACCAATCGAAAGAGAAGGGAAAAGGAAGCGGGGAAGAACGTCATAGAACATGAGGGACTCACGCAATACCGGCAGCCTGCATCGTCGAGATGAAACCGCAGACCATGGCTGATGTTGCGACGGATGCGATAACCTTCGCGCGGGAGGGTGCAAGAGCGCTGAGCACACCGATGTTGATACCGAGCGAACCGAGGTTGGCGAAACCGCAGACAGCGTACGACGCGATCGTGAACGCACGCTCGGTGAGCGGGTCATCGCCAGTCTGGATGGCGTGGAGGTTCGTGTATGCCGCGAACTCATTCTCGACAAGCTTCGTGGCGAGAATCTCGGACACGCGAAGGATTTCGGCGCGCGGGACACCCATGAAGAACGTCACGGGGTAGAAGACGTAGCGGAGGATGAGCTGGAGGGTGAGAGCGTGGATGCCGAAGCCACGGCCGATCCAGGTCAGAAGGCCGTTAATGAAGGCGACAAGTGCGAGCACTGTAAGCACGTTGCACAGAATCTGGCCGGCGACCTTGACACCGAAGATGGCACCCTTCGCGAAAGCGTGGAGGGCGTTGGCGGGGCGGTCGACGGAGTCGAGGTCACCACGGTCAACGATGACGCGACCACGGGTGACGGGCTCATCCACCTCGGGGTAACGCATCTTGGAGATGGCAATTGAGGCGGGGATGGACATCATCGACGCAGTGATGAGGTTAACGGCGGGGATGCCGAGGTTGATGTATGCACCCAGCACGGAACCAGCGATGGTCGAGAAACCAGAGGTCATGACCAGGTGAAGTTCCGACGCAGTCATCAAGTCAACGTAGGGGCCGACGAGACAAGCAGACTCGCCCTGGCCGATGAACGGCGATGCGGCGGCGACGACGGCCTCAGCACCGGAGACGTTCATGGTCTTGAAGAAGAACCAAGCGAAGTTCTTCAAGAACCACTGCATCACGCCCAGATAGTAAAGCATCTGGACGAATGCAATGAAGAAGATGATCGTGCCGAGCGCTGAGAAAGAAAGGTCAGACTCGTTCAGGAGCATATAGGCAGCTACGACGCACTGTTGGCAAAGAACCAGTGCTCGTTGACGATGTCCTGGCTGAAGAAGAACGCGACTCCAGCAAGGGCGCAGTTCAAGAAGTCAGAGGCAGCAGTCGCAGCCCACTGGAAAATCGAGAGACCAGCCGAAGTGCGGAGGACGAACAGGGCAATAACCTGCTGCATGAAGAGACCGACGAGGACGGTACGCCTGATTCTCTCGATGAGAAGAGCGGAGTGAAGAGTTTAGGGGGGAAGCGTACCACTCGATGGCCCTGCGGTTGGTCGACAACGCCCAGAAGCAGAACTGGAAGACGGCAAGACCAAGTACGGAGATGGCACGGTCACCATAGGTCGTGTTCTGCTCGCGAGGTTCAGTTTCTGACTTCGCAAGCGTTGTCGTAAAAGCATTACCCCTTCGAGCTTGAAACCGAACGCGCTACCGAAAACGATCGCAAGGAGGGCGAGCCATCCCATAGTGAGGCGGACATATCGGGGGAGCGCGAGGAAGGGCTTCTGGACGAGCGGGATCCATATGGCTTCGACGGGGCGGGTTACGACCGAGTTTGGCAGATAGCGGAATGCGATGATCAAGAGGAAGAACCATGCCCATACTAGACAAAGAGGGACATGAGCATGCTGGACAGGGTGCGAGATATTGATAGTGGGCGCGGGAAGAGCGCGCACGCGACCAGAATGGAAGGTTGATACTCACCGGTTTGGACAATCCAGCTGTGGAAAGCACATGGAACACATCAGCCTCTACCGCGTTTCACGGCGAGTGGGAGCGCGCACCGATGGCGGGTCGCCGGCAGGATTGTGGACGAGATCCACCAGCCGAGAATCAACGCGGCCAGCCCGAACAACACAACCGGGCGCACGAAGCGCTGATGGCGGCCAAGGAAGCCGGGGTGCTCGTCTTCGTCGACGGCGCCCTTCTCCATGTCGGTGTCGTTGGACGAGGAGACGACGTCGTCAGTCACCTGAGGCGCCTTCTCGTCGACGGTAGCCGGAGCCGGAGCGACAGCCTGGGTGGATGGCTGCTTCTCGAGCATCGGCTGTTCCTTGAGATCGTGCGAGCTCATTGTTTGTGCGAGCGACGGCGGCGCTGCGAGCTGCAGATGCAGGGGTGCGGGGCAGGAGGAGAACCGGGAGCCATCCTTGACATGGAGCAGGGCTCTTCAGTTTTTATGCAGCCGCCGTAAGGACCTAGTGCCGGTCCATGCGGACTGAGAGGCACGCGCCCGCGATAGCTGAAGTTTTGATGTGAGCGGCCAATCGCCTCTCCACAATCAGCTCCTCGTCTCGGTGATGGCGCATATTTTGGCCATCTAACACTCTGACAGTCAAGCTCTTATATGCGAGGGACGTGCCCGTGTCGCGCTGAGCGCAAGAGATGGCGAATGTGGGCATGAGAGCATCTTTGAGCCCATGCGCGTCAACGAGCGAAGGGCCACACAGGTCCTGCTTCTATCATGGAACGATTGGCTCCGGGGCACGGAACTATCTTGGCATCTGCGCCGCTGGATGCTGTACCTGCCGGCCACATTCATCCCGGGCATGGGGGAGCGATAAGGATAGGCGCGCACAGAAGCCATAGCGAATGATATCAAACCCGTCGCATATCTGTACGCAGAAGCATGAGGGGCTGCGGTGATATAGCTGCTGTCTGCACTGCTTGGCGAGCCTGAATAATGTCGGTCCATCGTAGGTGCTGCGCTAGAAAAGTCGAACGGGAGGAGTCTTCGAGGCCGGTCGGGATCCGGGACCAAAACGACGCATCCGGCGACATACGTCTCTATTCACCCATACATCTTACAACGACAAACGTACATGTATACAGCTAATACATTCCAGCGTTCGTGGGGCGATAAACAGAATGGAAAGCACACGCATCAAAAGGAGCAAGCACCGCCGATCCATTACACCTTGAGCGCTTTGATAGTTTTACCCATAACGACAGCGAGCCATTCTCCCGCAGCAGTCGAGATGCCCGTATTCATCGTCATGGCGGGAATGTGTGGGGACCAAGCGAGGTTGGTGACCTCCGCTTGTGCATTGTACGCCATGACGGGATCCGTCACTGTGCGTTTCTTGCCATCGGCGGGCCGTGGCGAGCTGAGGCGCGCGCTGGTGTTGCGTGGCGACGAAGCGGGTGGCTGGGAGTAGCCGGCAAGGTTCCAGAGTAAGACCTGACAATCGTCGGCTGTAGATCGTAAAAAAGTATGGTCAGCACCCGCCTCAGGAGGTTCAAGTCCGCTGAAACAGCTTACCTGCGGATGCTAGTAGCGGATTTTCTGCGCTACCCCAGCCGACAGCGTTGATAGGCGCCTTGTGCGCCTTGAGCTCCATGACCGGTGCGCCGGGACTTCGCATATCGAGCACCTGCACCTCACTCCCGTCCATATGGAATGTAGACATGTAGTTCGCGTCGTTGGGGTTGAACGCGATGCGCAGCAGCGGCGACGACGGCGGACGGGAGCTTGCGCTAGGAGAGGCGGGAACGGCGACCTTAGGTGCGGGTGTCTCATACAGGATCGTGGAGTGCTCAAGAGAACGGAGATCAAAGGCGCGGAGGGAGCCATCCGCACCGACCGAGACGAAGATGTCGGTCGATCCGGGCAGCCACGCGACGTCGTACACTTCGCGGTCGTGTGCGATGAGCTGTGTGAGCGCGCTCTGGGTGTCGATATTCCACACAGTACATGTCGTGTCAATCGAGGAAGTCACAATGAGGCTCGGCTGCTTCTCGTTCCAGGAGAAGTTCGTGAGCGGTGCCAGCGCTCCTCCAGACTGGTTGGCCTGCACTTTGGCTTGCTGGAAATGTTCAGGATGCAGTAGAATAGAATATAGTGATCACGTACGCCGGAAAGTGCCGCCTTCAACTGCAGCCTATGCCCGCCCGCAGTCGGCTGCCGCCCGACGTACGAGGACATCGGCATCTGCCCATCGCTCGCGTATTCCCATATACGCAATGCATCCCCAGTCGTTGCCAGTAACTCCGTACTCGACGCTTTGTTTGACCATGGAAATACGGACGCTGCTGCGGGCTGCCATTGTAAGCTGGTCGCAGGGTAGCCGTGGCTGGCCTCGACGAGCGTCACAAAGTCCGGATAATCGCCATAGTCATCTTCCACCAGCACCCTCTCGTCTTGTAGCCCGACGACTGCTATCCGATTGCGAGAATCCTCAGTGAAGGACGCGATGCCGAGGCGAAATGCGGAGCGCGCGCGGACGCCGCCGCCACTTGTTGGTGCCGGCGTTTTGCACCAGTCAAGTGCGTGTACGGGCCCTAGTTCCGGTTATATATATGACTAAAGGTACAGGGTGATGTTCGAAACGTACATGGGGCTTCATACTGAAGCACTGTGGTTTGTGTCATGGAGGGCGAGGACGTTCGACTTTCTAACAGGGCGCGGGTCCCATTACACGCCCCCGGCCCGGTAGACGCGGTGTAGACGTTGATGGGTCCAAGATAATGACGTCCTTCACATTTTTGCCCCTCATTTCTGTGCCATTTCTGTGTAACTATAGTACCGCCCTAAGGCCCTGACCGGAACGGCACTAGGCTGGCAACCACTAAGCATAGCTATGTGCATGTGTAGATTGGATCGAGCTCCCGGGTTTCAAGGGCCATACTACTCTACGAGAACGGACCCAATACCTATGTAGTTAGTGTAGATAGACGGCGAACACCGTCGTGGCCGACACACCATGAGGCGTACTAGCATTCTTCATATAAGGCAGATTCTCCAACGACTTTCTGCTCATGCCCGAGGGATTTCACCCGCCGAAGGTTCCACCTAGGAAGGTATGTGTGCACCATATCGTAAACCTAGAACATACACCGAAGTAATGTTACAGGAGCGACGTATCAAACAAGTCAAACAACCACAGCCATATACCGAATTGGAGCCAACATCCCTCTCAGTCTCACAGAACAAGCTCGATCGGGAACTTCAGCGGCCGCAGCCGTATAGAGAGACCGGGAGACCACCCCTTCGACGGAGTGCGCAAGACAAGCTTCAGCGCGAGCGTTTGCGTGCATTTGCAGCAGGAGGCGGCAGCTCTGATTCAAGCCGGCATTCAAGCTCGTCCCGGACGTCGCTCCCGCCATCCTACCGCTCAGCATCGCCTGCCCCCACGTTTACGAGCTTGCCGCCATACATTCCCGGCCCTCCAGCCCCTCCCCTATTCCATGAGTCGTCGCCACCGCCGACAGGATGTACCCAGAGAAGCGTGAGGAAGTCGTTACTTCAGAGGCTGAGCCGTGCGCCGTCTCGAGTCTGAGCGGAGGAGTAGGCAATGCCCTAGACACCACAGATCCCCTGATCGTACTCCAGTACATTGAGATCGACGCAGGCAGAGCCTGGCACTGTCCTGCTTCTGGTCTCTAGAGGCAAAACAAGGGTAATACTGGGATGATAAACAGATGCATGTCAGTTGCGATAGAGGATGGTGATGATCCCACGTTATTTAAACACAATGTATGATGATGTACGCAAAACCGCGTTGAGAACGCGCGGGTCCGCGGGACAATTAAATGCCGCGGCTTGCTGCGTAGCGACGGGGTGTACACTGGTGTACACTGTTCAGTCCAGAGATATCATAGAGTCCCGCCTTTGGGACTGTTGTGTAGTAAAACAGCTGAGACTTTGTAGAGCGATGGAAGCAAATCGGAATGAGTAGCCCGGGTCAATAGATGATGGTCGGGGAAGACAACCCGTCGGTGGGATTTGTCTAACCCAATTGATGTGCAACGAGCTTCCGGTCATTTCAATGTTCTACAATGAGGGCGGCCATCTAGCCGGTGTTCACGACTTGTTCCTAGACCACCACCAGAACCGGTATGCGAGCGATGTCGCCTCGTGATGCACTCCTCGTCATCCTCGGCGCGGGGGGCATGTACTTGGTCAACGTCTTCGTGCCCTTCTCGGAGCCTGTCGCGCTCGTGGAGGAGCCCCTGGCCAGCAAGTCTGACCTGGGCATGCCCGAGGAGGTCTTCGTACCTCCCGCACCAGCTGCAGTGGATGTAGTGGTTCCTGCGCCACAAGCGCCCCGGCCTATCCTCGAAGAGCCGCTCATCGAACCGCCCAAACCGCGCCCTCCACTAGCACCCACAGTAATGCACCAACACGCGCCGGGATGGACCATCTTTGACAACTTGTATATGGCCAACGGAACCTTGTTTGCTGTGACCGATACGCCAGATGATTTCCCCGCCATCGAGTGGATGACCTCGACTGGATTGCCCGCCGTGAATAGCCCGGAGAGTATTCAGGAGCGCATGCCGACCGCGCAGGACTTCTCCTTCATCACCACGGCCGAGGCAAAGCGGAGATGGGGGAACGATGCGGACGAGACGCAGGCGCGCGTGTTCAATATCGACGGAAATACTGTGCGTAAATACGCTCTCCTGTCTTCAGCATACCGTGTACTTATACGCCCCTGCGCGTCTCTTTTCAGCTTCTTTTCAACGATCCCGATCAATGTACGTGCATATCATCTCGTCTATTTTCCGCTTCGAGGAAGAGCACGGACTAATTGAGTGACAGTCCTCAATCACTATTACCACTTCTGCGCGGAGCTCATGTTCGGCGCGTGGGCGTTCTGGACCGGCACCTTCCCCGATGACACGCCTTCAGTCTGGGCACGCGCTATGTTCCCCCATACTGGCTGGAGCTGGCGTGACAACCCGGGCATGAACGCGCTCTTCGCGCGCGGCGGCTTTCCTACGCTTCACATCGAGGTCGACTCGGACTGGAAAGACCGTGTTGCCGCAACGGCTGTCACTGAGGAGCAGCTCGCCGTCCCGGAGAAGAACCGCGCATGGCGCTTCGATCGCGTCTTACTTGCGGATCGCAGCGCTGCTTTTCGGGGTCCCGAATGCGGCTCGCGGACACAGCGTACAGCTGCCGAGGCAATGTTGGGTGTTGTCCCCAAGGACCGCGACGGGAAGCCTGTACCTGGGCACGAATTCTTGGAGCGTGGATGGTGGGAGCCGGTGCGGCGTCGGGTTCTCAACTTTGTTGGCGTACCGAAGGCACAACTCGATCTATTCAAACTGGATGAGTCTGAACGCGTACTGCCGAACGAGAAGATCGTCGTTACGTATGTTGACCGCCAGTCCGTACGGAGACACCTTATCCATGAAGATCATGAGCTACTCGTTCAATCACTCCGCGACTTGTGTGCAAGGCGGGGATGGGAGCTTATTATCATGAAGGGTGAGGCACTCTCCAAGGACGAGCAGCTTCAGATTGCCTCGAAGACGACGGTACACCGAATTTTGCGTCACTTCAGGGTCACATTCTTACCGTTTTTGCAGTATCTCGTTGGCGTACATGGGAACGGTCTTTCGCATTTGATCATGATGCCGCCCACTCCTGCCGCAACTGTCATCGAGATCTTCTTCCCAACTGGGTACGCGCATGACTACGAATGGACTGCGCGGTCACTGGGCATGAAGCACTTCGCTGTATGGAATGACACGTACAACCTTCTTTTACTCAAGTGTAAGGGTCTATCGCTGATAGCATGGCAGGTCTACTACGTTCCCAGAAGTGCAATGGCCCTCGTATCCGGACGGCTTCCAGGGCGAGTCGATACCGGTGTATGGCCCCTATGTTGCAGAGCTGATCGAGGGCCGTGCGGATGGGAAACTGTGATTGCTAGATATGGACTCTGGTAGAATCATATGTTATTAGTTGTCGTGACGTCTGCAGGCTGGACTATCACTGCTATCGTGCTAGGATATACATAGTATTTAATTCATAATTTAATCGGTGTGCGACGCGTGCCATCAAAATGTTCGCTTCGCATTCGAAGGATACTTCACGCTTCAATCAGGGTATGCATATTTCATCACGTACTCTGTGCGGTGAACGGCGTAAATCGAATATCAGTACGAGGAGGAACTCATGTGACCGTGTTCAACGTTACTTCGATCGAGCGCCGCCATACGCGTTCGCCGCACTCACCATGCATCTTGCTTGTGTCCACCACGTCAGCACTATAGTTGTCAGCATTTATTTGCATACCGCTGTCTAACATGCGACTCCGTTGTCTACCCGTACCTCTGTTGGCGCTTTGTGCAGCCGTCGTGGAAGCTCTTCCTCGACAACAAGTCCTTGCTCCTCCTCTGCCGCCGCAGCCCCGACCGCTAGTCATTTGGCATGGTATGGGCGACTCATACTCGGCACCGGGAATGGTGCAGTTTATGGACGAGATCCGGAAGATACACCCCGGTATCTTCATTCACTCGGTGTATCTGGACGAAGACAACAGCAAGGACCGCCAGGCCGGGCTCTATGGCAACGTCAATGAACAAGTCGCATTCGTTGCGGAGCAACTCGCCAACGTCACAGAGCTGGTCGATGGATTTGACGCCATTGGCTTCAGTCAGGGTGGCCAGTTTCTTCGTGCATACGTGGAACGGTATAACGAACCGCGATTACACAACCTCGTCACCTTCGGCTCGCAGCATATGGGTATCTCTGACGTACCTGCATGCCGACCTTTGGACATACCGTGCCGCATTGCTCGCGACCGGGTGAAGCATGGCGTATACAGCTCGTGGGCGCAGGAGCACCTAGTACAGGTTCGTACCTCATCCTTGTGTTACATGAACAAGCTGTCTCGAGCAAGCGTATAGGCACAATACTACCGCGACCCAGAGCAGATGGAGCTTTACCTCTCCTCCAACAAGTTTTTGACCTCCATCAATAACGAGATCGCCGACCAGCGAAATGCGACCTACGCTTCCAACCTTGCCGGTTTAGACAACCTGGTGCTGGTCATCTTCGCGCAGGACAAGACGGTCATTCCGAAGGAGAGCGCGTGGTTCGGCTCATACGCCCCGCAATCCGAGGGCGACTTGTCCCTCGTGCCTATGCGCTTACAGCCCCTGTACACGGACGACTGGATTGGACTGCGTTCGCTCGATGAGCGCGGGGCTGTGCAGCTCGAGAGCTGCGATGGCGAGCATATGCAGCTGACCAGAGACTGCTGGGAGCCTCTGGTCAAGCAGTACGCTGGCGGAATTGTCGAGCAGAGGGTTGTGGCATGATGTACATGCCGTGCTTCAGAGAACGCCTTGTGTATGATAGGTTTGCTATCCATTGTTTGCTTCATGGCGTGAGCGGAACTGGGTGTCAGATATACTGGCCATGCGTGATATGATAGCGCAGGCACGAGCGCCGATGGACAGTGCAAAATTGGACCACACAATCCAGCCCTGACGAGCCTGATCGCGAAGCCATTCCTGGTTTATACTACGTTCGGGTCGACGCTACTAAAATGGTGCATTCCAGGTACTTTCGACTGATGATGGGCTGACTATAGACGGGGCATGAGGTCATTAGATGCACTGTGGTTTTCATTTCCAAGCTTTCGGCGCGCCATTATCCGCTGTATTCGGTGCTATTGCACGCCGTGGTTGGACCTGCCGGCTCGATGGACCCGGTCCTCAGCTGGTCTATAGGCCTACCAAGGAGGGCCGTGGTTCAGCCAACGCTGAATTGACAGTATAAGGGACTGGCTTTCGAATTATGCTCGTTAGCCACGATAGCTTACCCCGAGTCCTGCTCTCAACTGTGATAAACCAAGTGGCAGAGACATGTGCGTCTAAAGTACTTGACAGTGCCTGACTCTTCCTGATCATGACATTGTAGGCCCACCATCCGATCTGTGTCCAGAGGCAAGCGCGCCAAGAAGATGCCCGTCGAGTTGAACACCGAGGCCGAGATCAAAAACGCACCCTACGAAGGCCCCGTAGCTTTTGCGGTACAACAGACTCCGGAATCTTATGTGCGGCCACTGACGGTCCCGAGTTCAACTCCGCTTGTCAAACCGAGTAAACCGGACTGCGAAACGCTGAACGCCTTCTTCCTCTTCAAGACGGCCGTCTTGCCCAGGTTCAAGCATCTCAACACCATGCCGGAGCGCGTTGAGGCAGTGACTAGGATGTGGTGGAGTGACTGGTCTAGACGCCGCATGTACGAGTATCGGGCGGCGATCCTGTCCATCCCTCGGGAGATTGAGATGGAGCGATATCAGATACTCAAAGAGCATTACGACGGCCTGGAAGAGGAGTCGAGCGGGAGGAGCGTCGCTGACGAAGATCTAGTCAAGTCCGTGCCAATGTCGTTCGACGAAGAGGATGGACTATCGGACGCGGAAAGTGCGTCGACAGGGCTCGGCGCCTTCGGGCATAGTCGCGCTCCTACGACTCAATGTGCGGGAGTTGGGGGCCACAGGACCGACACATATATTGCAACACCTCCCAGCACGTTCATCAACAGTACTACCACGATTCAACATCCCCCTTGCACGAACTACGCCCCACCTGCCGAGACACCGCCCGGCCTCGACGGTCAGCAAAGGACGAACTCGCGTGCCGAAGCTCCTTCGCCTAGTACAGTGGATCATCCACCCTCTTCGGCTCATCTCGCCGCCTTCACAGGCCACCATCCAGCAACGCCGGTGGGTCGTGACCACAAGGTGAATGCCATCCTTCACTGTGTCTGTTCCGATGTGATGTTCATTGAATGTGTATCAATCAGGCCCGGTATCACCCATATACGAGTTCGAACATCCGAGTCACACATGCCACTGTCCACTTCGCTTTTCTTCAGAACAACACCGCATGGCTCAGCAATGGCTCCTCTGCGACACCCTCTCCCGAGCTAGCGACATCGGGCGTATCAGTCCTGGCCGACTGGCAGCGTAGTTCGAGGCGGCGTCCGTCCCAGGCGTCGGCCACTGCGATGTCTGATCAACAGAACGCGGGGGTGTGCTCGCGCAAGAATTCGGCCGTCGGACCTCACATTGTCCGGCCCAGTGCTCCCATAGTCAACGATCATGCTTGGCTCAGTATGCTCTCTGATTCACCATACACCACGCCTGTCACGACTGGTCGGCAACAACTCGTGTCTGGCTGGCAACCGTCTCAGGAAAACGCCTTCGAGCCGGTGTCTGCTATACCCGAATTGTGGCCACCCGCGAGCCCACATCAGTCATTCACGGTGCAGACGACGGTTGCCCCGCCAACCTCTGACTCTCTGTCAGGTCTGATCGCCACGCCGTATGACTTTCGCAGAGAGTGCCTCCCGGTTGACCTCTCTGCCTCGAGCTCTCTCTCCTCCACTTTTGACTTGAGATGGTGACTCGCTTACTTACCACACCTGTTCACTTCTAAGGTGACGCCGTTGTACATACCTGTGTATTCGTAATAGTGGCTGTATCTGTATCGCGAACGTCAATGTGTATGTGAAATAGGAATTACCGCCCTCGGTTCGCCACCCCTGAGCGAGTACACCTTGTGAAAGGGTCGTCGTCTCGTGTGCAGTCTTCGGAGTCAACCGTGCGACGTTACTACTGTTGAAGGACGCAACGCCAACGTATATTTGACAGCAAGTGAACAAAACGTTTGAACCGAAGTCGAGCCGCTTCCAATCCTACATTCATACATGCGGTCGAAGGCGTCACGGTGACGACCACGTACCCATGCGCTTGCCGGGTCGGCATCCTCGGGGAGACACAGGCACTGCCGGAAGACGGGAGCACCTGTCACTGCAAAAGCCGGGTAAAGCATACGCGAGAAAGTCGATCTCCGAGACAACGCCTTTGCCTGCGCTCATCGGTCTTCGAAGCGAGCGCGCTGTGAAAGAGGGTTCTGCGTACAGGCGCTCTCCGCAGTAGACGGGTACACAGCATGGCAGCGGCCATCTCAGGCTCGCAGTTCAGTTCGCTCCAACCGCAGCGGGCGCAGGAAAGGGCTCGCGTAGGACCAAGAGGGCTTAGGTCAGGGTTGTACCGTTAGACGTGCTGGGCACTGTTTGCGGCGATAGACAAGAGGTTCCGCTCGACTAGCGGAAGGTCAATCTCAGCGGAAGCAGCATGCATTGCTTGCAGTGCTTTCGGGTGACGAGTGCGCCCAACATTGATCAAGTGCTGGTAGCTGGTACGGATGATGCGTATGCATGATACGTGGCGGGAGGGCGGCGAGCGCGAGATTCTCGGGCGCGCCATCTGCTCGCGCAGTCTATACAAGTGTTGGCCGTATATTTGCGTGTATACAGTGGGCTTTTCTAGACCCATCAATTCACGAGCTTTGAACGACGCGGAAGGGCAGAGATGCCCGTAAGAGGCAACGGGCGGGACTGCTGCCGCCCAGGCGCTTATGCTGCTCAAATGCCGGTGCTGCGGAAGGAGGAAGAGGGTTGTTCGTGTGTACAGCATGCCAGACGTCGAGGGCACGGACGTGAGGGTGGCTTCGGGAGGAGAAATTCTCGGATGGCAGGCGCGGGCTACGATCCTCGAGGCAACGGGAAAGGAACAGGGACATGTTGCATAATGGATAACGATATGACGTCGTGGACATCGTGGCTTAGGCTGTTTGGTTTGCTCGCTAGGCCTCTTCGAGGCAGCTCAATTTGAGCGGCGCTTGCAGAGGACACAGAAGCTGGGGCTGTTGGCTCGCATATCGACAAAAGAATAAATCAGGAGGTGTAAAGGGTGCGAAAGCTATGGAGGAATGGACTGGGCGAAATGACAAAATGAGGTCCGTGTGGGCTGTTCGCACGGCCGGACTGAAGTCGTCGCGACCGCAACTTGTGCTCAGCTTGCCACCTCCACCTCCGCCCTCCCCGTCCTCCTCCTCCCGCCGCCGCCCGCCGCGGCCCCGTCCTTCGCTTCTGGATTAGATAATCCCCCAAATTATGTACCCAGAGGGATCACAGTCCACGCGCACCGTCTATTCAACACACACAGACGAGACAGAGGCACGGCTCCTGCCCGCTTCTTCGCCCGCTACGCCCTACCTCGGCACTCCCCGATCCTCCATGGTCCTCACCGCACCCTTCATGCACGGGCCCGCAGCCTCGTCCTCTGCCGGCCTGGGTACCGCTAGCATGGTCCGTCGAAGATCACTTGGGTTCATCGAAGACGTATTGAGATATATTTAGTCTTCTTACACAGACGATCTCCCCGTATCAAAGCAGGCGACGCTCAACAAGGTAAGATCACATTGACCTAGTATGTGTTCTTCGGGCTGACCGTCTGTACAGTACGCATTACCAGCAGACCCAAGAGCGTGGGCATCATTCTCCGGCCCTGAACCGGACGACTACCTCCATGATCCGGAGCGCAACTTGAACGACAACGGAGACTTTGTATCATGGAGAGGACTGGCAAACGTCGGCTGTATCACCATCCTCGTCGTCGGCATATTGACACTATTGTGCGTCCCTCTCGCTCGGATATTTTCTCCGAGGTGGCTCTAAAACATGTTTCAGCGCCGGCTACCCCATCATCTCACACTATGTTGACAACGACGACCACGTCTTGACGTCCTCGGCTAACAGTTTGAACTTGGTGACAAATTCGACGGGTCAACTACCGAGTATGAAGGGCAAGTGGACGATGATCGACAACGACACGCCGCAAGATGCCTACACCCTTGACTCGTACACCGAGTCGGGCAAGCAGCTTCAGCTGGTTTTTTCCGACGAGTTCAACGCGGACGGGAGAACGTTCTATCCAGGCGACGATCCCTTCTGGGAAGCTTTGGATTTACATTGTACGTGGTTCGGTTCCGCATTAGCCGAAAGAGGAAGACCGAATGTCGTTTGTAGATTGGCAGACGGTGGACTTGGAGTGGTACGACCCTGCGGCGATCACCACGGTCGATGGTGCGCTCGAGATCACGTTCGAGAGCAAACAGACGCACGATCTCAACTACCAGGGCGGCGTGAGTGATGATCAATTGCACCTCATGCTAACCGGACAAACGCTCATATTTGTATAGATGATGACAACGTGGAATAATTTCTGTTTCACCGGCGGTATCGTGCAAGCGGCTGTCATGCTCCCCGGCTCCCCGAACATCAAGGGATACTGGCCTGCCGTGTGGACAATGGGAAATCTTGGGCGTGTCGGCTATGGTGCAACGACGGACGGTTTATGGCCATACACCTATGGTTCGTTTTACCTTCTCCAACGCATCGACAGGTGGATTGACAATTGGATCAGATTCTTGCGACTACGGAACTGTCAAGAACCAGACGATTGGCGACGAACCCGCAGGCGCACTTGTCCCCGGCTTGGGCGACCCGTACAACAACGACGCATTCAGCTATTTGCCTGGCCAGCGCCTCTCGCGGTGTACATGTTCCGGGGACCATCCTGGCCCTAAGCACGATGATGGCTCTTACGTCGGGCGTAGTGCCCCTGAAATTGACTTGTTCGAGGCCACAGCGGGCGATACCGGCGGAAACGTCTCGCAGAGTTTGCAGGCTGCGCCGTTCAACCAGGGCTACTACTTCTGGAACAACACCGACGTCCCGGGCGCGGTCAAGGTCTACGACGACTCCCTCACCTCCATCAACTCGTACCATGGTGGTGCCTACCAGGAGGCCATCTCTGCGCTCAGCATCAACAACCAGACGTGCTACGAGCTCGCCGACAAGTGCTTCAGTATCATGGCAATTGAATATGTGGTAAGTGGATGCTCCCTGCGTTGTCTATTGAATAGTTTACTGATGAATATGGCCCATCCAGCCCGGCACTGATGACGACTCCTACGTTACATGGGTGAACAACAACAAGGCAACGTGGACCCTTACCAGCAAGGCTCTCGCGAAGGACGACCGCGTTGGCATCGGTGCCAAGCCCGTCCCGACAGAGCCCATGTATCTCATCATCAACTTGGGCATGTCGCCGTCGTTTCAGGAGCCGTCTGCGGACTTGCCGATCCCAGGCAAAATGCGAGTAGACTGGATCCGAGTGTACCAGGACCCGGATAACTTGAACACCGGCTGCGACCCGAAGGACAGGCCGACAATGGATTATATCAAGAGGTACAACGAGGCGTACACAAACCCGAATCACACACTTTGGAGCGATATCGGGGAGTCGTTCCCTGGTAACTCGTTTGCTGGGGACTGCTAAGCTCTTCGAGCTTGCTGCGCCGCTATGTAAAGGCGATTGACCCTCCTCGCATCGTGCGACGCACCTTCGTCGCGGACAATGAAGCCCGCGTTGATTTGACCCCACCATACCTGTACGACCTCGACGATCAATATATATACCTCGCCCTCGCTATCCCTTCCCCGTGCTGTCTGTCGGGCGCCGGGCGCACCGTGCTCTCACCCACATCCACCATTCCACCTCGCATATCCCCTTCCCACCCCTCATACGGACCTTTCTCCGGCCTCTACTACTACTATTTGTGCATTTTTGTGTTCCGCGTCGTCATTCCATGCATCATCATGTACATCGGACAGTACGAGTATCCCACCCGCATCCGGCTAGACTCTTCTTGCGCCCCGCTACCTATCCCCACGTACAGCCGCAGGGCCTTCGCTCTTAGAGCGGGGGCTTTGATCGCTTGTTTCTTGTCGCTCGTTTTCACACCTTGGCTTTCCGTTTCTGCCCTGCGGGGAGGCTGGATGGCGGATTCTTACTCGTAGCAGTATTAGAACGAAACGTAATATATGGATGCTGTATGCGTTCCGAAGCGTGGTCCGATGAATGGGTTTGGGAAGAAATGGCATGAAATGGAAAAGAAGACGGCGAGAATGTTCGCAGGTGGAGGCGAGGCGGGGCCGCGTCCGTTCGAGCACTTGTGCATACTTTATCTTGCGACGCCGATTGCTTTGTCCAATGTCTGTACCATTACTTTGTTGAATGACAGAAAGAGTAGCCAAGGTCGACTTCGGCGAGCCTTGGACGGATATAGTTCCCAGAACGCTTATTTCCCACGTGCATATAAGCTCAAGATTATAGTGCAGTGCCGTGGGCCAGTGGCGGCACCCCGCATCGTGCCCTCCGTGCCGCACGCTCTCTTGTGCTCCGACCGCCACCATCCGCTCACTAGTCGAGCGCGATGCGTGTCCTATCTTTCTCCCTGGTCTCCGTGTGTTATGTACTGGCTGTGTTCGGGCTTGTGTGTGGCCATGCTTTCGCGGATCATGATTACGGCGTGTGGTGATTACGGCGTGTGGCGATCTAGGTTGACTGGGCCGGCGGTGGCGAAGAACGTGGATGCGCTGTTGTATCTAGACGCGAACAGCGAGCTGTATGCTTTTTATGCCTGTGCCATTTCCAGTAGGGAGGGGACTCATTAGGCCTGCAGCAGCAATGCGATTCCATTGGCGCGCTTGGTACGAGGAGCGGATATTCCGCTGGTCGTGGTGTGTATATTCTCGGCATTCCCTATCAATGGACATTGAGCTATTCTCATAGGGATACATCTCATGTCTACCTGACGAAACACACGAACCGCATCCTGACGAGTCTCCTTCGCCGACCTCCGGTAAGCGAGCTTCACAGTACACTTCGTCTTACGATGCTAATAGATGCGTAGCCGGAGCGCCCTGGATCGCCGTACAGAGTTGCAAAGACGCCAATCCGGCGACTCTCTTACGTGCCGCTAAGCTAGGCGCAAGCGCCGCGGTCCTGTACACGACAACCGCCGAGCCGTGTCTTTCTGTATCTGACAGTTTGACGTCTTACGCGCGTGCGAGCCTCGTGCCCCCTTTGAGCATTTTCGTGGTGCGCGACGCGCGCGATGCATCGTGCGTTTTCAATGTGTATTGGAGTATATAAGCGGCTCATGAGGTCGCGCAGGATGCTCGATATCATGGATATGCCCGCGCTGGAAGAGGTTACAACTTCTCCGATTGCGACCCGTGGCATGCTTCTGGATTTCCAACCCGCATCCCCCTTGAGAATCCAGAGGCGGGAAACTAGCAACGAGTCTATGTGCGTGTCCTCTTCGTCGTCATGCGCAATCGATTGACATGTCTGTTGTAGGATTGTTCTGTATACCATCACGGGCAGTGTAGCGGCGCTGTTTTGTATCCTCATTGGGACAGGCGTATGTTCGCCTTCGGATTCATCCCTGTTATTGGGTTGAACTCTTGCTTTAGATCTTCCGCGCATGGCGCCATCCCGAGCGATATCGCGTACAGGAGGGGGTAGATGCAGGGACCTTTGGCGCTGGTGCGGGCGGCACGCTTACGCGCGCCATTCTTGACACCTTCCCGGTCATCAAGTTCGGGGCTCCGGCGCGCCCAAGTCAAGATGATACGGATGAAGAGAAGGACCCCAACCTGTACGAGATGGGAGTACGGCGCGGGAGTACGGAGAAGCGGATCTCTGGTGCGTCGGACGGCGATGCTGGGTGGAACATAGTAGAGCGTCCTATGAGCTACGCTGAGGACGACACACCCGCCGAGTCTGCCAACGGAGAGGCGGAGGCTAGTACGAGTACATCGCCCGTCAGCGTTCGGCCACGACCGCGGCCCGCCCGCGAACCTTCAAGCGCACCGGCAGAGGATGCTCCTCTGCCAGATCAAATTGGGCGAGAGACCTGCCCTATCTGTATCGTCGATTTTGAGGAAGGAGACGATCTGCGCGTTCTTCCATGCGATGGGCATCATCGATTCCATCAAACATGTGTCGACCCTTGGTTACTGGAGCTCAGCACGTCCTGTCCGCTGTGCCGACAGGACTTTGTTGCTCTTCAGAACATTATATCGGGCGCGAGTCAAGATGGACACGTCGTGATGGATCCCCAGACAGGAGAGCTCGGTCACTGGGAGTTGCGTGAGAGTGGACCACGGCATTCAAGCGTGTACGGGCGTTTCTCGAAGTATCTCCGCTTTGCACTCGCGCGAAGACGCGGGCTCCGCGGCAGCCGCGGTGGCGAGCAGTTTGAGGAGGAGGTGCCGCCTTTGCCAACTGAACCACCCTCTGCTGTGCTTGCGAGCCATGGTGCGACTTCCATTGCATGAGTCTTCGTTGTATGACATTTATACGTGATTTGAGTTGCTTGAGCTACCTGTCTCTTTGTATACATATGTATGCGCTAGTGCTGTCTGTACGTTTACTCTCAGTCTAACGGTCCTTTGGGGCCATTGATCTATTAGTGAAGGACCCTATCTGGGTGTCTTGATGATAGTCACTCAAGACCTGGCGAGCTACGAGTACCGTGACAACAAACATCATATGCAAACATTCCGACATTGTGCAAATCAATAAGCATACCACTCTGAAGCATACTCTATTCAATCTGACATCCGATACATACAGATCATGCCACTGCTACGCCTACGCTTTCTTGGGGTGAATGGGTTGACGGAGTGGCCAGCGATCGGTGTTACCGCCCATCGCCAGGAGGAAGAAGTCAGAAGGATCTTCATCACGTCCCTATGATGACGACGGTCAGATAATATGCGAGAGATCATCCACAAATGACATACGATGAAGTCCGTCGGGAACCCGACTTCGAACGTCGTGACAGACTCGATCTGCTTTACATGCTCCGGAGTGAGAGAGACCTCGAGCGCCTCGATGTTGGCGTGAAGATGTTCAACCTTCCGTCCACCTATCATCGGGAAGACGTAAGGTGTCTTCTGCATGAGATAGGCAATGGCAACTATTTCCTCATGTCAATAAGATGAATCAGCTTTTACAACGAGGGGTGAACGTACCAGATTGGATACTCTTTGCGCCGACGTCCGCTGCAATCTTCTCGAGTTCGGCAGCCATCTTCTTCTGCTCTTCATTGCGCTCCCAACCTTGCCCGAAGATCTGACGACCTTGCTCGCCAGTCTTGCGGCGGGCCTCCTCTTCCGCGTCGGTGCGAATCTTGCCGCCGGCAAGCACATCCCACGGAGCCAAAGCAAGTCCCCACTGACGAGCCATAGGGATGATTTCGCGCTCGAAGTCGCGCAGAAGCACGTTCCAACGACCTTGATAGATGACGAAGGGCGTCTTTCCGTGGTCCACTGCATACTGGTTCGCTTGCGAGACGACCCAAGCGGGTGTATCGGAGATTCCAAGGTAAAGAACTTTGCCCGAGGCAACAAGATTGTGCAAGGCGTTCATGACTTCTTCGATGCTGTCAAAGCGGTCAGGAAACGCACTGAATGCAATAGCTCCGCACATACCTGGTTCCCCAGTCCCACCAATGAACGTATAGAATGTCAATGTACGAGGTACGCAGCTTCTGCAGGGACTGCTCCACGGATACATGCATGCTTTTAATGTTGTTACCGCCATAGTTGACCTTGATCTGGACGGACTCGTCCGTGCGCTTGTACGGCGTCGTGTACTACACATCAGGAGGTCAGCGAAAGGCCTCGCATGAGGTAATATACCATACCTTGGTAGCGATGACCATCTCGTCGCGATTGCCCCGCGACTCCATCCACTCGCCGATAAACTTCTCCGACGTTTCTTGCTGACTGGAAACATCGATGAATACAAGGGTCTGACGGTTTGGGTTTTGAGAAGGCAACATACTAGTTGTTGGCCGTGTCAATGAAGTTACCTCCTGCCGCGTAGAATGCATCGAGAAGCTTGAAGCTGCTTTCCTTGTCCATGGCGCCCATACCGAAGTTGGCCCAGGCATCGCCGATAGACATCGCACCCAAGCAGAGCGGCGACACACGGACACCGGCGCGCGCGCCCAGCGTACGGTAGCGGCCAAGCGCGGTGGGCGGGGGTGGAACGGGAGTGAAAGGGTTGATCTCGTTGGACATGTCGATGAGGATGAGCTGGTTCAGAGTGTAGAAGGTAGTGGTGTTGAATGCCGAAAAGTCGGATCCTTGAGGTCTTATATGCACCGCACTTCGACCCACCCTATCTCTCGTAAGACGCTGGTCGGTATCTGGCGAGACGTCGCACTTCCCCTATTCTGAAGATCCTCTGCGAGACCCACTTGGGGGCTTGGTCATTGCTCCTTTCCTTCTTGAGGTAGGCGGATCGGATGATGTTATCACCCTTGCATTCGCGGCTTCCAGAATATGCACCCGAATATGTAACATTGGCGTCGAAGATAACAGAAGATCACAGTACTAGGTATTTTCACGTCTACTGAGTCTTTAGAGCCGACAATCTCTCGCACGCGAACACTGTAGGGAGGGTGAATCCTGAGACTCCTCTTGGTGTGACGCATCTCATTTAGGGGACCAGCAATCTTGCAAGCGGTACTGTCGTCAATAGACGACAGTAAGTTGCAAGCCGCGTATGACGAGAGTCGTTGCCGTTACCCGGTCGTGATCGGGAATCCACTACGCCGACACCCGGGCCGTCCTCATCGTAAAGACCACGTCGTCAACTTCCACTTCCTGGCACCGGCAGGACCACTCTGCTAGAGCCACCTGGAGCGCTCATGACCAAGACGTTAGGCCGCGTAAAGTTCGCGATCCGGGATGGTGACGCGTCCCCTCGGCCCACACCGAAGGCGTTTGAGCGGCTGGTAGCGGTCGGGTGGGTATTTCGCGCAAGCGCTTGAAGGAGACTTGGCAGACTTGGTCAGACCAGTATATGACAGAAATAATCTTGTTTGAGGTTTAAGCGCAGTAATAGTCCGACGTTGACGCTAGAGACAGGCCGCAGGTGGGCGTCAACGGACAAAGCACATCGAGCTGCACTTATGATGGTTCGGATCGATGACACGGTCACATGAGATGTAGAATGTCGTACCCATCATCGTTGATGTACCACGTCTGATGGGATCTTTCAGTCTGCTTGAGCGTGAAAGCAAATGCCTAGAGAGCAACGGGGTCTTGCGTATCTTCAGAAATATGCGGAACTCTCAGGCAATAGTCGTGGGGGGAGATCATCTCCGCACAGATTGAACACGCTCGTTCAATTACATTGTCACTTTCGATCCCAATTACATAGCTGACCCCTTCAGAGACTCTGGAAAGCGTCCATCGATGATGACGTCAGGATTAGGCACCGTGTAGTTGGCGAAGCAGTCGAAGGCAAAGTCCACCTCGGCTATGCGCGCTTTCGTCCCCTCAATGTATGCGTCGAGCTCGCAGAGACCATCCTTATCCTCTTTGCAACCCTTGATGCCAGTGAGAGGTACGACGGCGTCATTGAATACCCAGCGAAAGTGGGTCGCAGTGCTGTTGTTCGTGGCTACGTTCATCTTGCTTGGGCACGACAAGACCTGGCCGACGAGATTGGTCCCAAACGGCGCAATGTGACTAACAATCCAACGCTGCAGAGGATGTCAAAAGAGATCGATGAGTAAAGGATGCGCCCGGTATCTTACCCTATCTTTGATGATGCGGTCGGTGGGTAGAGGGCCGCCGCGAGCGAGAGACGTCAAATTGAGAGCAACCGCAACTGATCAACACGCGTCAGTCAATCTCAGAGTGGCGCGGTCACAAAGGGGCCAAACGTACTGGAAGATATCACAGTGTCGTGGCTAGCATCCACAAAGATGGGCTGATCGAGCGGAAAGGTGATGTTGCTCGACTGAAGTGTTGCATTTGTAGTTGTATCGAAGACGGTCAACGGTGTTTGAGTAAGGCGAGCAATCAGTTCTTGGACATATCCAATGCCCTGGGCGGCGACGGTCGTACCACCCGGACCGGTGTTGTACCAAAACTGCACATCTGCAAATGTACTTAGTTTGACTTCTGGAAACGAGGATCATGAGGACGACGCGCCGTTATGGTATTCATATGCTTCCCATTCGGACTGTGTGAAGAGGTCACAGAAGCTCGAATATCCAAGCGCAACAGACTGCGTGCGCAGTCGTCAGAAAGCAGCAGCAAGGTCCTGCGAAAGGCACGGGAGGCGTACCTCGTAGGCACACAGATCTTGCATCGCAACGATGTCAGATGAAGTCAGATTCACACCGTTGATGATCTTGGCGAAGCGCTTGATGATAGACGGCGTGTACACGTCGGCCCACTCTGCTGCTTTGATGAGGCCAAGTTGGCCGACATTCGCAAGGTTTGAGTTTGGACACTGAGTGAACGGCGCGAGCGTGTTGTTGAACCCGCTCTGTTCGATCTCAATCAGCTGGTGATAGCTTGTCGCGTATTCTTGCACCCCGAAGAAACCCGCTGCAAATTGGAGCCTGAATACATCGTCATCTCGTCGCTTGCAGCATCATATAGATGTCTTACGCTGAGTCAACCATACGTTCTGCATGAGAGTTAGGAGGTTGCATGATGAGGTATATATAAAACATAAGCGCACCTTGCGATGTTGTACGCCAAACAGGAAGTTCGGTGAACCCTTTTAGTAGAGCGCCATATCGCACTCGAGCGTTGACACCCAACTCATATCTGCATACGTGTCAAGCTTCAACGTTCAACAGCCGTGACTGCACATGAGATCGCTCACAGCTGTTCGCGGCCAAGGGGTGTCAGGATCTCTGCGCCCAGTTTGTACTCCCAGGTGTTCAGGAATGAGGCAGGACCGCTAGCGCTGAATCCGGTCCCATTCACAGTGATGTTGTGTAGCTTAGCGGCGAACATGCCAGGGCCGCTTCCCGATGTTGGGTAACGGGCGCCATGGCGATGGAGGATGTGCACTTGTTGAATATCGCAACCTTTCGGTACGATGGCTGACGCGTGGGGGAGACCCCACGTATCCGCAGGAAGAGAGAACCATGGAGAAAGGTTTCCCCAGTTGCGAACCACATTGAACTTCGAGTTGCTCTTCCCACCGAATGTGTTGGGTCGCACGACAGGATCGAAGCCTTCATGGACGGCGATAGCAGGAGCAGTTTCGATAGAAAGTGTCTCATCCCCAGCTGCCATGAATGTTGGTGAACTGCCATACTGTTAATCTCGACCAGAGGACTCACTCGGTGTGGGCCCAAGGAAACCAACGTCCGAGGCGACTGGGAAATCTGCATCATTCCCAGGAGAAGCCAGCGTCACACCCGCGGGTGGGAATTGGAAAGTCGCGGTTGCACCAACAAAGTCAGACGCGACTTGAAGTGACGATGTTGGAAGCTTCGCTGCTATCGCGAAGGGCGCGACGGCCAGCACGAGAGCCGTGGTGACGATCATGGAGTTCGATACAGAGACGCCGAAGATGCAGGCGTTAGGTAGGAGTCCAACGTACGAGCTCTTCTTATACTCGTGACCTACATTTCCGCGGGTGGACAAGACTTTTCCTCACACGGTATGATGCGATATCGAAGGTCTGAGACCGGAAGTGATTGATTCGAAGCGCACGTTCCTTCACAGGGGAGTGCGATAAGATTAACATACACGAACGACGCATCTTCACTCCAATGTGTATGTAGACATGACAAAGCGGCAGCGCTCCGCTTCCACTGTTGCCCGCCCAGAATCGAGCGTGCTCATGGAGCGTCAGCGCCGCAAGATGGATAGCCATCACGGCCAAAGTTTTCGTACAGGTGCACGAGCAAACGTGCGTACAAGACGGATGATGACAGCTGTCAAAGCACGAAGGATTATCCAGGCGCCCATGAGCGCCCATGGTGGAAGGACGGAAGACCGAGTGCTCGAAGAGCGTCGGGAAGGAACACGAGCGGTCACGCCCGTGTGACTGCTGTCACTGTTGAACAGCCCTGAACGGCCCTGGGCCTCCTGGACGTTCGCGCGGTGTCTTGCCCCCTACGTCGTCCTCTTTGTCGTCGACACCAGGTGATCCCTACAAGGAATCATTGAAAGAGCTGGGACACTGTCGTACCAATAAGTTGCGCACGCGACTAGTAGGATTCGGCTGCGCGATTCGCTAGACTGATTGCTGACGGAACGTCAGTGCTTGCGTAGTCAATGCGTAGTATTACATGGTGATCGCCTGGTGCATGCCTAAGAACAATACGATGGGACTCCTTACTTGACAAAGGTATGAATAAGAGACTCAAACTCTCCAGTAAATGCTGCGAGAATTTCTGGTCCTGAACACCGACAGGCCACATTTCGGAAGTCGCTTGCTCTCCGCCCGCAGAACAAGAACTGTCTCATTGCCACGACCGCCATCCCACTCCATCGACCTCAACGCTTGTATCTATCATGTACGAACGCAATTGATCGCAAGGCAGGTAGATTGCTCATGTAATACGCCTTTATTGCAGGCTGCAGGGGCGGTTCATTCTCTTTGGCCGCTATCCGTCCGAAAGTAAGGGCTATCTTATGTGCGTTTCATTCATCTCAAATGTAGTCCGCGTCGAGATGGATGGGCCGCGCCTTGCACACTTCCAACCACAGAAGTCTTGACTACCAGAAGTGATTGGGCTCGCCGCACCCCTCGCGCGCAAGCCGTCGCGCGGCTGGCTATTCATTTCCACGGCCATGACCTGATCGTGCTGGCACAGTACGTATATGATCTACGCCTCTTCCTCCGCGTATTCTTTAGAAACCGGTATCGGTGTTCGCGTGACGCCCGTATATCACAGCGTACGATAGGATCATCTGCGCAATGTACCAAACTGTACCTCAATACTTCTACCTTCCGCCATAAGCAGGCCAAAGCAGCGTGTTCACTGTGGGATCATGGGTGTAGAGTATACAGGCCAGATGCCATGTCAAGACCTTTTCTTCAAAGTGTGCAGTTGAAAGGCGTGAAGTCAACTTGTGTGCAATGCAGCAGTGGGTGATCTTCATGTGTACCTGGCGTAGATGATGACCTCATAACTTGCTTCTGGCCTCCACTGCCCGTCTGAGTATTCTTTGCCATCAACAATGCTGCATCACTGGATATTTTTGTCTCTCGGCGCCTGTCAGTGACATGAGCCTGGCCAGGCCCGACTGCGAAACGCCGGGAAGAACTGGGGTGAGAAGCTTCTGTCTGAACTGCGGAGGCAGTACAAGGAGGAGCGCTGTCCGCGAGCGACGGCCTTGTTCCCAACGGCCACGATCCTTAATTTCTGAGCGTAGCCTCAAGACCTCGACGTCCTCTACGGTCACCCTTCCTTTCGTTAACGATCTCACTCGCCCCCAATGGCACCCACCTTCGTTCAGCTCGCCCTTTCCGCTTTCCTCGCCGCTTCTCTGGTCAGCGCTGAGTCGCACACGATCAGCTTCACCAACAAGTATGTGCACTGCTGTGGCCACTTCGTGAATCACCGTACTTACGGGTAATCGTTGTCTGAAGCTGCGGCAAAGGAACGGTACGCTGTCTCATTTTTGCTTCCATCTTGTTCTCGGACTTACGAGCTCTTACAGCCGCAACTCATCATCGACGGCCAAGTTGTCTCCAACGGTACCGCGTACACCAACGACGGTGTCATCAATGGCATTGCGTACCTCCAAACCGGTACTTAGGCTTCTTTTCATATACCCAAGCTGCGACTCAATGCTTTCAGGCCCGTGCCTGCTCAACGGAGAGAATTGCGCGCTCATGGAGTTCAACATGGCAAACCCCGTCGTTGCTGGCGGCGGATCGAGCGTAGATATCTCGCTCATCTCCCCGTACGCCTCACTGCTATTTATACCTGCGCGCTTAGTCGCTGATAGACCGCTTAGCCACGCCCTGAATGTCCCCATCGGGTTCAACTACTATAATGGTTGCGATGGCACCGGCTCGTCGTGTACGTCTACACCGCACTCATTTTGGCCCAGTATGTTCTGAACTTGACCCCACAGGCTTAACCGACACCTGTCACACCGCCTTCTTCGAACCAGACGATAACCAGGTCCAGGTCGCTTGCCAGACAGATAACGTGCGGAGTTACATCTCCCCCATCACATACTGAAACTGACATCCATGTCTACGAATAGGTTGACCTGATGATTACTTTCTGCCCATCTGGGTCGTCTTCATCGTCGGACGATTCGTCGTCCTCCACGTCCGTTGCGGCCTCTTCTGCGGCTTCCACTCAGAAGGCAGCCACCACGTCCTCCGCAGCCGCAGCCACCTCTACCGCTGCAGCCGTCACTTCCACTGCATCTTCAGCAGACGATAGCGCTGCTACCTCTCCTGTCAAGCATGTCGCCGCCGCGACGTCCGTGGAGAGCACCGCGACTGCAAGCGCCAGCGCCAGCGCGGCTTCCACCGCAGCGACCACGCGCGCCTCGAGCAAGACGTGCAAGGCCAAGGCGGCTGCCCGCAAGCGCTCCGATCAGTCAGCCGCGAAGCGCGCCAACTCGTGGCACCATCGTTCTCGCAACGCCCGCGCTGCGTTCTAAACGACCTGTCCCTCACTTCTGTTGAATGTCCGCTTTACCTCTGCATCGTTGTCTTGATGATCCTTTCTCACTGTCCCCACTTACATACAGCTCCGTGGCCAGCTCACGATCATATACTGTACTCCTGTCCTTCCTGGTCCTCTGGATGAGGGCTATCGTGCCCTGAAGCCCTAGCGGCGGGGCAATTCTGTTGTAGCAACCACGCTTGTAGCGTTCATCGTAGACTCAGGATCTCCCCAGCTATACTCTGCTTTGTATCTTATCCGTTATATACCTTTGAAGAGACGTCGTTGACGACCATTGTTGCACTTTATACCCCGTTTGCGACATTTCAGAGATGTTGACGGCATCCAGGAGATACACAAAGCGCGTTATCCTCTTATCTCCCGACCACCATCCCTCGTTACGTCCTCCCGTCCAGGCTCGTCGCCGCCGAGTACACCGTGTCAAAAGATGGAGCATTCTAATTTGAGCCTGTATCATTATGATCTTCACAATGACGGCAGAGGGCAGCAGACCAGGGCCACACGGTCTCCCGTCCATCTTGTCTCCGTCGTCGTCCGAGTCAATTCTGAGATCTGGACTACTTTGCTTTAAACCTCCACGATGTCCGTCTCTGGCCGACTTCTCTCAAACTCGTTGAAGCGCGCCGCGCCCGCGCGGTGGGTATTCACTCCGTACTCCAGGCGCTCTGTCTGACTTCCATTCGTACAGAACCCGCACTATGGCTACTACCTCTGCAGAGTCCCTGGTCGCATTCGGCGAAAAGCACGTTACGAAGGGTCTGCCCAAATTGACGCAGGATGTGTTCGACAAGGGCTCAGGGTCGTGGGTGACTATGAAGAGCGGCAAGACGCTGCTCGACTTCACATGCGGCATCGGCGTGACCAACCTCGGTATGCCCCATTGGGCGCAATATGTCTACGTACAGCTGATTTGCATGCAGGACATTGCCACCCAAAGATCAGCAAGGCCGCGGCGGACCAGTGTATGAACATTGTGCACGCACAGGTACGCGCCTCTACTCGAAGTCAACGATTCCGATTGCTCATCTTGCGCAGTGCAGTATCGCATACCACGAGCCTTACCTGCGTCTCATCGAGAAGCTTATCCCGATGATGCCCGACCCCTCCCTCGATTCATTCTTCTTCTGGACATCGGGTTCCGAGGCCGTCGAGGGCGCCATTAAGATGGCTCGCATGATCACCGGCAAGCAGAACATCATCTCTATGCAGGGCGCGTACCATGGTCGTACCATGGGCGCTGTCGCTGTCACCAAGAGCAAAACTGGGTATTCCGAGGGTACGCATCCCTTGATGGTACGTCCGGCACTCAGATGTTCTTCACTTGTGAGGTACTCATCATGTCTACAGCCCGGCGTCTTCGGCACACCGTTCCCTTACTGGCACCACTTCCTAGGTTCACCCTCCATGAATGAGGATGAACTTGTACGGCAATGCTTGTACCAGCTCGAGCTTCTGCTCCAGCAGCAGACCGCACCGAAGGACACAGCGGCTATCATCATCGAGCCCGTGCTCGGCGAGGGCGGCTATGTTCCCGCACCGGCATCCTTCCTCCGTGGGCTTCGCGAGATCTGTGACAAGAACGGTATCCTGCTCATCATTGACGAGGTGCAGAGCGGGTTTGGCCGCACGGGCAAGAACTTCTACATTGAGTACAGCGGTGTCAAGCCCGACATCCTGACTATGGCGAAGGGTCTCGCGAACGGCTTCCCGCTCAGTGGTATCGTCAGCCGGAAGGAGTTGACAGATAAGCTCAAGCCCGGCTCAATGGGCGGAACCTACGCCGGCAACGCCGTTTCGTGCGCCGCTGCCGTCGCCGTTGCGGATGCGTTCAAGGAAGAGAAGATCCTCGAGAACGTGAACGCTCGTTCGGCCGAGCTCTTCGCCGCTCTTCAAGCCGTCCGCGAGAACCCCAAGATCGGTCCGCACATCCTCGACATCCGCGGTCAAGGATTGATGGTAGCTGTCGAGTTCGCCTCGCCGTCGCACTCGACGCTCGACCCCGCGACGAGCGCGACGACGCCGAAGAATTTCTCATCGCGCGTGTCGAAGAGGTGCCTTGAGAAGGGCATGTTGCTATTGATCACCTCGGCATACGAGACTGTCAGGTTCATTCCTGCGCTCAATATCTCGAAGGAGGATTTGGCGAAGGGGACAGCTATCTTCGCCGAGGCTGTTGAGGAGATCGTTCGTGAGGGTTGAATCGGATAGCAACGAATGTATCAACAAGAATTCTCGGGCCTCGCGGTGTACTAGTACTTTGTTCAACCTATACTGTGCTTCTACTTTACCGCTTTGCCGTGCCCTGATCAATGCCACAGCGACGGGTCTCGGCCGGCCTATCTCCGACGTGCGGAGGTGTTGCCGCTACTGAGCCTGATGCACTTCCAAGCCAAACCGCGTAGGTGACCATGTACAACGTTATGCATGCCGACGGGATCTGTAAATATCATCGGGGTTAACGAGCTGTGCATTGTTTGAGCCCACGCACCTCGCGGCACCGCGGCAGTTATCTCTCATTATCCCGTCGTGTGCGCGTCAGCATGTGTAATGCCCTGTGCAGATATCGTGCTCTCACACCTACCACCACCATACCTTCTCGCTATCTAAACTAGCCAGCACACTCGCCGCACTTGAGGCGTTGGAATGGCGAGCGAACAGCGCGGTGATGGCGAGCAGGCGCCGCTCCTGCCGACTGCCTCCCAACCTGCGGCCCGCACGAGCAGGCGCCTAAAGAAGCTCACGTTGGGAACGTTGGCTGCCTCTATCGGCGCTATATTATTTCTGGCCGCAGGACACGGCGACCATCCGCTGCACCACGACCCTTCGGAGCTGTCTGTGCCTGTACCACAAGAGGTCCTGCCAGACTTTGTACCCCAGACAGCCGCGTTCCGGAATCCGGCTGTGCTTGTCAAGGCGAAGCATGGAGCTGTTGCCAGTGAGGAGAAGACGTGTTCGAATATTGGAGTCGACGTGCTGAAGGATGGCGGAAACGCGGTGGACGCGATGATCAGTACTGTACTGTGTATTGGCGTTATCAACATGTTTTCGTACGTGCCATTAGCTGCATGTCCTTGCAATGTGTCCTCATCAATGTGTATAGATCAGGACTTGGTGGCGGTGGTTTCATGACCGTACGCATACCGCCAAAGGAGAAGGGTGGCGAATCAGAAGTATGGAACATCGACTTCCGCGAGACCGCGCCTGCGTTAGCGAATACGACAATGTATGTCGATGACCCCATGAAGGCGTTGTTCGGTGGGCTATCGGTCGCCGTTCCTGGAGAAGTTCGTGGGCTAGGCGAAGCGCACAAGCGTTGGGGAAAGCTTTCCTGGGCAAGGCTAGTCCGGCCAGCCGCCGAAGTCGCAGCAGGGTGGACTATGGGTCCCGAGCTTTCGCGTCGTATTCATGTGCGTTCACCTTATGATGTGCACCTGTACATTCACTCACATCGTGCCCAGATGGAGTTCTTCGCCCCGCTCATGCTTCAGAACAAAGACTGGAGCTCTATATTCGCACCCCACGGCGTGCTTCTGCGCGAGGGCGAGCTCATCAGGCGCACCAACTTATCGCGTACTTTGACAGCTCTTGCGGAAGAGGGCCCTGAAGTGTTCTACAAGGGCGAGATTGCTCAGGCCATCGTCAACAAGGTGCAGAAGGAAGGTGGTATTTTGACCCTGGAGGACTTGGCGGACTATCGTGTCAAGGTCATGAAGGCGTTGAGCGGTACCTACAACGGTCGCAAGGTGTACGTGCCACACGCACCGACTTCTGGTCCAGTACTACTACACATGCTGAATCTGGTGGAGAACTATGACCTTGCCGCCGAAGGCAAGACCGGGCTAAACCTCCATAGGATAGTGGAGGCAATGAAGTGTGAGTCTCGTTCAATTTTGTCGTCCATGCATAGCCTTAACCTCCTTCCAGTCGGCTTCGCTGCTCGCACGAAGATCTGTGATCCTGTCTTCAGCGACGATGCATCTCGTATCAAGGAGATCCCTCATAAGGACTTTGGCGAGCAGATATTCGCGAGGATGACAGACGTACGTTTTGTCCTATCCTTGAATAGACGCGCCAGACTAACTCCCAGTAGGATCGGACACATGAGCCCGCCTACTACAAGCCCATCTTCGATGTACCCGAGGACCATGGCACGGTAAGCCCCATCCGTGGATGGTCTCTCAACGCCGCTGACACTCGTTTTAGAGCCATACCTCGGTTGTTGACAAAGACGGAGTGCGTAGCCGCCTCTTCACGATGCGTGTCAGCTCTCATCATATCCGTAGATGGCAGCCTCGATCACAACGACCGTCAACTTGGTGTTCGGCTCTCAAGTACTTGATCCTGTGACGGGAATCATCATGAACGATGAGGTGCGCGCCTCGCTTCGACGAAACTGTATAGACTCTGATCACAGCAACAGATGGATGACTTCTCCATACCGGGTACCCCCAACGGCTTCGGGCTGTGGCCTTCTCCCTGTGCGTCGCATCTTGCGAGTGCATGTAACCGCATTGGAACTCACCAACTTGTACACAGACAACTACCCGGAACCTGGAAAGAGACCGCTTTCATCCACTGTCCCCTTGATTGCCGAAGACGCAAACGGCGATCTTGAGCTCGTACTCGGTGGCTCAGGCGGCTCGCGCATCTTCCCCGCCGTCTTCCAGGTCATGCTCAATGTCGACTGGGGATATGATATCAGCGCTGCCATCGAGGACGGCCGCGTACATAACCAACTATACCCTCAATATGTGGACGCGGATAGCACGATTGGTGACGAGCTGCTCGATGGTCTCAGGACTCGTGGGCATAATGTCACTGGTACGTCGTTACCCGCATGTTTAACGCATTTGCAGTCAAGCTCAGTCTATCGCAGTGATGCCGTTCGAACGCGTTGCCGCCGTTATCAACGGTATCAAGGTGGAGGACGGAATTATCTACGGTACGCTCGTCTCTATCTGACGTTGTATCATGAGCTCACACCTGCTCCTTTCAGCTGCAAGCGACTCCCGGAAGAACGGCATCGCTGTTGGGTATTGATATACTGACACTCTCCGGTTCGGATCGCTCTGGATATACACCGCTATACAATGCCACTTCCGAACTTCTTTTTTGGGCCGCTCTATTGCAGGGCGTTCTTCCGAGCTTCATCGTGTCCGCACGTATCCTCGGCGCGTCCGGTGACGAACGGGTTCCTGTCGGTGCCAACGCAGTGTAACAAGATCCCAAGTTCCAGTACGTGGTGCGCGACCGGACCGCGACCAGCCCGTTCATTATGCCTGAGCGCATGCGACGTACCTTCTTTTCGCTTGGTCTGTTGGTTTCCGGAGCAGTCACATGTAAAGAGTGCATTGTTCGCAGAAGACCGCGCCTGCGTGCGATGTTCTTCCGAAGGTGATCCCTGTGGGAAGCGCGTTGGACGCATTCCTCCGCTGCTTCGTTATAAGCTCCTGTGCACCTGCTTTGTACTGCTGACCATCCAGCACACCTTGTGCGGTTACTGAAATGTTCAAGCTTAACGCGGGTCTTGTCGCTGCGGCACTCGTGCTGCCCACTGCTCTTGCACAATCGGCCGTTTACGGACAGTGTATGCTATAGTCGGTGCCTATATGCGTGATGATCATGTTGACGGATTCATAGGCGGAGGTATAGGCTGGACAGGACCATCCACGTGGTCCGTGGTCCGATAATCTCCATTGCTTCCCGTGTTTGTTTGCTGATAAAAGCTCTACAGTGTGTCTGGATCTCATTGGTATGCATATTCAGTCTATGATGTGCTGGTCGTATCTACTAACTGGACACTATGCGACTCAGTGTCAAGCAAAACGACTACTACAGCCAGTACGTGTACTTCTCTCCACCCAATCTCATAGAAACTGATAGTCTGGCAAAGATGTATCCCTGGAGCCGCAACGACAACTGCCGCAGCTACCACGACGGCCAAGGCGACGACTACCGCTGCCACAACAACAAAAGCGAGCACTACAACTGCCGCCACCAGCCCCGTTACGACCGGCTTTGTCAAGCCCAACGGCCAGAAGTTTGAGTTGAATGGCGCCGAGTTCACTCTGGTTGGGTTCGTCACGGCTAATGTTCCTCTTATGGATGGGATCTCACACATTCACAGGGAGAACACCTACTGGGTTGGTCTCATGAACTACCCCACGACCGAGATGAATCAGGCTTTCGCGGACATTGCTGCTACTGGCGCTACTACCGCTCGCACCTGGTAAAGACCCTCTTTGACATATCCTGTCAATGTTCGTCGTCTTATACACGCATAGGGGCTTCAACGAGGTCACTTCTGACGGCGGTATACCGTACTACCAGATCTGGAATGGCGCAACCCCGACGATCAACACCGGTGTGAACGGCCTGCAGAACTTCGACAACGTCGTTGCTGCCGCGAAGGCTAACGGTATCCGCCTCATCGTGGCGCTGTGCGTCATTCTCGTTGTCTGTCCAGCTTCATTGTCCTGACAGATGATTCAGTACGAACAACTGGTCGGACTATGGTGGCTCGGACGTTTACGTCACTCAGCTGCTCGGCGCGGGCCAGCCTCACGACTACTTCTACAGCAACGCGACTGTCATTGCCGCGTACAAGAACTACGTCAAGACCTTTGTGAGTCGCTACGTCGACGAGCCGACCATTCTCGCCTGGGAGGCATGTGTAACATCCGCTTCACACGGACTGAGCTGCGACGCTGACTCTCACGTTTCATAGCTCATGAACGAGCCCCGCTGCTCAGGTTCATCCAGCACCGCATCAAGCGCCTGTACCACTGCGACAATCACAACATGGGCTGAAGACATCTCGTCCTTCATCAAGAGCATCGACAAGAACCACATGGTTTCCGTCGGCGACGAGGGCTTCTTCAACGAGCCCGGAAACTCCAACTTCTTATACCAGGGCATCTTCGGCGTTGACAGCGCGGCTCTGACCAACATCTCGACTATTGACTTCGGCACCTTCCACATGTACCCAGTGTGTACCTGCTTACTCTGGTCGTTATGCCAAGATCCTGACGTCTATCGCAGTTCAGCTGGGCGGTATGTCGACTGCTCGAGTCGCCTAGAATACTCAATAACGTTGCTCACCGTCTCCTTAGCAAACCACTGACCCTGTTGGCTTCGGCGACCAATGGATTCTGGACCATTCGACAGTACAGAAGCAGCTCAACAAGCCCATGATTCTTGAGGAGTTTGGTGTTACCGAGGCTGAGCTGGACCAAGCCACCACCTACACTCAGTGGTACGGCGATGTGATCGCTGACGGTCTCTCTGGCGACCTCATCTGGCAGGCAGGCTCGTCGTTCTCGAAGAACGCGGATGACGGTGATATGGTCAGTAGTTCGCCCTGGAGCCAGAGCTCTTGTGCTGACATCATCCCTTAGGTTTACCCTGGTACGGATGTCTACACTGTTGTCACGGAGCATGCAGCTGCCCTCAAGGCCCGTGGATAGGCGTAGTTCTGTATCTATCTTACTCTGGTATTGCTCCGGCAAGTGTACAGTCTGTATGATATCATCAATGGGACCGATCGTCATTGTTCCATAACTAGTGAAACGATCGTAAAGTAAGGCAAAGCATCCAAGAGAAGAACATAGTACAGAGCACCGATACCAACAGAAATCGTTAAGGTTAACGGCGTGGACTACGCTCATTTCTTCTGTGCGGCAGCGTCCTCCGTCTCCTTACTCATTTGTTGGGCGACTCGGCGCGAGGACTCCGCGAGCGCAGCGTTTGTGCCGAGGTCGATGCCCTCCAGGCAAGGCGCCTCGAAAACATAACCATAGCGAACCATGAAGATCGTCTTGCCAAAGACGACGACCCAAAGGCATAACGTTGCGGCCGCATACATGGCACCCCAAACCCGGAAGAAGTTGACGTCGAGCACGCGATACAACTGGATGGTCAAGTTCGCGTATACACCCTATTCATATGCGTCAGCTTGCGACTGCGTGAAAGTTGAACTGAGCTGACGTTCGGGAAAATCATGCCCCAGAATGGCACCTTGAAGGGGAACCCTTTCTGTGTCCGGCGCAAGGTCGAGCTGAGACCGACGAGGGCGAAGACGAGCCACATCGTCGCCAGCGACCACAACACGAGCGAGGTGCAGATGCATATAGCCTGCACAATTAACCCCATGTCGGCGCTACCGAGGAAGCTTGACTCGCTGCCGGCGAAGGGAAAGAACGTCGGCGCAGCCTGCGCAATGAGAAGGATGGAGTACCCCGACTGGCCGGTGGGTCCGAGAGGGATGAAGACGGACAGAATTGATGCGCCCTCCGGAAGACCGTGCACAATCAGACGAAGGAGGTAGAGTGTGAGGATCATAAACGCCAGGGATATGCCGATGGCCACCATGACCAGACTGACGGCGAGCGTGATGTGTGCGTGGTATGCATTGACCGCATGCAGGGGTTTGAGAAGAGCACCTCCCGTTGCGGATGCGACGATGAACGTTACGACCGGGAGAAGCCAAAGCGATGTCATTTTCTGGATGTCGTGCTGGTGTCGCGTGAACCTGACGTGCTATTTGTGAGACTCTGAGCAGAACAAGAACGATTGTCGCACGTACATGATGTGCACAAGCCAGAAAACGCAAGCAGCCGAAATTGCTGAGTCAAGCCACCAGCAAGCCCACAGGAAGTAGAGGAACGGTGTCCCTCCGAAGCCGAAGTCGGTGTAAAAGACCCCAGCGGCCACGCTGATGAGTGTCGCGGCACCCATAGGAAAACAGCCCAAAAACAAGCTTTGTACTGGGTGGTGTATCATAAGTCTCCAGATATCCGGGTATCGCAAATAGCGGTAGGCGGACGCAGTCGTGAGGGCGATGAACAGGAATAGGTTGAGGAAGAAGAATGCGGTAGCGAATGCTTGCATTGGTAGGGTCGTGTTGCCATACGGATAATTCGCGAATAGAATGGAGATCGATCCAGTGCCTGCAGATACGATTAGACATCACAGAAGGCGTTTGGCTATGAGTGCTTACCCATATTTGCGGCGAACCAAGCGGGAGCCAGATGTCTGACAAACGTCAGATATCTTCCTGACAGTCGATTGAAGGGGACTCAAGCTCAAGCCTCACCGGATACTTGTCCTGACATCTTTCTTAGTGTAGGACGCCATCGCGCGCGGGTAACTGAGTGCAGCAGGAGAAAACGGGTGTGGGTGACTCAGAGGGATCAAGTTGTCTTGCCCCTCAACCGCACGCCCTTATGAATAACGAAATTACAGCCATTCGGAATAGCTGTCGTTCGATCCCGGACCAGGCCCCACGCTACCCGGGCCATACCGGTGAGCACGCACAAGAAGGGCGCGTCGCAGCGGCGAGTGATGGCGCATATATAGACTCCTAAGACCATGGTGGTCAAGATGCAAACAAGCGCATGAGCGCACTCGCATTCAATCCGGGGTAGTTGGAAATATGTATATTGTCGATGGCGTGCTCGAGGAATAGGGGCACTAAGCGGTCCGAGCGGGTTGATGGCCGGCGTTGCCGTAACTGTGCGAGCGTGCGCTCTGAACGTTGAGAGCGCTTCTGCCCAGTTCTGCCCTTGCTCTTGCATCATCGAGTCCGATTCTTCCCAAAGATACACGTCCTGTGGTACACGCGGTTCATTCCTATCGCTGCCAGGCCGTGAACGGCGCAGAGCGAGATTCCTCGGATGCCCCGCGACGCCACGAAGCCCGACAGTTGCATTTCACAGCGTGCACACAGACGAATCCAAACCAGGTTCAGAGCTTCGAATTCCCATCGTGTGCACTGGTATCGCGACGCATAAAGCCGTTACTTGCGCTCCCCAGATTCTGAGACGACCATGACTGTCTTGTCTGCCATCCGCACATCCTTCTCTCGCTCGACTGAGGCCCTCTTGTCACCCAGGGCCGAAGAGAAGGCCGCCTTGTCTCCACCTGCCCAGCCAGCCATTCTGGAGGCAACGGCGGAGTCCTCTGAGTCTACGACCTCTGTGCAACCTCCGGAACAGGCGCGTTCTAGCGAGCAGTCTTCGACGGCCTCGGCAGACAAGCCAGACAAATCGGTTAATCCGCCTCGTCGGTGGTCGATACAGAATCTCGTCAAGTACCCGCGCAAGGCAACGCAGGACGTACCCCACACCATCGAGGAGCTTGACAAACGCGAGCAGGCGGCTGCGCAAGCTGCAGAACACGTCGCGCACGCCCCGAAGTTAACCTCTTCTGATCGTCGCGCTTTGCACCATGCGAATGTCGTCCGTGCGCTTATCATCGGTCCGGAGGGCATCACGCCGGCGCCGTCTAAGGCTGCAATCAGCAAGAGCGACGTCAATAAGACAAAGGCAGCTTTGCTTCAACCCAAGGAGGCGAACAAGGTCATCGCCCGTTTGCGCGATTTGCCACCCGCCGAGTCGTCTACGTCCATCGCGCCCATCCATGCGGTGTGCCTTTCGCTCCCTGAAGCCGAGGCGGATAAGCAGCACTTCCAGCGCCTGAAGTCCGACACGACGCCACCGACTGTACAACTTGTTCGCACGCGTGACATCAACGCAGAACCTCCTGCTCCGCCTATCCTGAATGTCGCGACTGCCACCCTTGAGTCCGTATCGGATGCTTTCCGCGACCTGAATCTGGTCAGCCTTGTCACAACGCCCGACTTTGGGCTAGGTGGACCAGCAGACGGACCTGGCATTCTTTCGGGCGCCCTGCCATCTGCTGAGGCAGTTGTCAATGGCATCGTGCAGATCACTCCACAGCTCATGTCGCTTGGCTACGCTACGGGCAAGGCCATCGTTCCCAATCATACCGGCGTCTATCCACCCAAAGACAGGATGTCGGTACTCACGTGTACGCTCGCTGCTTCATTTCACCTCTGTCCAAGCACTGACTCCGTGTCCAGATTGGTGGGGACTTGAAGTTGTCATGCCGGAGCCTACCATGTCGTACCTTGGCCAAGCACAGTCCATCTCGCATACTGTCATGAACTTCCTGACCGCGCTCGCTGCTATCAATAACGGCGTGCGCGAGCTATTGCCGTTTGTCCGCTACATCTCACAGTTCATGGAATGGGAGTTCTCGGCGATCAAGGCGCAAGACAAAGGCAAGGGTGTTGTCTGTGCGGCAACATGGTATGTGGACTCTCTTCGGAATTAAGCCCGTACGTCTGCTGAGATGCACTGTAGGGTTATGCCTGCAGCCATGGTCCCACGACCGTGGGACTTCCAGAGCCCGCCTCCGCCAGCGCCTGCACCAGCCGTACCCGAGTTAGAACCTCCCGTGGATGCCCCGAAAGTAGAGGAACCTGCGCCATCTACGCCACCTGTTGAGCAGAAACCTTCCAGTGGTCCCGTCGAAGAAGAGCCTCCGTCGAGCAACATTCCGGAGCAGCCAGCGAAGACCCCGGAGGTGCCTGCAGCATCCCCTTCAGACAAGACGTCTTCACCCGCCGAATCGGTCCCGATCTCGCCTATCGCGCTGTTCCCTGGAGCCGTCGCCGTCAACAACGCTTAGCAGGGCAATCTCACTCTCCGATATACCTCAGCTTGGAGCTTGGATATCGCGCTTTGGCCCTCAGATCCTATACCAGTCGTTTTGCCCTCAACCCTCTTCCTAATTTGCCCTTGATGTCTTCCTTACGACCCATACGACCTCACGACCTCAGGACCTTGCGCCCTCTACCCTTCGATCCCGGACAAAGCATCTTGATACCTGACCGCTGTAATCAATGTTTCAATACCCAATCAACGCAGTGGAGTACTTGGAGATGCAGTGATGGGATGTTGTACATGCCTCGAAAGATAAACCTGCTCAAAGAGGACGTGAGAGGGCACCTGATATGCGCGCCTTTGTACCAGGATGTAGCTGAGTCACTCTGTCGGTCTGCACGAAGAACTTGTACCCTAAGACTGACCATTGAGTGTTTCCATCAATACTCTACACTGTGGGAGTACACGTGTCACCGGCGTCCTCCAAACAGTCATAACATCTTGATGACTACAACGCAGAAGTATGGCGGAAGATGATCAGCCATCTGGTTCTTGAATATGAAGGAGTCGACAGCTCATCGTTGTATGCAAATCCTACCGGGTCGAGGAGGACCACCGGAGGGAATCCGGTCGGATAGGCTCCGCGACCGTCGGGATGTAGAGATCTGTGTCAAACTGTTGACAGATTGCGCCCGTACTTAACACTGCAGCCTGCGCAATAGGTCCCCAGGATCTCAGTTACAGCCTTGCTCCCTGAGCAGTATCTCGCTATGGCGTCTGCACTCGATACATCCGATTTCTTGGCGAAACTGTTCGACTTGCCGACCTCGACCGGTAACTTGAATTTGCCGGGCGCTACTGCCGAAAGCGCCGAGGCTCTCATCGAGCTGCTTAAGCATAATGCTCGACATAATCACGTTTATTTCAGCAGCGAGAAGCGCCAACACAAGTAAGTGCCTTACCTCGTACGGCGCATTGAACGTCCTACTGAATCTTGATCGCATCGCACTTAGCCATGTCATGGACCATCTGTTCGCTGCTTACGGCTTAGGGGCTTCGCCTGCTCTCCTGAAGGAGATATACGCTTCACACCGCTATGAGCAGCCAGTCAAGTCAAGCCCACAAGAGATCACGGACGAAACATTCTTTCAGCACATCGGAGACGAGAAGTGGGTTTCAGAATATCATACAAGATCCTCACACTGATATCCATCGACAGGTACTATGGCGCCTATCTCGTGTACTTCTGCCGCTATCTCCTCTCACACACGCCTACGGAAGCTATCCAGAAGTTCATCCTCGCCGAGGAGTACAACTATGCCGATCCTGACTTCAACGACCCAAATATGTACATCAGGTACTGGGCTGGCATCATCCATCCTCATATTCATCTTGGATACGGTATAGAAGTACGTTCCGTTACATGCTTATCTGCGCGCGGTGCTGAGGTCCATCAGTTTGGGGTTCTTCAACAGATCGCAGAAGGATTGGCCATGACAGCCGTTCATCATCCTCACCAAGGCATGACCGAAGTGGACATGTTCGCATCTCTCGAAGACAAGAAGATCATGCGCGAGATCAAGTCTGTCTTACTGAACTTTGAGCTGGCTTCAGCCATCGTCATTGAGCGCACAACAGCGCCCAGGAACTTCCTTGGGCTTGCCAGCGCCCTCTTGTCAGATGAGAGCTTGTCGCTGGAGTCTCTCGGCTTGAAGGGTGGTGTACCGGTGGGAGACTACGGGATTACCCTCCGTAGCGCCGGACCTCGCATCGCTCGACATGTAGCTGCTTGGTATGACGCTTGGATGGACGGAGTACCCGCAGACAAGGCTGAAAGCCAGTTGGCTTTGATGGTCGAGGATGTGCTACTTACCGTGACGACCTGGTACGCGGCCGCAGGCTGGGGAAAGCGTCGTCCTGACCAGGTCACGCACAATAGCTTCATCGCGTACGTTACCTCCCACGATAAGCTCGATGTCAATTATTGACATTTACGTAGCATGCACTTCGTGACTAGCAGCATGTTCTTACCCAACCTTGTCCTTGCGAACTCCAGGCATTACCAGGCGCTCGATCCACCGCTCCCGCTCCGTAGTCGCGCCGCGCTCTTGCGAGGTTTCGTCAACCAGTGTGCCCACTGGTACGTGGGCATGGGACGAGCACCAGTACCCATCGCCGACTTTTACTCGGCTACGGACAACTTCGTCTTCTCCAATGCCACTGCTCTGGATACGCGGGGAGCCGCTCAGCGCAACATGGGTACTATGACGCAGACAGAACGCTACTCCTCACCGGCGTCTGCTTGGGCGCGTATCTGGCCCAGCATCATTGTCCATCCAAACGAGCACCTGGTCAAACTCATTCGAGCGCTCGGAGCTTTCTCGCAGATGTACGGCGTCCGGGGTAAGGGCTTCTACGCTGGCGCGGCTAGCGCACATGTCGACGCGGGTGCAGTGGATGGGACATTATTCGTGCGGGCGGCGGCCCTTACGATGGAGAAGATGGGGTGGGTGGCTGAAGGCGAACCAACCCGCGTCTGGGAGTTCAATACATATGTTCCGTCGAAGATGGGTCCTGGCGGTCCAGGCGGTCCTCCGGGTGGACCATCTGCTTGAGAACTATCGTTACCACGGTATCCTCCAATGCTGTACTTTTCGTGTATCCAAGCTGTACAAAGTATCCCATCAGTAAGATTAACCTGTCGGCGGCGCGGCGCGCGACCACTCGGGATGGCCAAGCATCGGCGGGAGGCCATTGAGGATGTTGGGGGATATTCTACTCGAAATGAATGGTTCCTAGCACAAGGTATAGATCAGGCAGTATATATTGTACAATATGTAATATGGACGTCTTTCAGAGTCAATCACGGGTTCTATCTTGTTGGCGTTCACTGAGTGTGGACTTCACCATCGGCCTCTGGAGTTAGATAGTCAGCCACCGTGCAATAGTGTGAGCACATGGAAACGAACCGATGTGTTGGATCTTGCCTCCATCTCCCTGCAGGTTCTTGAGCTCCTGCAGGTGGCTATCCGGAATGGTGGCGGCGAAGCCCTGTGGTGGTCGTCAATGCCGATCGCTGAGTATAACTGCCACCAAGCGCACCTTCAGCGACGTCGTGTACTTCTGGTATACCTCACCGCCCGCTGCTTCGACCGCGGCGATCTCCTTCTCGATGTCCTCCGCCGAGGTGGTCTTGTTGAAGACGACAATGTACTCTGTGCGCAATTCACATCAGCGGTTCAAGTTCCACATCGGACAAATGGCGCACTCTGGGTCATGTTTGTGAGGATACGGGAGGTAGTGAAGGCGCGGTTGAATGAAAGGATGATGGCAGGACGAAGGGAACCGGTCAGCGCACAAGCGACAGTCAGGAGATTAGGGTCATCCGGATCTCGGCCCGGGGCCCTTTCGTGACATCACTGCTCACAGAGTCCGTATTCGCAACGCTCGCGCCCACAAGCGTGCTCCGGGCATATGCACCGGAGGCGTCGTCATCGTCAGACCCTTGGACGGGAGCACAGCAAAAGCATTCTATGGTACAATGGAGCAGTATGTAAAGTGCGGAGATCCAGGGTTCAGTACTGCCAGCGTCTAGTGTATCAGCGCGCGAGTACTTCGATCAAATGTGTTTCTCAATCCACGAGATGACGTCCTCGCGAAACTTCTCTTTCGCGTCCGGTTCTGTGTTGAGAGCATGTAGCATATCCTACAGTAAGGGCGCAAGTCGTAAGCATCCGGAAGCCCGAGTGCGAAGCTTATGTTCTCACAGGGTAAGTGATTATGCTCTTATCCCGAGCAGTCAACTTGTCATAGAAGTCTTTCGTCGCCTTCCACGAAGTGACAGGATCCCCAGTTCCATGAGTGAAAAGAACCTGTAGGATGCAAAGGGCGCGACAATCGTGAGCGGCGGTAGAAAAGGGGCAGTAAACGCGCATACAGGCAGGTCCTCGTTCCACAGCTTGAAGCCGGACTTCAGTAAGTGCTCTCCCTATACGCATGTCAGTTATTGAGTATTGGAATCGAGTGAAGTAGGAGTACTCACACGATCAAGCATGTCCCCGATCCCCTGTAACGAGCCGTGCGGTTCTAATAGCGGATCACTGAGGACCAAGTCTGCTATCTTCGGGTCGTGCGACAGTTCCTGCGACGAATGTCAGACGCGGTGAAGTACATACCCGGTCCATTCACGTGTATGTATACCTTAGCAAATAGCGGGGTGCTCCATTGCATGTTTGGCAAGGCCTTACTGGTCCAGGTCAGCATGGTGCGCAATGGGGATGGCGGTCCATTAATGAGACGAATAAGAGGGCTGCACGAAATGACTCCTCGAATCAAAGCTTGTGTTTCCTTGCTCGGGGGGCTCGAAGTGCGAGAAGAGAAGTCCACGACGAGTGCGCCTCCCTGTTTCCAGACGCTCGTCAATCATCTCGCCTACAACGCGAGATCACGCTGTGAAACACTAGCCATAGAGAAGCCCATGAGGAACAAGGGTGCGCCCTTGAAGCGTGAGGAGGCCTCCGTAATTGCCCACTCGACGTCGTGCATGCGTTCGTTTCCGCCTCCGGTGTTACCGTATTTGCTGACGGGGCTTCGACCTTCGCCGAGAGCTGTCTTACCAAAGCCACGCTGGTCGTAGGTCAAGACAGCGATACCGCGCTGCGTCATAGCGACATGATCGTCGGTGTAGTACTGCCCAGAGATCTGATCACAGTATCCGTGCACGTAGACGAGCACTGCGCGAGTAGATGTAGATTGTGGGGGTGAATAGACTCGAGTGTAGAACCTGGTGTTCAAAGGTCCATCGAGCCAAAGCTCTTCGTAGGATTGTGGAGTAGACATGTTCATATAGCCTGTGCACAAGAAAAAGGAGAGCCAGAGAGCGTAAAGATAGTGGTGAGGGGGAGAGACCACTTGTTGACGGAGAGACAACAACGCACTTATACTGGATCAAGGGCATATAATATGGTGCACGTGCCACTCCGGGCACACGGACCACGCGCGCGCGTGGGGAGCGCGCTTGGTCCCGTCGCCATCTTTGGCAGCGGTACACGCTCGCCTCCGGCACACACGTACCTTCCAGTCTCACCGACTTACCAATGCCAAACCGCTCGGACTATGAGGCGCTGCCTCAAGCCGACGAGGGAGATCATGATTACGAGGAGGGAGATTCCCTATTGCCCACCCTGGTCCAAGGACAGTCGCGCGGGATTCAGCGCGCGAACCGTCCTGGCTCAATAGACATTCGGAAGCTGGACAATGCCTTCAAGAGGTGCGTGGACGTGGTGCACCTGCACAGGGCCGGCGAGAAAGCCTTGTGCTTGAACAGAAGTCTAATATCCGGCTTGAAGGTGGACAGAATCCATAGCTCAGCGCATGAAACGCAAGAAGAAGAAGGCGGGTCCAGTACACGAGAAGCTGGAGATCCTGCGTAGCGTATTCGACCCGCCGGTGACAGCGAGGATCGTTATCAGAGGCCCGGTGCGTACTCGGTTCCACGTTCGGAAACCCGCTTCCCTAATGCGCCACAGTTCAAGACACTCGACCATGGCCCTCCTATGACCAAGGAACAATATGATGGGTGTGTCCCTTGTTGTGATAAGCGTGGTAGCCGTGCTGAACAGACCGTAGCCTCGTCAATTCCGTTAAAATGGCCATATTGGAAGGTCTACATCCAAAGATGATCACAAAAGGGTCCTCTGGCTCGTACTTTGCTCGTGCCAAGGTGGACGGAAGGGTACAAACTGTTGCGTGTGTGATGGCCCTCTCTATTCCCAGGCTTGGTCTCACGAACCGCATAGCGTCTTCAAGCCAAAGGACGAGGAGCCTTATGGGCGCCTGAATCCTAAGGTCAGTGCTCTATCGACACCTCTCTCTGTCCTACTTACACCTTCTCAGACAACTAAGTGGTTGCATCGGAAACTCAGCTTCATCATCCCCTTTGGACGTGCTTGCCTTATCCCTAACCTGAGGTCGCTCCTACTCTTGGACTCTGACGTCTCTTGCTCATATGCAATGTAGCTATATATCCGAAGCGGCCGCCTCGCTACTGGACAGGCGGTTAGAACTCAATATCGTCCCACGAACAGAACTAGTGTCGTTAAGCAGTACTGTGACTATTGCTTCTTCATCGAGACTCGTGCACGTGCTAATGACGTTCGCCAGGCTTTCTTCTATGATTGGATCGACAGATCTAACCATAAGAAGGGTAAACCGCTACCAGATAAGATTGGTAGCATGCAGGTGTTCATGCACGGGTACACTGGTAAGCCATGTTCTTACCCGGCTGCAGTACTTGAGTATTGACAGGTTTTCAGATGCGTCTGACTTTCTACGCAAACACCCCTGGCCAGGACGATCCATCGCTGATACATTTGATGACTCTACCCACCGACGTCGTAACATCACGAAGCGTATGCTCGGAGCAATCAAAATCGTATGCGGGAAAACAGGTGCCGAGGATGAGAACTTCGACGATGACGAAGAGGAGAATCGCTATACCTTTGATGTATCGGAATCCGCAGACGGCGATACGCCTTTCTACTGGGCGCCCGTCTTGCAGAGGAGTTTCCGTGAAGAGCTCGAGAAGTGAGTTGCGCAGTTCTTTGTTGTTCAAGTACACAGCTGACCTATGTCTAGGCTAGTCATACTGGGTACGTTCAGAGGGAAACTTTGACTCTATCATAGCTCATGGTGTATTCACAGATTACCTGATGAGGAACACAGACCGCGGCGCTGATAACTACATGATCAAGTACTGTGAGGCAGAGCACGAGAAATCTCACGTTACCACCGCGCCGACACGCGGGAAGCCCATGATGAGCGAGATCCGCTCGCCCTCATTCACTGCTTCTCCGCCCGATGCGACTCCTAACCCAAACCCGAATCTTGTTCCTCCACCACGGCCCTTGCGCTCGAACTCGTCCGCGGCGGACGATTACAGGCGGCATCCGCATATACACATCGCTGCTATCGACAACTCGCTCTCTTTTCCTCATGAGCACCCACATGGGTGGAGATCGTACACGTATGGCTGGCTGTACCTGCCTGTCAGCCTCATTGGACGACCCTTCAGCCAACATACGCGAGACCACTTCTTGCCCCTGCTCACGAGCAAGGAGTGGTGGCAAGATACGACGTACCAGCTCCGGGAGCTTTTCGCTGTTGATCCCGACTTCAATGAGAAGATGTGGTCGAGGCAGCTGGCCTTGATCAAAGGTCAAGCGTGGAATATTGTCCAGTCTCTACGACACGAGGTTAGTATCTACTAAGATCAAAACATATCTTCATGTCTCTGACAAGCACTCTCGCAGGATGAAGGCATGTCGGGACGCACATCGACTCGGTCGCCTGACTAATATCTATCCATAGGTCCTCTGGAGCTCACACGAAGAACATCGGCAATGGTCTGGGACGACAAACTTGAAGTGGCAGACGACACTGCTACGATAGAGGCCATCGTCGGCCCTCTGTCAGGCTCCATCGCTTCTCTTCCTCCGCGCGTCATGAGCCCAGGCCACCAACGCGTCCGAAGTAGCGCTTCAGAGTTCCCTCCTCCACGCATGCGACGCATGAGCAGCACCGATACGTCTGGCTTCCAACGCCCGGTTCCGTTCAGCGCCAAATTCCAGCGCGTCCACCCTGGGACCACGGGAGTGACAGTGCTCGAGCATATGGAGCGACTGGACAGGGTGGAGGCTAGTCTCGATCGTCTTGCTGGTGGAGATGACGAGGCAGACGAGCTGGAAGAGCAGGAGCAAGATGTGGGTGACCTTGCGCGGCCCACCGCACCCGTTCTGGGGCTGCTCTCACCGCCTGAAGCCATAACGGGCCCAAGTTCAGCGCCTACCGCTCCTTTCGCCGGGCCATCGCCATCGCTGGCGCCAGTGCTTGAAGTCAGCTCGTCATCGAGTGTCCATTCACGATCAGATGCCCCGTCTCTACCGGCGGACGTGGATGCAGACGAGGAGGATGAGGAAGACGTGGCGGCGCTGTCGAAGAGCATGTCACATATCGATAACGTCGCGCATGGTCGGTGGACGACCAGGCACCCTGGTATAGAGCAGAGGAGTGCCGGGCTCGGCCTTGAATGGATGCAGAGCCAGGATTCGGAGTCTGACGGCTCAAGAAAGAAGACTGTCATTGTTGAGGTGAGATGATCCGTCCACGTATTGAATGTTCGTTACTAATACTCTTCTCTAGCGACTCGAACTCATCGAGAAGCAGGCGTACTTCAGTTGCTGGTGATCGTTCAGATCGGATATTCTCATATTCCTCGGGCATGACGCTCTACTGTCCCACGCGCATTCTTCCTATACCCGTTGGACCTCAGCCATTATCTATAATCATCCCTCACTCAGCTTAGACACGTTTGCACGCCCCTCACGATCTTGCACGCCTCAGGACTTCACCCCGACTGGATATCTGTATATATTATATATTCCCCCACCGCACGGATTCATACAGCAAAACATATAACATCATTGAGTTTGTCGTGACGAGGAAGTTCTCAATCCTTAGTCGCCCTCTGATAAAAGCCACTGCGCGAAGTCGTCCAAACGCTTCTTCTCGGCGGCATCGCCTTCTCCCTCGACATCGTCGGTATAACCACTGCGCTTGAAGCGCGCTTTGCCGGCCCACAGCGACGCCTCTATCCTGCGGCCTGCAAAAAATCTGCCGTTCATCTTCTGTGGTATCGTCAGCATCGGAGTCGGTGAAATGTACGAAGGCAGACGCACGATGACGCAGGCTTGAGCGCTCACTGGGTCACGGAACTTTACTGTCATGACGCCCTCGGGCTCAGCCTAGGAGGCGCGTTGAGTATGGGCGCACAGAGCGTGAAGAAGTCACTGACATCGTATATCACCACGTTCGTGACCTGTCCAAGAGCCTCGCATTCTTCGCGCACGTCCTCCTTCAGGTCAAGGAGTAACGACTTGTCCTCTTCGAGCTCCTTCAGTGTGAACATGTGTTTGAGCACGACGACTCTGTTGTTCTTGTTTGCTGCCTCTTGCTTGTCATTATCAGTGATAGCGGGCCCGAAGTTGTCTTCGTCGTCCCATTCCAGCAACTTCCTGAGGAGAGCATGAGCGCTCAACAAATACGGATTGCAGAGAAGTAGACGTACTGCTGCATCTTCCCTATCCTCTTCGTAATCTTCTTTTTATCGACCGTCTTCCGCGGCTTATTGTCGTCCCCGCCAGCCGGACCTTGTCCCTTGTGCGAAAAGTCCGCCTTCTTGACGCCGATTCGCGTATTCGCTTCCCCAAGTCGAAACTCGGCATCGTCGAGCATATTCTCCGCGAGCATGACCGAGTCCTCCTTAAAGTAAACGACGAGCGCTTCGCCCGAGAAGCTCCCATCCTCGCGCGCGTACATCTTCACCTTCGGCTCCCCCTCGTCGTCTTCCTCAATCAAGCCGAACTTGGAGAAGCGTTCGACGATCTCTTCGAGGGTCGCGTCGTAAGGGAGCTTTGTTACGTATACGGCCGTATTCTTCGACTTGCGCTCTTTCGGTTGGCCATTTCCTGCTTTATCGCCTTTGCCGCGTTTGATCGAGGGACCGGGCTGGCCGACGGTGGAGGAGGTGTAGTCCTCGGGCTCCTTGCGTTTCTTGCTGGTGCGAGCTAGAACGGGAGCAGCGGGGGCCTCATAGAATATCAGTACATACGATTCACCATGGAAGAATGAATATATTCTCACTTCCTCATCCACTCCCGCGACGGAATAGGCTGCCTGTTGACTCTTGAGGAGTTCCTCGTCGACCTGTACCGAGCACGGCGTCGTACGGCCTTCCTTCTTTTCGCGACTTGGAGCTTAGCGCAGTAGGTAACGCACCACTGGCACCCACTTTCCCTTCGCCGCGTCGTACTCGAGCTCGTCCCCATCCTCGTCCTCCAGACGCCACGTTCCGCTCTGACGGTCGAAATGTATTCGCGGATCCGACTCGAATGCCGCTGTTTGCGCTTCGGCCGAAGCGCCGAGAGCGGCTGTTGGTAGAGATACCACCATTGGTGTCGGGTCTGCCATGTTGTGGAACCGAAACAGGTAGCAGTCAAGAGCAAGGTGGGATGTAACTCGTGAACGTCAAATGCCTATGACGTCTTGAGTGGCTGTGGGAATACGTCGGCATATTCCGGTCACCTCGAAAGCAGTGACGGCCTTCGCGTTCGAACTTCCAGCATGAAGGTGTCAAGCTCTGGACGTTCCTCATGAAGCATGCTACTGAGCAATAATGTGCCTTTGAGTGCGTAAGCATTCCGTCACCCGCTACTGAGCGGCCTCTGTTCGGACATATGGACCTAATGAAGCCTTCAAGTTCAATTTTGCTCTACTGTCCTCCCTTGTGATTCGGCTGTTCAAACACTCCGGCGAATCCTGTTCATGGTAGTCCGCACCGGTACCGGTAGAGAAGCGCGTTGTGGCTGACGGGCTCCATCAAGAGATAGGGCAGGTATCAGTGTGGAGAGACAGTGTGGCTCCGCGGGCCGCTTGCGCGCTATCTGAAAACGCAGAGACCAAATGCCCTTTCTGTCAGTTGTGAGATATCCAGTGTACAGCCTGAACCAAACGGCGCGAAAGGATACCATCCTGGTCTCAGATAAGGCGCCGCGGCTAGCCATGAAGACAGGGTTCCGGGTTTGTACTGTAACAGGCCAAGCTCACGCAGCGAATAACTCGGGATTTAGGTGCATACATGTTCAAGGCACGGTGCAAGGCTGCTCTGTCATGTGGTCTTCTGTGTTATCTGGCTTGTACTCGGGGGATCGAACCGCGGCGCAAGTTCTCTCCATGCTGTTCGATCGCGATAACCACTGCTTCTTGCAAGACGGTTAGTGAACGTTACTTTAAGGTAATAACTTACTGACACTTCCATCCTTGACATAAGCATACGGTGCCAGTGATGTGGTTACTTAAGCTGCGAGCCCTACACTGGACAACGTAGACTCAGGTCTGACTAGACATTCAACTCTCAAGAGCATCAATACACCGGGTGCGGGTTCATCTGACTTTCGCGGCGTACAAGGGCGCAATGTATCAAGACAGTTCTACCTTCCGCAGGGCCTTCCATCCGAACCATCTTCAAACACGAGCATGGACGTCCCTCCCTTAAAGCTGACGGATCGACTAAGGGAGAGGCCTATGTGGTCGCCGGCATGAAATCTCTTTACCCTCTGGTCCCGGTTGCGAACGCTCTTGCTTTCATCATGATGCTCTTCATAACATACATTACTCGAGTACGCCAGACATGGCGCCTAGGAGTCTCCGCCATGTCAACATGGATCTCCATCCTGGCGTTCTTGACCGTGATACAAACTATCGTCTGGCGGGACAGTGCAGATACCAGTATCGCGCCCATCCTCTGTGACCTTTGTGCGTCTCAACCATTGATATCCATGCGGATATTGCTGATGAATGTCGCAGCAATACGCGTACAAGTGGGCGAAATAGCAGCTGGGCCCGCGTGCGCCTTCATAATTGCCCGGAGCCTTTACCTGATTATCCGGCATCCGACCTGGGACTATGAAGATAGACGAAGAGTTCGTCTGTGATACCTTCTACTTCAGGTTCTGGCGTACTCATCTCCACATCAAGCACCGACGCACTCTGGCTCTCAATCTATTCCTAGTCATTGGTCTTCCTATCATTATCAATGTACAATGTGAGCATCACCACCATAACTACCTATGCCGCCCCGTATACCGACACTCCACACGACTAGATTATACGGTGCAAAACTCTCGCTTCCAGGTGTTTGAGCAATTGGGATGCACATTCAATTGGCAGTCTTCAGGGCTGGCAGTCATCATGCTCGGTCTCATTCCCGTGGTATTATCGATTGCGTCGATAATGTATCTTGGTAAGCCCAACAGCTACACAAGATGCGCAGCTGATCATTCGGACAGTCTCTGTTGCTGCGACCCTTTGGAAACACAAACGCAACATGAGCCACCTCTTCGTATCGCACACCAGCATCACCCCGTCTCTCTATATTCGAATCTTGGCGTTTGGACTCATCCTCCTCATCGACTCCGGTATCTTCATCGGGAATCTGTTCCCGCCACCGACCGGATTTTATCCCGGCTGGAACGTCGTTCACGGGAACTGGTCTCCAGAAGCCATCCCTGCCGCGGAATGGCAAACGCAGTCTGTGGGTCGGCTGACAGTAGTCTGGAATGGCTGGATCAACGTGTGGTTAGCTGCCATAGTGTTCGGGCTGTTTGTAGTCTCCCGTAGTCAGACTCATGTCATGTCGCGCTGCTCCATTAGAGTCTGCTAGTCGACGCGACCCCTTGATTGCAGTTGAACCTTCGGCGGAATCGGAGCCCCGGCCGCCTTCGGACATATTGATGAACCAATCACAGCAAAGCACGTGCCGGTGCCGCCGCCGCTCGACTTGCGGAGAGCACGGCTGTCTGAGTTCCGTTCCCATGTAGACCGACGCTTCAGCATTGTCAGAGATGTGTAACGGTTTTCTGAGACTATTGCAGGGTCTTCCGACAGATATTTGCGAGCATTCGAGGCTCTAAGAGCACCATGGCCACTCGACCTCCCAAGAAATTCACTTAAGAAATTTGTATCTCTGTTTCATAGTTTGTACGGTCAAAATCGTGGACTAAACATCCTCAGACATGGGCAGCGGTGCCTATTTGTGCCACGAAACTGTTAGAACGCTACTGAAAATGGCAAACCACACGTAGGCAACGCGTCTGAGCGCGTCTTCGTAAAGTCACGAGCCTCTCACGTGCGCGCGTATTGCTGCCGAAGGTTCAACTGCCTTGCGCCCCTCGCATCGAGACACAGGCTAGCTGTTTGGCTTCACACATGACGCGCGCGATACTTACAAGCGAACCCTCCGCGGTGTACTCGGTTGGACCCGTACATCGCGCTCGCGACCGCATCCTGCGGCCCTCCCTCTTGTGCAGATGAATGGGCCCTGCGAGACTTCGAAAGTCAGGTGTGTCAGTATGTCATCAATCCCGTGGGAGACGCTCAGTATGTGCTCTCTAGTCTCGGGTCTTCTCTCGAGACGACCCGCAACACGAATCCAACAGCCATGAGTGTAGATCTGACGACGATTGAGATCGCAGTGACTGTTGAGCAGCACACGAACGAGGACGTCGATAGTCAGATAGAGTCAGACATCGAACGCGAGAGAAGTGATGAGAAGACGGGACAGGAGATGTGATAGAACGAGTGGGCAAACGGGATGGGAGGCTTCTGTCTGTACAATAGCATGCAGCAATTGTTATGTGATAATTCATGCCACGTTCTTTCCTTCGCCAGCAGGTGCGGCCTCGAGAGCCACACCTAGTCAGGTCGTCAGGTCGGCATTTCCGTCAGATAGACATGGACGAACGTCCGGCTTGTAAACTTCGCGGTCTATATCATATTCGCCGCGGTTCTCGTGGCGATTTATGCCATCGCACCCGAGCCAACAGCACGCGCGTACATATAGCGTTCACCAACCTGCAAAGGCTCGACTGATGCTATTCTTGGCGAAGCTGCAGCGAACCGATGATCGACCGCAAATTACGCTAGCGGGGCCGTAAATCGTGTCGCCATCCATATACCGTCCAAACGCCATACACCACGAGACAAAGCGACAGCGTCTAATGCATACCGCCGATGCGGTAGCGACGGCCGGCCATGAAGAAGCGCCTTCCACGCCAAGTGCGCAGCATGAACCGAGCGAAACAAATAATATTCTAATCAAGCGAGTCTACTTGACGAGAAGCATCGGGAAGTACGCGTACTTCTCATGCGGCGCATCCTCCGCACGCTCGGGTACCCAGCGCTTGAAGGCGTTGGGCGGCAATGGAGGAAGCTTGCTCTCGGTGAACACCTTCTTGCCGTTGCTTCCCAATTGCTGGATGGCCTGAGCCAGCTCAGAGGGCCCCTCGGACGTCGCTGGTACAGACGCCTTGTCCGCTCCTGGTGCGGCGACCCTGCCCGTGGATACGAATGTCAGTCAGCATTCATGAAAAGCGTAAGTTATTTGACGTACGCATCAGCGCCTGAGTGCTGGATGAGAAGCGTGGACAAATTCGACTGTGTGACGACGGAAAGCTGGGGGTATGCACGGCGAACGTCGCGTTTCCAGTACGGGTTCTGTGCCGGGTCAGACGCTGAAGAGTTACAATATTAGGTCTGATTCTTTGAACGAGAATCAGAGTACACACCCTTGGTAGCAGGCGTCGAATATTTCTCCGGGCGAGATCCAGGTTGAGGGTTGCGGTGAGCGGTTGGCAGCGGGAGACCGCTCGAGATGCTCGGGTTCAACGCGACAGTCTCATCTATTATTCGTTCAAAATCACATTCCAGCTCAGATATCATCATAACGCACGGAGCTTCTTCCAGAAGCCCTTTGGGCTGACGTGGTAGAGGGTGTGGTCTGCGACCTTCTTGGTGGCCATGGTGAACAACCGCGGCAGCGTTGGTGCGCGCGCTCGAGCGCGGCGCCGCGGTTCTTTCCGAAATTACATTATTTCGTCGCGAATTTCCATTTTCGGATTATTGCCACGGCCAAGTTGCGCAGCTTGCCTCTCGCCACCACGTTGACAGGGCGCTGAACGATACCTTGAATATGTTTCGGCCCGTATGCATAAGTAGCGTGTGTAGTGTTTCGTGACGGACTCCTTTCACCGATCCTATCCGAATCCTTCAGACGTAAGAGGTGAGCGTCCAAACATAATGAACGGCGGACCAGCGTCGGCGTTGGGAGTAGGCCTGCTCCCGGTTTCAGTCCGACCGATGTCGCCATATGTTCGACCTCCTCTCGCCATAGCCTTCGCTTGCACATAACGTGCTCAGCTGAGGTGCTTCCGATGCGATATTGTGCTCCTCTCTCGTCGTCGGCAACGCTGGTATATAGGCCACCCTTCCCCGCAATGGCCGATCCCTCACTGCCATTCCGAATTCACTGCCTGCGCACTCCTGACACTAGAACTTTCCTGGAGTATCATGACCTATCAACCAACCAAAGCTAGCGTATCTCTTGATGTTACCGGCATTGACGGTGTAGAACCTTCGTCTGGTCCGGCTTCTCCGCTGGCATCATCAGAAGCCTCGTCCTCAACAGCCCGCGACCCGCATACCCTCCCGGTCTTCTCCAAGACCAGCCCACCAAAACGGCCTATCCTCTACCTGCCGCCTCTGCTATCGTCGCTCCCGCATGAGCACGAGCATCACCACGACCACCAGCATGACGACGAGTCGCCAGTAGTGCACACGACCACTCGGCTGCCGGACATAGACCCTGCCTCACTCTCTCTGCACAAGGCTTTGCATGGCTTCTCGCCCGCTACGGAGCGTTACGCGGACACGTCGTACGCTGAGGCGTTCAACTGGGACGAACTTCAATTGCCGGAGGATGAGGAGCGCGAGTGGTACTGCGTCGCCTTCCGTAGCAAACGTCTCGTAGGTAGCGAGAACGCACGTACGTCTCTCCTCCATGTAAACCCATGCTTCCTCATCTCAACGTCCGTTGCAGCTCTCTACGACGCCGACCGCCTCGCACACGAGGAGGCTATCCGTAACGGCGGTCTCATCCTTTATTGGTACGGCACACCCGACCAGGAGACGGGGCTCAACCTCGCGACGTGCATCTGGCAAAGTCGGGCTCACGCTATCGCGGCCAACTCGCGCCCGCACCACATCAAGGCTATGCGCTTAGCTGCAGCTAGCTACGAGCGCTACGACCTCGAGCGTTGGCGCTTGGTCAAGGAGCGCGGCGAGCGCGGGGTCAAAGTACAAGAGTACACCGGTGGCGATGTCGGCTGGTAGATGGCTACCATTTTCCTTTCTTCGAAATGTTGGGTCTGAGGGGTGGATTGAATCTTTGAGGCGCTTTCAAATTGCTGTCAGTTGTCGGACTCTCTCGGACGTTTGAAACACGGTATAGTACCTAGACGCAACATCATACCCGTATCTACGAAAGTAGCCCGTATAACAGGCGTATAATAATACAGCATAAGGTTGTCACTCTCTGTCGAGCGCGAGCAAGAAAGTAGTATGATACGATGAAGCAGTAATATTGCAACAAGAAAGACGTGTCCGTCCGTATCACGCAGTCCATGACTCGATACTATCGTGCTCAGAGCCCCGCGACCCACGGCGCTGACTGGGCTCATAGTCATACTCCTCCACCGGCTCAACATGGACTTCATCTCCGCCAGTGGCCTCCACTTCCTTGTCCGCCTGCGACACATCCTCGTACGCGTCATCATCGGCATCGGTAGGTGTTCTCAACGGCGAGATGTATATCCCCGGTGCAGGGGCGAATGCAGGGGTGGGAGGTTCGGGAGTGGCGACGCGCGGCGCGACATCGTGTCTTTCCTGCGGCGTTCGCGGCTGACCTGACGATGGCGCAACCGTCGGACCCGCCGTGTACCGACGCGGGGTGACGACCTCCCACTCGTCACCACCAGTCTGGGCAGGTTCTTCGGGGTTCGTAGCGCTCGGGGCTGCAGAAGAAGTGTTCCTTGCAGGAGAGCCAGCCTCTGAGGAAGACTGAAGCATACGCTGCAAACGCCGTACGTGCGCGTCAAGATCGTCGCTCGACGGCGGCGAAGATAAGCCAGACGAGTTCGGCTGCTCATGAGTGGGCGCAGCCAGGGTCTCCAACTTTCCCTCTTCGTGTGGTCTGAATGTTTCGGCGAAGATCGGTGCAGGTGGGGAAGTAAGAGGCGCCCGCTGTGGACGAAAGATCGGGCCAGGCGTCCAGCGGAAGTCGAGCTGCGACAAGTCTACAGGAGGCGGAGAGCGTGTGCGCCGCTCAACCGAAGGCGAGACGAAAGAAACGATAGAGAGAGAAGAGTCCCGTCGACTGTAGCGAGGAGCTGGTGGTGGAGGGTCGAGCGATTGACGGAGAGGGGGCACCGGAGTTACAAAGCGATGAGAGGACGGAGGAAGAGGAAGGCTTGATGATTCTTCGTGAAGGGCGACAGGCGGTACATGGTTTCTGGGAGATGAGGAGAAAGCAAAGACGTCCTCATCGTCTTCCAAAAGTATGGGAGGTTCGCTAGCCAACGATAGAGTACCTCCTCTCTCAACAACAGGAGTAACGGGTGGCAAAGACCAACCACCGCTAGGTGATGGTGCAATGTTGCGCGCGGCAGCATACGTATCGCCTTCTTGTGAATCCTGCTGGAAGGGCCCATCGGCAGGAGACATGTGCGTGGGTGATCGGAAGCGAAAAGGGCGCTCTGCATGGTTAGAGGTGGACCCATGGGCAAACGTAGAATCGGGCTCCTCGATGATCCCGTCTAGTTCAGAGTCGACGAGCGATACGTTTGGTGAATTCGTACGAGTAGCGGGGCTGTATTCTGGGTCTCTTGTGTGCTCAAGGTGAGCCTGAGGTTGCGGATGTTGGTCAGTCAACCTGAGAGCAGGCGCCGAGGGCGAGTCTTCAGGATGGACGTAGAAAGCAGTTTGTGTGTCTTGAGCTGCATATAGTCCATCCACGACTGAGCCCTCCCGAGAGTTGAAGTCGGGGGTGAGATTTGAGGGTGCATATACGTGATCACCTCCAGGGATAATCGGAGAGATTGCTTCAGGCGCCGCCGGCGGGGGATGAAAAGCGAAGGGGGTTTCATCGGAAGGTGCAATGAGAGCGGACTTTGGAGTGGAAGAAGAAGCTTTTTCCAACCCAGGGACCAGACGACGCAGAGGATGTTGAGGTTGTAAGCCGCATAGAGTGTGAGTCAACCAGGAAGGCATATTGGCAGCAATCGTCAGCTATATGCGCCTTGAGAGACCAATTATCTCATGATAAAATCCATATGCTGACCTCGGACCCACTATCTGACAACATAGATGATGCACTGTTGTCCTGAAGCTTGATCATCGAGAAGTTCCTACCAACCGACGTGCTACGCGGAGTTTCTGGCGCGGGCGGATCGCTGGATGAACCGGACGTAGACTCTCGTTTCCTTCTTTTCGATGCCGGCACAGGATGAGTGCTTGATCGAGAGACCATGTTCACGGAGTCCATCATACGGTCAAATCGTTCGTTGAGATTCGCGCCGCGGCGTTTGCGCTTGAGCGAGATGCCGATAGGGATGGGGGAGGCTTCAACTTTGCCGGGTTTAGCATCTGGTCCTAGCTCATCACAAGATCCAAGATCTGACACGTACTCATTTGACCGGTGTGCGTAGACGCGATGTTCGACGCCCTGATATAGACTGAGAATCCGCGCGCGGAGAACTGTGACCAGTCGACGCACCGACCGTTCTTCATACCTGCGAGGCCTTCCCGCCCAGTATAGCCACCCTGAAGGTGCCATAGTGCGTTTGCCATAGCATAGGGGCACAAGGACCGGGGGTCAGGAAACAGAAGATGCGGGAATTGAGCAAGCCGCGCACAATGCGACGCGACTGAGACGCGTTTGACGCGTCGAGGTCACGATGCTCTCGCCATGCGGATTTCGGTCCGCGCCGCCGACATGCAGACAGTCCGCTTGTGGACTGTTGCGTCTTGCTGTTGCTCGTTCACATGTTCACACATTGTTCACACATATATGTATCCAGAGAACGTGACCATCAATTCTTCCTCCCTTAAAGAGATGTACCACACGCGAACAAAAGAGCCAAAGAATGTGAAAGAGCCGTTTACACAACGCTCTGGGACGCCGCGCCAGCACTCTTCTTGTCAGTCGCGATGTTCGTGGTGAGCTTCTTCCTGCAAACACGAGTCAGTACGGTATCAAGCGGGAATGGCACAGGAGAAAACGTACTGCTCCGCAGCGAGCGAGCTCTCGAGGTCCGAGGTGTCATCGCCCTTGGCCTGAGCCTGCGCGATCTTGATGTTGATGCCTTGCACCTCGCCAGTCAACTTGAGGACCTTGTTCTTGATCTTGCCGACCTGGAGAGCATCGGCTGCATCGCAAGTGAGCACTTGGTCTAGTCGACGAAATACGGCGACATACCATCAGCACCAGTGGCGGCGTCGATGGCCGGGTTGAACTGAGAAGTCTCCGCGTCCTCAGCCGCCTCGCGCATCGTCTGGATGGCATCGAGGACGTCGGCAGAGACCGTGGAGAGGTCAACGTTAGCGAAGGGATCGACAAAGACGGCGTTAGCCTCCGCCTCGGCATTACCAGCGACACCGTCGGAGATCTGGAAGTCGGCGTAGCTACAAAGGGAACCTAGTCAGCGTCGCCCATGACCGAAGGGAAGGAGTTTCGACGTACTCAAGGGCCTGGAAGTTCGCGGCGGTCTGCGTCGCAGCCGTCGAGGTCGAAGCCGAAGCCGACGAGGAAGCCGCAGCAGCCGAGGCCGTGGCAGCCGGAGCAGTAGCGCAAGCGGCGGCGGAAGCCGAGGCAGCGGCCTTCTCAGCGCTGGTACGGCGCCTCTCGAGGGGTGCACCGGAGACGGAAGCGATGAGCGCAGAAGCGAAAAGAGCGAGGACAGCGAAGCGGGCCATTGTTATCGAAGAGTAGTTGGTGTTAAAGAAGTTCGAGTAAGGCGATGGAAAAGAAGGGAGCACTAGGCTTCGGGCTGAACGACGAGTACTAGAGATTGAACTTGTTGTGAAGGAGAGCGGCTGTGCGTAGACCTCAGGTCGCGCGAAGTAGAGCAAAAAGGAAGGATGAAAAGGAAGGTAAAGAGGTCAACGTTCACTGGCTGGCACCTGGCACAGGAAGGTGAAGAACTCATTTCCGAGGAGCGAGCGATGTTTTATAGACCGCGGCCTGGCGGTTGGCACGCGGGCCAGTGCCAAGAACGATATCACCTCCATGGCAACTGTGCCTCGTACCAGAAGGGCCTGAACGAGGTTCAGAGAAGCCGCTCCCGTCGGCGGTTGGGTGAGCGGTGCCGGACTTCACTTTGTCCTGAGAGATAGATCCTCATCATAGTAACTCGAAGACAATCCAGATGTGAAGTCTATACACGGTAGACAGTAAATGAAAGTGCTCTCAGCGAGCCCACCCACAAGCGCAGCGAGACCTTCACGTCCGAGCCAGTCCGACCATATGCTCAACAAAGCCTCCGAGCGTCGTAATTGCGAAGGCCCGTCACCGCGAGGCTTCCCAAGGGAACGCAGATCGGGCGGACACCGGATGGGATGATCCAATACACTGGATCCATCGAGCTCGACGACCATCATATCTTGTTCCGAGACTGGGCCGCCGCGGGCCGTCGAGGGACCCTTGTTCAGCGTTGTTCAGCAGAGCAACGAACCCAAGACAACCCCAAAGGGTGGAAGAAGTATTCAAGCTGCTTGAGATTTCGATGCACCCAGAGAAACGAGTAGTAGCGTAAGGCCATGTATGGCTAAGGAGGTATACAACACAGTGCAGATGAGTGATATGAGGACAGCGGCATGCAGGGGGTATTAGAGCTTGGAGAGTTTGCATATCTGAAGGGACGCGGATTGTTCGGGATGCGGCATATGCATAGCAAAGTATTCAAAAGAGCTGAGGATAAATAGGTAGGGTGTCGCAAAGGTCGCCGAAGCGGCCTGTCATGTCGGGGGCCACGAGCTCGACTGTTCAGATGCCCGAGATCTCCACGCGCGCTGAAAGGCGGAGGAGACCGAAGACATCGTGGTGTGCACGACTCGAGAGGTATAAGCCATCTTGCTTTGCTGCTCGCCGGGTCGGTCAGGATTGAGGTACAGAGCAGGGTGGAAAGGGTCGTAGTAGGTAGAGAGAAAGGTGTCGCGGGCGTGTCGGTGGGAGAGGCGGTATATGTACAAAGCAAGGAAGCATTGGGCGAAGAAGATGGTGAAGGATATCAGGAGTAACTGGCGGGCAGATAGCGAGGCCTTGGGCTAAACAGTACATATGAGCAAACTCATCAATCGACGAGGACGAGCGAAAGGTACTCACAATCAACCTCGACCACAACGAGCCCTTCGTCTTGCCCTTCTGCTGTTGAGCTTGACGAAGGGAAGCGGCCAGCCGGTCACGATTTTCCCTCGCCGCCCGGGAGATCTCGTGGTAGTGCGCTAAACGTGCATCATCCATGCGCTCATCTGAGCTATCAATGTCGGCGCTATCCAACCCTTCACGAAGCTCTGTCACAGCGCGACGCATGCGCTCGATGGCCTGCGAGCGAGTCATACGCGTCTCGGTGATCGTCGAGTCCGAGCCGGGCTCGTCGTCCTCGACTTCGCGACCCATAGCGTCGAGCATACGGACTGAGCTCTTGCTTCGTGGCGTCTGCAGTGTACCGCCGGGCATGCGCAATGAGCGCTCGCGCTCCTTGACAGCCTGCTGTTGCTGACGAATCCGTTCCTTCTCCTGCTCCCGCTCCCGCTGACGCTCCGCCTCCCGTTCTCTCTCCCGCTCGCGTTCACGCTCCCTCTCCTCCTGCTTCGCCCTCTCCTTCTCCAGCTTAGCCGCCTTAGCCTTCTCCTTAGCAGCCTCCTTCTCCTGCACAGCCGCCGCCTCCGGATCCCTACTCTTCTCCCTCCCATACTCATCCAACAACCTCACGCTAGGCGACTTGCGCACCTTCTTCTCCCTCTCCGACGCAGGAGCAGGCGTAGACGGCTCCTGATTCTCTTTTGCCGCGGGTGACGACGACACGACGCCCGCGAAAGACGGTTCAGAGAGCGAGCCGTCCGCCACGGCGTCTCCCCACTGCTCGCTGCCGTTCACATTCGAAGGCGTGTTGACCACGCTCCACGAGGCATCGAACACCGGCGCCGGAAGCGGCATCGACGATAATGACAACGACACATCCTCGCGCTCGGTCTCATCTCCTGCGTCTTCCTGCACCTCGCTCTCACTCGTACTCGGCCCAGGAGCCTCGAACCGGACCTTCATCACGCTCTTCCGCTTATCCGTCGCAGGTACACCATTCGGAGCAGGTGTATTGATCCATCCTCCGGGCGGCGCAGGTGTGCGTGTCGGGAGCGTACTTGCACGATTGAGCGCCGCAGGTGTCTTCAGAACTCCTTTCGTAGGCTCGGCAGGGCTGCCGGTCGAGTTTGAGCGTGCGCGGCCATTGGTATGTTGAGAGGGCGGCTCGGTCGATGCGGAACGTGCAGGCGCAGGCGCGGGTGTAGAGATCCATCCACCCGGCGGCCGTGGTGTCTTCATGAGCGAGAAGTTCGGCTGTGTCGGTGGTGGAGCGGGTTCCTCTTCGTCGTCCGAAGGCGGTGGCGGAAGATCAGGGAGACCCTTCGACGGAGAGGGCGATGGCGGTCTCGGCGCGGGCGTGTGGAAGAGCGATGGTCGGCGAGGGGGAGTCATGAGGTCTGAGAAGGATGTTGGTTGTGCGGGTGGAGGTGTAGAGGGCGATGAAGGGGCTTCGGAGTCCTGTTCGGGGTCAACAAAGGCTGGTGTTGTATCGGGCGTAGTCGATGCCGCCAGTGGCTCGTGGAGTGACTCCTCCTCTCTCGAGGACTCGGCCTCGGACTGAGGTTGACCTTCGTACTCGGCCTCAGATACCGGCTCAGGTTCAGGTTCGGACTCGAATGTAGAAGCGGGTTCGGCCTGCGTAGGCGTAGGCGCCTCGCTTCCACTAACCTCCTCCACCTCCGGAATATGCACCGGCCTCAACACCGGCGTGCTACCGTCCTCATCACTCTCCCTCAACGGCTCAAGACCCCCACCAGACGGATCAAGGTGTTGCCCATCGTCGCTATACCCCTCGTCCTCAAGCGACGCCCGCACCTCATCTTCGTCCTCCGGGTCGCTCTCCTCCACGACGATCCTAGGCGGGATCGCACCATTCGCCTCCGCGAACTCCGTGCCCGCCCTCTTGTGACCTCTTCGGAAGATGCTCGATGGAGGCTCCTCAGCGGGCGTGCCAGGTACTGCCCTCTCCGCGCGTGGGATCCTGCTGGGTGAACGCACAGGAATGTGACTCGCGCCGCGGCTGGATGTATGAACAGGCGATGGCGAGCGCGACGACATGCTCTCAGTCTCGACATCGCTATCCTGCACGGACGAGGCCGCGCCTTTACGAGGGAAGGACCAACTCTTGATGGAGCTCAACCCGGGCTTTGGTATCCCCGTCGGCTTCGCGATCCCCGAAGCAGGATCCTTGCGCTGATGCAGAGCAGGCGATTCCCTCCCATTGGTCTTGCTGGCCGAGCCATTGACTCTTGCCAGCGCCTCCTTTGCCGCGCCCCTTGCAGGTGCACTCTCCCTCCTTCCCAGTGGCCGTGGTGGGCTGGGACTGGGCGGAGCAGGCCACGTCGGCGGACTGACACCCAACGACGAGTTACTCCTCGACCCTCCGGCGCGTGGAGGCGTAGGGCCCGGGCTTATGGGTTTGTTCGGAAAACTTTGTGTCCGTACACGCGCGTGCGACGGTGAAGGACGCGGTGATGGCGCAGGACGCGATCCAGGTGAAGGTGAGGGGGGCGGTAGAGGTGACATGCTCCTTCGAGAGGCGTGTATAGATGACGCAGACCAGTTCGGCGTATGCGAACCCCAGTTCCGTTCGCGTAGATGTTGCTTGTCGGAGCTGTCGGGTGGCGGTACGGGCGAAGACGCTCGCGAACTCGGTCGATCGGGCGTTTGCGCGCTTAAGAGCGAGCTTGCTCGTGGACGTGCAGATGAGGAAGGGGTGGGAGGTAAAGGTGAAAGCGAACGGCGAGGCGGAGGGCGATTCCAGTTCGGTGACGGGTTATTCCAGTTGTGCTCCCGAATACGCTCTTGTTCGGGGTCGGGAGTGCTCGGGCGGGAGTGAGTGGAGATGGACGAGTTCGTTGACAACGCCGAGCTCGGTCGGCGGGCGTGTGTCAGAGATGATGTGCTGTGCGTACGGGAGCGAGGTGGAAGCGTGTGGTGTTGGGAGGGCGAGCCCGGAGAGCCAATATCACCGCTTAGCGTACGCGTTCGGCTATGTGTCCACTCGGGCCGAGGGTTATTCCAGTTGAACTCGCGTTCGTGGATCTCCTCTGGGTCGGGAGTAGGCGCTCGTGAAGAGTGTTGAGAGCGGTCGGGTGTGGAGTGGGTCGAGTTGGAGGAGAGAGAAGAGCCGGAGCGGGGAGGGAAGCTGAGTCGCTGTCGGAGGTACGCAGATGCGGCGCTGCTATTCGGCCGGTTCCATGAACGCTCCCTTTCATGGTCATGCTCGGTCTTTTCGCCGTTTATCCGGTCTCTCACTGTTGTATGGTGTCAGTTCAGATCTCGTCCATACACATATAGAAGTTACGCACAGTCTCCCATTGAGCCGATTGATGAGCCTACTGAAAGATCACGTTCCCCCAGTGAGACAATGCTGCTGCGTCGAGAGCGAGGCCCAGGAAGTGCAGAGCCCGAATGCGAGTGAGAGTTGCGGTGATGTTGATGCCTATCCCTATCGGGTGTACTGGGTTGACTAGACGGCGCTAAGCTCTCCACATCGGCACTGTGTCGCCTTGACAGCTCCCCAGAGACTCTGCGTGAAGCGTTTCCCATCAACTGATTTTCCGTCAGAGATCCCGCCCGACCGAGCATAGCGAGCGGTCTGGTCGCCAATCCTGGACTTTTGGAAGGTCTTGCCGGCGGGAAAGATACTACATTCGACGATTAGTACGTGCTCAACACAACAAAAACCACACGTACTGGGACGTTCGTTCCGCGACGGCTCCATGTCAAAGCTGTCCATAGCGCCCATTGCCCGTTGCATTTCAGAATCCGCTTCCAATAGGTCTGGGTGCTTATGCATGAGAAATTATTTGGCTTGTTTAGCAGATGAACCTACCCGAATCATTGCGGGTATGCAGCCCAAACGCCATTGACCGCAGAGCAGTAGTATTCTGCGTATTGTTCGCGACCTGCGAAACTGCCGAATGGTCTCGCCCGTTCAGATTCCGCAGAAACTCGCCCGTATCTTCGCTTCCAATGTCCGTATTTCCATCGCCGTCCGACAAAGACATGTCAGAGGCAGATCCTGTCACCGTGTCAGATTCAAGCTCTTTGATAGCGTGCGAAGAGAGACTGACGGTCTGAATGATCCTCCGTGGGATGGCCCTTGGGGAACGAGTTTGCGAGTCTGTCCTGGAGAGCATGAAGCTCGGCAGCACGCGATCGGTTCGATGATTCTGCGCCCTTCATAGATTGAGCCTCCAGCAATACTGCTTGCACATTTAGAGTCGACTCCAAATGATCAGAATAAGCGCCCACGTACCAGAGACCTTGCCCGCCTCGTCGTCGCTGAGACTCTTCCGCTTGCCTCTGTGCCTCGCCCGCTCCTGTGCCACCCTCTCCACGTGCGGGCTGTCTGACATATCACTAGCATCGATGCTATTTCTCCTGCCGGGCGTCTTTCTGGGCGGGGTGTCCCTAAGGGCGCGGGAGAACAAGGACTGGACGGACTGGCGGTGGGAAGACGTGCTGGACGCGTTCCCACCGTTCCAGCGCGGCGGTGGCTCGAACTCGGACGTGTCTCCGGTGGTCACCGACGGCGCTTGTTCGTTCAACAGTTGGGTGGTGGATCCATCCCCGCCTCCTCTGACGAGCGAGCGCAGGCGGAGGATGTTCACGCTCCGGGTCGTGTCCGGCGACGGCAGCCGGTCTTTGGCGCCCAGGCGCGGCGTGGACTGGTCGTCGTCGGCAGTGTCCAAGAAGGGCGTCTTGGGGCCGAGCGCGTTGAGAGGCGATAGGCGCGACGGTCCGGCGACCGGCGTGGCGTCCCGCTGCTCAGAGCTGTACGACGACAGGCTCTGCCGCTGCAGCCGAAGCCGCGCGGGTAATAAATTGGCTGTCGGCGTGCTATCCATGGCGGCACTGGCCAGCCCAGATGAACGCGGCCAGGCGGACACGAGGGTTGGAGAAGAGTTGCACGTCCACGAGGCGAAGCGCGCCGTCTGACGCGCCGCGGACCGACAATTGAACAAGCGCCCATCTCCGTCCCCGCGCCTCTCCCTCAAACCACCATCACGCGCGTTCGCCACAACTGACAACGCATTGTCCCATCATTGCACCTCGTGAAGCATACATGCACCTTTGCGTATGCGTAGAAGGTTTTCCTACTGCTCTGTCTTGAGACACGGCTTCGCTCACGTTAGCTATCAAATACGGAGCTCCTCGTAATGCTTCCTCGACGTCCAATTCTACTTCTCGAATCCGTGGCTGCCTTATCCTCAAGCCCGTTGAGGCACATTCTCAAGCCCGTGTACTCCGCGGTGGCGCATCATGTAGTGTCCTACGGCATGACCTAGTCACTGGTCGAAGATGTCTGCTCACCTGCTCTCAAGTCGTACAGTAATAAGCTGCATAACCAACATCTTCGTCGGCCCTCAAGGCTACGGTTGAGCATTCAACATGCGATCGTTCTTGATCCTCTTCGGCATCATTCATGCCTTCGCATCTCCTCTAGCTGCGCCCATCGTCAACCTCGACATCGGGGCCTTTCGTGGTTCGAGTGACAATGGCAGCGACGTCTTCCTTGGGGTCCCATACGCCCAACCACCTGTAGGACGTCTGCGCTTCGTAACACCTCAGGCGATTACTACGAGGACAAGCGGCATACGCAATGCTCTACAGTTCGGTAACGCATGCCCACAACCACCCGATGATGAGGATCTGGGGGCACCGGTCGGCGAGGACTGTCTGTTCTTGAACGTATGTCGTCGGACTCATCGTACATGGTTCTACTTACGAGTACACCCTCATATAGGTATGGCGACCCGAGGGCACGAAAGAGGGCGCCGACTTGCCTGTACTCATGTGGATCCACGGCGGTATGTTCGTTGAGGGCGCAGGGTCAGATCCTACTACCCGCGGCGAACGTGCGTGTCTCTCTTTCCTATGCGATGCCAGACCATATACTGATAGAATCTATATAGACATCGTCGGGCGCAGCGTAGACATTGGCAAGCCCATCATATTCGTGTCCATGTGAGTGATCCAACTACCCGTCCGGTGCATTACTCGTTCGCTGATCACCACCATAGCAACTATCGCCTGAACACATTCGGCTTTGTGAGCGACTTTCTGATGTGGCTCTCACAGACGCTGACTGTGACGATCAGCTCGCCAGTACCCATGTACCTGTTCAAGACTTGAATGCCGGGCTGCAAGACCAGGCCGCGGCTCTCAAGTTTTTACAAAAGAATCTTCGCAGCTTCGGTGGCGATCCCGAGAAGGTAAGTGTCACGACTGAACGCACACACTTCCTATCTCACGTGAACTTTTTACTTGCTTTAGGTGACGATCTGGGGCCAGGTTCGCTGCTTTCTATGAGCTTTGCGAGTCGCTCGTCTGATGTCCATACCCCTAAACAGTCTGCCGGAGCAGGCAGTGTGGCATCGCAGATCATCTACGGCCCTTCTGGACTCTTCCGAGCGGGGATCATGGATTCGGATACCGGACCATTGTATAGTTTCTTCTTTTTGCGAAGAAACACCAATCGACTGACTAGTGTCGTATAGCAAGAACTCGCCGCCGCCGAGCACGTATGATCTCCCCGGCTTTCCCTTTGACGTGACGGCCAGGGAAGTGGGTTGTACCCCAGGCCCGGCCGTTTTCGAGTGCTTGCAGAAGGCACCCTTCGAGGTATGTGTTCAAATAATCTGGGATTGTGAATTCGCCACACTGATACCGCTACTTTCCGGCAGACATTGTTGAATGTCAGCAACACCCATCAGTTGGCGACGCTCAATCAGCAGTTCTGGCAACCGACGCCCGCGCCGGGTAACTTCATCAACGAGCGCGCATCAACTAGAATAGTCGCCGGGCAATTCTTGGATGTACCCATGATCATTGGCACCAACGTGAGTCGTGCAGCTCATCCCGCCTTCCGATCCTTGTAGCTGATCACATATACGCAGCTGAACGAGGGAACCACCTTCTCGACGTCTCTACTCGGCCAGAATCTGACCGGAACCGCACAACTCAACGCCTTCGACGGTTTCGTGAGAGCATCCGCGATCGACTCGAGCAAGATCACCTCCGATGTTTTATCCCGCATTCACCAGCTTTACCCCGCTTCGCCGCCCAGTCTTCCGCATGCCACAGGCGACGAGCTATTCGACCGCGCAGCGGCATGGTACGGAGACAACATGTTCCTCGCCGCGCGTCGTCGCTTCGTCGACGCTGCGAGCAAGAAACAGAACGTATGGGCGTACCACTTCCGGGAGCTTGTACCAGGAAACGATCCGACACTGGGCGTGTTCCATTCTTCTGAACTTAACTTGCTCTTTGGGTCTGCTGCGACGGGCATCGAGAAAGACTTTGCTGATACTTATCTCGACTTCTATATCAACTTTGTCCATGATCTCAACCCTGGCGGTTCGTTGTCTTTGTGCTATGACTTTCATGGAGGCTCATACATACTCACAGCGAGTTGGCAACGATTCACGCCAGACAGGCAGGCTGTGATTCAACTCAAGCGGGACAATGTCACTATGATACCAGACGGTAAGTCGCACACCTTATATGAATCGAAAGGCGTGCTCATGTCGATTCAATGCAGACTTCCGCACGGAGTTCACATCCTTTGAGAACCTGCCTGAGTTATTGAACGAGTGGGAGAAATGAGGTCCAGAACGTACCCATACGTCAGAAGGGCGCCTTGTATATCTGCTCTACATCGGGCAACTCGTCGTCCGTGCGGTACATACAAGCTCAAAAAGGCAGAGAAATAAGCATTCTGGTTCTACAGATCCCACACGTAGAGGGCGGCGATAAGTTCGGCATGCCGTCTCCGGCAGTTCCAGCTAAATGATACCCAGAGTTGCGAGGACGCACGGTGGATAGGAAGCGCGCGCCGTATGCCGCGGCCGGTCCGAGTGACCCGAATAAGCTCCTGCGCGTCTCTTCTTCGAACCACCATCATGGTCCTGCATGTCAACCAGAATGACGATCGACTTCTTACTCTGGAGCAGCGCACCGCGATAAATCCAGGTCCTGAATCGTCATCATTTGCTCCCATTTGCGAGAGGATTGAATGGTACAGCTACGCAAGGTCGCTGATGCATGGATACCGACGAACGAAGTCGATGCCGCTGACGTCGACAGCAGAACGACTACAGGTCACGATCATCCTCAGACTCGTGCCACTTGCCGCGGCGCAATGCGCCTGCTGTCATATCTTTAGAGCTGTCCTGCAGCGGCTATCTTGAGACGCGGCTTCTCGAACACGTACTGGGGCCGCTCTTGCAGCGCTTCCTAGCTATCAACATTCTTGCTGGGGCGCCCGGATACCTCATCCCTGTCCGCACCTAGGCACATTCTCAAGCCCGTGTGCTCCGCGGCGGCGAATGCTGCAACATCTTGCTGCATGACCTGGTCACTGGTCGAGAGACGGCCACTCAACTGCCTTCGAACCGTGCAGTAATAAGCCGCGCACTCAATGCCTTCGCCGATCCTCGTAGCTGCGGTTCAGCTATGTTATCAGCCAAAATGCGCTCACTATCCTTCCTCCTCAGTCTGCCGCATGTCTTCGCTTCACCTCTCGCCGCACCGGTTGTGGACCTCGACATAGGACCCTTCCGCGGCTCAATCTCGAATGGTACCGACGTCTTCCTCGGTATCCCGTATGCCCAACCTCCTGTCGGGCGCCTACGCTTTGTAGCTCCTCAGGCCATCACCACAAAGACAAGCACTATCCGTGACGCGACACAATACGGCGACGCGTGCCCGCAGCCACCCAGCGATGGGTTGGGCGCCCCCGTCGGCGAGGATTGTCTATTCTTGAACGTGGGCTCCTCATTTCTTGCCGGATAGGGCTTCTTCACTCACATCGCTCTAGGTGTGGCGTCCCGAGGGCGCACATGAAGGGGACGACCTGCCCGTGCTTGTGTGGATCCACGGCGGTGCGTTCGTTCAAGGTGCTGCATCAGATCCAGGCACTCGTGGCGAGCGTGAGTGGACCAACTTCTCATACGCCGTGATATATCATATACGGACTGACTGGTGCTCGCAGATATTGTTGGGCGGAGTGTCGAGACTGGCAAACCCATTATGTTCGTTTCCATGTAAGCGTCATCTGCAGTGGATGTCACCATCGAGTAACGGCTCACGGTGCTACAGCAGCTACCGTCTGAACACTTTCGGCTTTGTGAGCGATCTCATTCGTATACGACTTCGATTTGGCGCCTTCTCACCTTCCCGCACAGCTTGCAAGTTCCCACGTTCCAGTTCAGGACCTAAACGCCGGACTTCAAGACCAATCTGCAGCTCTGAAGTTCCTTCAAAAGAATCTACGCAATCTCGGTGGCGATCCCGAGAAGGCCAGTACATCACGACTCGAGCATAAGTGCTAGCAAGCTTACCCAATCAACATGTAGGTCACGATTTGGGGTCAGGTCTGTGGACTTGCTCGGCATTATCAACCCTTCATTGACTATTACACATGTCTACCAGTCTGCTGGAGCAGGCGGTGTAGCCACGCAGGTCATCTTTGGGCCTTCTGGATTGTTCCGCGCGGCAATCATGGACTCAGATACTGGGCCATTGTAAGCACCTTCGATACTTCATTGAAGGAGGCTCTCATGAACTAGTCGTTGTACAGCAAGAGCTCGCCCCCGCCAAGTACCTACGATCTCCCTGGCTTTCCATTCGATACGGTCTCCAGAGAGGTAGGGTGCACGCCGGGTGCATCTGTCTTCGGGTGTCTGCAGAGTGTACCCTTTGAGGTATGTGATCGTGAGATCGGCTGTGCATATGCCCTTCTCGCTCGCCTGATGTCGTTGTCTATAGACTCTACTGAACGTCAGCAACACGCATCAACAAGCAACACTCAATTCACAGTTCTGGCAGCCTACACACGCACCTGGTGGCTTCGTTAACGAGCGCCCGTCCTCGAGAATCGCGGCCGGGCAGTTCTTGAATGTTCCCATGATCATCGGGACCAATGTCAGTCGCATGGCACTTGCCTTATTGAGGTGTTGCTCATCCATTTGTGCAGCTGAATGAGGGCTCGACCTTCTCGTCGTCATTGCGCGGCCTCAACTTGACAGGCACAGCCCAACTCAACGCATTCGATGGTTTCGTGAAAGGGTCAGCAATCGACTCGAGCAAGATCACGTCCGATGTCCTATCCCGCATTCACCAACTCTACCCTGCTTCGCCTCCCAGCCTGCCGCACGCGACTGGCGATGAACTCTTCGACCGCGCAGCGGCGTGGTATGGCGATAACATGTTCCTCGCGGCTCGCCGCCGTTTTGTCGACGCCGCCATCAAGAAGCAGAACGTGTGGGCGTATCAGTTCAGGGAGCTCATTCCTGGGAACGACCCGAGTCTCGGCGTATTTCATGCCTCCGAGCTGCCGTTACTCTTTGGGTCTGCTGCGACTGGCGTCGAGAAGGAGTTTGCTGATACTTATCTCGACTTCTACATCAACTTCATCCACGGGTTGAACCCCGGAGGTGCGTTGCCCGCACATACTCAGAGGTTGTCTCTTTTTGATTCACTCGTGCAGAGAGCTGGCCACGCTTTACGGCTGAGCACAGCGTCGTCTTGCAACTCATGCGAGACAATGTCACGGCGATACCAGACGGTCAGTGACGTAACATATGTCTGAGGAGGGTTCACGCTGATCTTTGCTTTATAAGATTTCAGAACTGAGCTCACGTCCTTTGAGAACCTACCGGAACTGTTGGACGAGTGGCAGAAATGAGAGTAGTCACTCAAGACTCGTTCATGGTCCAGGTTGTGGCCCGTACACGACCTCAAGGTGGAGGCACTCCGCCCCATGTACGTCTTCGGTGTACTACGCACACTACATCATTGGCATAACCTATTTGGCTTTGACATCACACCCCACTGGTGTCCATGACGCGGCGTATACTCAAGAGGCAAATGTGGCTCATGACAAGAAGAGGCAAGCCGCATGGTCGCGATCACGACTTCCTACAGTACCCACGTAGAGCTCTGAACCGGGCCACTCTATTGAGCTTTGACGTCGCTTAGCTGTGAGGTACTCCACCTGAGATACGTAGATGGTCCAGCAGGGCACGGCGAACGTGCGTCAATAGTCGAGGGACATCAAACACGATCACGTGTGTATTCTCTTGGGACGAACGCGCTACGCCATCCTCAAGAGAGGGTCGGACACCCCAGGCACTCCAAGATCCGACACGGGATCCGTCACTAAAGCAAGGACCGCCTCTCTTCGATCTCTTACGATAGCGTACCTAGAACGTATCCAAAGCAGGCCTCGACCATCAGAACTTGGCGCCGGAACTCTCTGGCATCTACAGCGCCAGTGATGGAACCTGACCATACACTCGGTGGGAGGCAACGCACACTTTTACGACCAAAGACGCAAGCCAAAGTACGTTGTTGTAGGGATGAGAAGCTGTATATAGCTTCTTCATACGTACGTGCGAGAGATCGAACGAGACAAAGCGCCCAAACGCTACACTCCCCAACCATCAAATGGCAACCCATGCAACCTATCACACCGCAAACAACATATCATTTTCCGTTCAGATTGGCACACGGCGATAGTGGAGCACTTGACCGACGATCATCAATAATCGTGCTCGCGGATGCTTACTCGATGTTTTGCGGTGCATCAATCCATGCCCGAGGGTGGTTGATTCGCGCGGGCATACATACACTGAGAGGTAGACCAGCGCCGGCCCAGAGCGCATATTATTACCACAGGCTCGCAATTAGATACAGTACAGACAACAGCGCGCTTCGGCGCGACATTGGCGGGGAGGCTGGTATCAAACAAAGAGAGACAGAGGAGGGAGCGTAGAAAGTGTATGTGACGAGGACACAGGAAGTGAAGCAAAGAGGAAAAGTGTATATCCAACGGGGACAAGCAGAGCATAGCAGGTGATAGAGAAACAGTCGACGTGAATCATCATCATCATCATGGCCCAGGACCGAAAGAGTTCAGCGCGGCCTGCCGTCGCTCGAAATCTTCATGCGAGTAGGCCGGCGGCGGGGCGTCGTATAGCGTTTCCGGCCTGGGCGAAGCCGCGGGTGCCGGTGTAGCCGGGTTAGAGGCTATGTTTAACCCCTCGACGGCTGCTACAGGGATCTCGGGCACGCTCGGGACCGGCACATCCGTATGTGCGGCGGCATACCCTGGCGGCGCCTTGAACAGTGTTGTTCTTCGTAGATCCGTTTCGACGCCTCTTGTCGAACTCGACATGCCGCTGAGGTTGGAAGGCGAGGGAGAGGAGGGTAGAGGCACGGGCGGCTGCGGTCTCACGCTTGCTATGAACCCTGGCGATTTGGATATTTGTCGATCTATGGGTTGTGATGCGGGCACCGGCGGTAACGGAAGCGGTGGTACCGGCAGGGCGCGCGATGGCGTTGACGGATATGGCGTCGAGCTCCCGGAGGATGATGGGGCATATGAACGCGAGGAGGTGGTGCGTTCCGCGAAAGCGGGAGAGATGGGGGAGGCTTGTGGCTCCCAAGCGCCAAGCGCAGGTGATGAGGATAATTGTCGTTGAGTTGGCTGTTGCGCCTGGGGTGGCGGTGTAGCATGCGCTGAACCCGATTGTTGTGACGTCGCGGGAGATGGCGAACGCGCGTGCATCTGCTGGGTGGCGGTGACTCTGGAAGGTGGGCCTAGAGGCCCGCCAAACTCGTATGCCAGAGGCGGTATCTGCGGCACTGGCGGTATTTGAGGCACAGGAGGTACGGGGAGATCCCGTATGCCTGAAGAGGTGTGCGGTCGCCCTGAGCCAGAGGCGGAAGTCATGGAGCGCATGCTAAAGCGATGTTGGAGGGGACTAGCCGGCGTTATGTATTCTGATTCAGCGCTCGAACGACTCGCACGCTTCGAATGCGATTGTGAGGTTCCTGGGCTACCCGAGCGAGTTGCATCGTCGGGCGTAGGTGGGCGCTGGGGCGCTACGGTTGCCCGCCAGCGCTCGACGATACCCGAACCGGAGCCAGAAGGACCGGATGCCAGAGAAGCCGTCGAACGATTACGCGCAGGGAGGCCGTGGAAGGTGTTGGCCCGTGTAGGCGTGGGTAGTGGCGGCACGGGCGGTATTGCAGAAGTGTCGAGGTAGTCAAGGCCGCCCGCTACCGAGCCAGAGTTTGACGGACCAGGATCCGGAGCAATATCCGGCGCAGACGCACGGGAAATGTTCGTCCACTCGTCCGATTCTGTAAGCAGGAGCATCGAGGTCACGAGCAGGAAATCAAGCACGCTCAGAGGAACTCCATTATGCATCCTCTGCGTATTTGGCGCATGCGGGTCAAACACGGGATGGAATATTCGCAGCTCGGGGCCAGACAGGCTCGAAGTCGGCTCGAGCACTGCGACGGGGCCCTTGACTGTCTGCGTTGTGCACTTTCGGGGATAAGATCAGGACAACTCGCTTAAGAATAAGACTAAAAGACGTACGTGCCACACGTTTCCGACCTTCTTCCAGCGCAAACTGTGCGGGTGATGTGGCAAGTAAAACTTGAGAAAGCTCCTTTGGACTCGGTCAGTTGTCCGTGCGATGCAGTTGACGGGCGGACTCACGATGCGATGGACGAGTAGGAGTATCCGAGAAAGTCGTCGGCCGGCTTCCACTGTCCCTTTCCAAACGCAAGCATGATGCCGGACAGGTCCTTCTTTCCCCTCGAGAAATAATTTGGCTCCTCCCTCCAGCGGACGCGGGCGACGTTGATGAAGCCCTTGTTATCCGAGCGCCTAATCCGCGTATTGTTCTCCTCGGTCTCGATGACGTAGAGCGCATTATCGGACACGCCGTCGTGGACGACCGAGTCGAGGAAGGATATTGTGGAGAGTTTGAGTGCGAGGAGGGGGGTGGGTGCCCCTGGAGCGGAGGGCCCTTGGGAGTTGTCCTGAGACAGCTTGCGGAGGGCGTTGGAGACGAGGGACGGCGCTGTCCTGGGCCGTGCGTCTGGCTCGAAGAAGGACGCGCCGGGCGGTGGCGACTTGTCCTTGTCCCAGGGCAGCCCGATCCGCATGTTGGCCGTCGCGGTCAGAGCAGCAGTTCGAAAGATCGAAATATCATCCTCCGGTCGGGCGCCTCTTCCGCTCCTGCGATCGACTCTCCTCCGCCCATCACTTGATACACTCCGGAAATCATCTAAATCATCTGCACCTGTCATCCTCGACGGCAGCCGTATTCCTCTCTACGCATGCTTCGCCGTCACCGCCGCCGCCCGCATGTTCGCCCAATATGGCTTTACAGGGCCTCGGAATTCTAGATCGCCGATGCCACGTGCGCGCTGACCATATCCTGCACTGTCACCCCGTCGCGTCGCGTCTCCCCCACCTGTTCCAAAACCAACACCATCCAAAGCGCGTTTTTTGACCACACAAAATGTCCACTGACCCCACCGCACCTTCCAACGGGTAAGAGCACATTCATAAACCGTGTGCACGCGCGTGAAAACTCACATATATTTCATTTTAGCTCGGCGACCGACCCCATGGCTGACGCGTCCGCCGCCCTTCTCCAGGCCGCAAACGCGACGCCGTCCAAGGGGAAGGACAAGGCGTCCGTCGCACCCGCTGCTGAAGAGGAGGAGGACAGCAGTGATGAGGAGGAGGAAGAGGCAGAGGAAGACTTGGCGATGGAGGAAGACGTGAGTCGCGTCTTATTAGGCTGTCCTCGCTAGCGTCCCCGCTGACATCCCTTTCAGGATCTCGGGGAGATTGATCCCTCTGCCATTCTGGCACCAGGCGCGCGCCGTAGCACACGTGGCGCACGTGTCAATTACGCGTCTGCAGAGGCTCTCGAGAAGGCTGGACTGAAGCCCGAAGATCTGGAGGACGAGCAGGAGGAGAACTACGTCGCCGACGAGAAGATGGAGGACGACTAGGCGTCTGAGACCTCCAACGGACAAAACATCTTGTGCAAGCGCCTGCGAATTCCTTCCCAAGTTCTTGTTACGGCCTCACGAGCATTCTTCTCGTTCATGCTGAAGCTTGATGTACTCTACGCCTCGGCGCGCCATTGTGCAGTACTGGCTATTCGTCTACTTGTTGTGCTGCTATCCAATGTAATGCTACTTGATGCAACTATTCGGGGCATCACGTTCTTCAAACATGCCCCGTGCTCGTGAAATAAAGCAATACACCTCCCTTCGTAGCGACCTGGAGCGACAGATTTGACACGCCCGTCATCAAGCGCTCATTTTGAGTATCTCCGTTGAATTCGGCCCATTCAGTCGCAGATTTATGAGGAAGCGGCGCTGCTGCCTCGGAGTTCGGCTCCGTTTACACGTGCAATACGACGTACGGGTATAGCGCCCATTAAGCGACGGGATACGCCACGTCGCAACCACCACCGCTACCACCACTACCAGCACCATAGCCAGAGACAGAACCTTGCAGCATGTTAGGTATGGAATGTACATGTCGCGCGACTTGGAGAAGCGCTGACACCCTCCCTCGTCAAAGCGAACAGGAAGCGCCAGCGCAGTGATAGCGTCGCTGTCCATGCCCTTCCTAAGAAGGTCAAACAAGCTTCTCCCGAAGCTGATGTGAGCGCCACCTCGAAGGACGACAAGAGCGCCGTCCCCGAAAACGAAGAGAAGTCACAAACGTCCGGCCCCTTCATCTACACCACGCCAAAAACGGACGCACAGTCATCCGACATCCACCTCCTGTTCTTTTCCTTCGATATCGAGGAACGGATGGGTATCAAGGCGTGGCCCCGCGCAGCCGTTCGCGAGATATGGGCGCTCATCAAGGATCTTCCCGAAGATGAGCAAGAGGCCAAGCTTGAGGCCCTCGACTGCGTCAAGACGTTCCCACTCGTACAAGTCAACTATAGCGACGAGGACGTTGAGAGTGGGGAAGGGGGGAAGATGTATGATGTGGCGATCCAAGCTATTGACGCAGACGATGAACACTCGGGGTGGCAGGACGTCGTACTGCAGAGGGAGAAACCGCAAGGAGGCGTTCCTGCCCTTGAGTTAAAGCTGGACGGTGAGCCGCAGGGTAGTGAGGATCCAGGCTGGCCGTACCATGGTCGATGGTGGTGGGTGTCGTCGCAACCGGCCAGCGCGGAAGACGAGCCAGCCATCAAGAAAATAGGCTCTGTAGGTCTGAGCGAGTGGACTGGGCTATGGGAGCCTGAGGGTGATGCTGAAGGGTCAGAGGGCGGGAATGGATCCGGGGCTGAGGACGAAGACGGTTGATGTCAGGCAAGCCACTCCGGTTGCTACGTGAGCTGCGGTAGTAGCGTTGCATTCAAGCTGCCCGCGTTTTGGCTAGCCTGCTCTTTCCGCACCATCTATCGCTCTATAGTGCTTCTATGTCTGTATTTCACCCATACGTACCACCATAACATCAGCAACAACAGTGCTAGTTATCTCATGTGACCGTGTTCTGACCCGGGAACAAAGCATGTTGCCGACTGTTGCCAATGCTTATCAGCAAACCTACCCGTGCATTCACCTGAGAGCGTGAGCGCGAGTAGAATGATACAGCTTCTTACAGAACCTATCTTCGAGACATTGGACGTAGGGAAGAACCGCACATTCATGCACCGCAGATCGACTTCGGTGACCACGCGCGTGGGTCGCGAGGCGCGTCTCCGAGTAGAAACCTCTCTTCTTGACCACCACCAGACGCCAATTCCTACCGGACGACCAGTACGGCGCCAACTGCGGAGGGATATGGCTCTTATGATTCGTCTCAGCCTTCTGGGAGCGCCAACATAGCGAGAGTAAAGCCCCCACATCAGCGAAGGAATCGCAACGCGAACCAGAGCCGGACAGCACCCTAGGCCTTACCTCGAGCGATTGCAGGAAAGTGCATGCGGCTGTCGCCCACCAGAGAATAGGTCGAAGCAGGTGCTGGAGAAGATGACGGTCCGCGAGAGACTTGCAATGGTGCGTATGCGTCAATGCCACGGAAACTACGACTTGCCTGATAGGGCTCTGGAAGTGTGTACCGAAGTCAGCTTTGCCAACGGGGACGATCATCAACAGCCGCTCAATGCAGCTTCATCCGAGGACTAAGATGGCTCAGGTACGGAGATTATGTACGACGCAGCACTTTGAGGGCCGATTGGCGCGCCGAAAGACTACTGTGTATGCTTAGATGCGGTACTAGGGAAGCAGAAGCCCGGAGGCGATACCCATATACTCGAACTGGAGACGAAATGAGAGGAGCGTGGTCGACCGTAGGGTCACGGGCGGTGGTGACGGGTCTCGTCGGAGCGGTCTAGTACAGAGGACAGTGCGGCGGCGAGGCGTCTATCTTTGAATCTCAAGCAGATGACATGGATGTTCGACCCTGAAGGTAACATCTACTATCAGAGGCAACTTCAATCCAGATTCTGACACCGGTCCGGACATTGAACTTGATGCATCACGAATGCGAAGACGACGACGGTGCATTTCTACTCTAGGGCATGAGTAGCTACGGATACATTACGCAGTAAGTCTTCCCGAACCTCACATCTACTAAAATCTCGTATGTCATCGTATCAGCGTAAATACCGTATCTGCTATCTCATGTGACCGCGTCCTCCGACGTCGGCTGGACCCACCCGTATGTCCGACACGGCGACACTTTGCGTTGAGACGTTCATCGCCACTCATTGTCCATCCCTCCCGTCCAAGTACGACCCGTGCCCTAGGCATTCAGCGTTTCGCCATGAAGTCCGCTCGGCACACCCAGTGCTCAGACCGCAATTAGGCACGAAGGCCCGCGGCGTGCAGTTACGAACTGTCACCATCACGCACGTGTGACGGTTCGTGTTTATGCATGCACCGGCCAACGTCCACGCCCGACTTCCCGCTTTCATCTCTCCGCGGAACGACGCGCGCTATGCTAACCTAAATAATTTCAAAACAAACCTATGAGAAGTGCGCATGCAGGTCTTCAGGGAGTCCATAACAAGATTCTCTTACTTATCCCTCCCAGTGCCTCGCAAACCGTATCACACCCGGATGTTCGCTCGCGCGTTCATCTCGTTCTGCACCTCACCCGGCTGGCAGACGGGTGCAATCATATTTGCAAAGGCCTGAGAAGCTATACAAACAGGGTTGAAGCAGGCACCGAATCGTATGGGGTACCATGGGAGCACCAATCGTGACTCGGGCGCACAGAGTCTACGATGGAACGACGGGTATGCCCAATAGGATCACTAGGTAATCGGATCGTTCTTCGCTAGATCTATGCAGCCACTGTAATGACCATTTAGTGCTCAGTCAGTGGAGCGCATCTCAAGTACTGAACACGCGTGGCTAGATACAACGAGAAGTGTTCGCGAGTTAGTCAGCTTCCAATCGAAGACGGGCCGCACAGGAAAGAACCTCTGTATTCTATGAGACATGGTCGGTTGACAACAGCCATATGAGAAGGGCTATCATGGGCTTAGACTGACCATTGACAGCGTTCAGGGCCCTGATGCTCCTTGCCAAAAGCCTCGTCGCCGGAAGACGCGGTCCGCGACAAACGCTCAAAGGAAGATCAGAGCGCGCCGAGAGCGTCTCGACGCGGCCCGGCGGCGAAGAACCAAGGCTCAATGGAATCCCAACGTGCAGAAGCTTCGAAGACAGCCAGGTAGCGGGAGATCTGGAGCTTAAAGTGTGGGAGGGATTGAGTTGTGGCTGTCTTGCTCGCGGTCCTGGGTCTGTCGGGGCATAATACACGCGTCGGTGCCGTGCCGCGCAGCGCGCGTAAGTATGTGTATTCTCTATAGGGTGCTTTTGTCTCTATATTACACGCAGCAGATAGGCGGTGGGGAAGTGATTGTGGCTTGACCAATGGCTGCGTCGAGGCTCGATAAGCACTGTCGAAACGTGTACATCGCGAAACATCCTTTGTATCGAGGATCTCAAGGATGACAAATGGGGCGCCTTCGCATCGTTCAGTGCATCTTGGAGTATGCGGAAGAACGGTTCTAGTACAAGCACCGGGGTGGACGATACGTAGTACAGATCACCGCGTGCTGTGCCACTGTGGAGCTCAGAGTGGCACCTGGGGCCTGAAGCTTACAACTTTGATCGGGGAACATCAACTTGGATTGGAGTGAAGACGAAGGCTCGATGGTCGCGTGAGCGCCGATGGGGATGCCCAAGCGCACAACGCAAGTGCTCAGAGCGAGTCGGCGAGGTCCTTCGGGGTGCGGCAACCTTGAGAAGGTCGAGCAGACTAGAGTTGGACGAACACGAGGTTGGTCGGCTGTGCTACTGTATGCAGTGGTGATAGCGGCTCTGTCCGCGGACCGGAGAGAAAGCTTTGAACAATGTGCGGGGCGCAGCATCGTCGAGGACGACAGCTCGTCTGGGCCACCATCACAAGCTCGAGGCGTCAGGGTCGTCTTCGGTGCGATAGTGCCCGCTTATGCAAGCTCGTATCGTCTGGTGTTCTCAGTCGTAGCACGTTTGATGGAAGAGACGTACGGAGGTACCATGAAGTCCGCATACGCGCAAGTCAAGGCGAGGAACATGTGGAAGAAAGATGAAACGTCCGAACAGCGAGGTCGCGCACGACGGGCGTTGCAACGAAAAACGTGTCTGCGACAGCAAGCTGAAACGTATTGTCGTGAGGAAAACATCCGCCACTTCTAACGGTAAGTGCCGACTAGATAGACATCGAAGGCCCGGCTTTTGGAACCATAGAAGATTCTTAATGACAGTCTCTAAAGTGGATCGTCGATGAAATGCTTCGGTCAGGCTTTCTACCGAGCCCGCGAAACGCCGAAATAGTATAGCGAGGAACAGCGATACCTTGGCCGAACTTCGAGACGATCTCAAGGCCTGCACAGTCCACACAAAAGCAGCCCTATCATTCGCGTAAGTCTGAAAGGCGCTCAAGAAGCTTCTGCGGCAGGGCGAAGCCATACTGTGCTCGCGGCGTGGGCTCTGCATCTCGGGCAGGGGAGGACATCGTAACTTTATTCCTGATATGCCTTCGCGTGAGCATGTTCTAGTACGTTTGCGGAGGATGAGAGCCGAGTGGCGGGTTCCATGAAAGCAAGCTCAGGTGCGGACTGTGCCCCGAGCAGCAACGTGCAATAGAATGGTGCCAGGGAAGGTGTGCAGCTGATCGAGGTTGCAGACGCTTACTCGTAATAGCACCTGCTGCTGTGGGATCGCCCTTTAGATCGTTGACGGTGGCTCGAAGTGGGTGCGGGTTGGAGTACCTTTAAGCCGCTTGTTGGAGCGTAACGCCCACAGCTTCATGTTCGCATAAATTACTTGACGAGAGCATTGATGTGTAAGGCTCGACGTAAACGATGTCGAGAGATGAAACTCTGCGAGCAACAAACGATGTGGTCCAGCATAGACCTCCGCGTGCACGGTAGCGGCGTCACGATGCGGCGTGTGAGGGAGATCGCCAAAGAACCTGGTCCACGGAGAGTTCACTCGTAATCATGTCGTAGGTTCGAGTTGCGTTTCGGCGATGTAGCGGAAAGAAACCGCGCCGACTGCTCGTTGCCACGTTGGCAAGCTGTAGAAAAAGGCCAATTGTTTCGCTTCCACGCAGGTAGACAGACGCCGCGGCATATAGAATGTAAGGCGCGTGGGGAGTGTACTCGTAATTGCACGATTACTCTCGATGTGGTCTTGCGATCGGGTCCAGTGAACTGCGTGAACCGAGCGGGGACCGCATCTCGGTTGTATAACGCACAAATACCAGTTGAAGAGATCTTGCAGTACCTGCGCACGGCGGGTAACCAGTCATCTTATGCCTCGACGTAAGCAAGTCCGGGAGATGAAAGGCGAACGGCAACGACCACAAGCTCATCCTCGCCCATCGGGTTTGCCGCGATGCGGCGCAGCTGGCGGGGAATTATTATGGCGAACACTGGGGTGCGTTATAGGCCAAGGGGGAACGCGTAATCGGCCTGCCCGTCTCTCGACCCCGGCAAGCGCATGAGTGTTATTACTGTCGGACGTGCCATACGTCCGCAAGGCGCTTGCTTTATGGCGGCTCTTCGGTATTCGAAGACGATCCCTTAGCTGGGCCGGTACACGCGGTAGCACGCGGAGCTGGGTGTCTGATTGAATTCGAATTTCGGCGCTTGGTGCTTTTGCTGGTGCTCGCCGCGGTCTTAAGCACAGCAGACGTGAGTAGAACGAGAAAAGGGTCGGTCCACGGCTATATGCTAGTAGTCGCGCCACAGCCTAGACTCGGAAGATGATGCTTCGGCGATTTCGAGGAGCTGATAGACGGTGGTGCCTCAGCGAAAGAGCCGCTTCGGTGGTGTCGGTGAGCAGGGATCGTAAAACCTGCCATCGCTACCGTCAGAAAAGATGCAAAAAATGGGGTGTGTTGCACGCACGAGGGTTGCGCCACAGCCTGGGCCCTGGCTAAGTTGGTGGAGCATTCGAGCTGTGGCGCTCGCTAAGTGCCACCTTTGTGGCGCGCAGCAGCGAGGCTTATTACATAAACCCATCAAAACCGAGCTTTAGAGCATCTCAGCGCGCTCGGGGAGGAGCAGATAGACGCTGGCAGTCTGGTAACAGTTCGGCACAAATATCTAGCATTCGTTGGGGTGCTCACCCTCACATGATAGCCGATGAGGCACACAACATGAGGCTGGAGAACACGAGATGGAGGATCTTGTACGGCCTCTGTACCCTCGGCGTGGAAGCCACGCGTCATTTTGGGCCACATAGCGTCGAAGGCTCTCCCGATGTCTGTGGCCCAGCGCCATTCATTGTAAAACGGTCAATCATGACAGCCTCCCCATTCGGCGAGGCTGTCCGACACGCCTCGAGTTGGCGACGAGGCGTGTGCGTTGATCGAGACGCGCATATGTACCCGTCAGACTGGACGTTACTGTGGAAAGGGTAACACGTCGATTCGTCTCTTGCCAAGAGGCGCGGAATGAGCCTACGGCAGTGCTGATATTATTTCATTCCCGTCCAGGCCCGACCAAACTCATCCTGACAAAGATCGTACATGAAGCATGGAATTAATGACTGTAGATCTGCATCGCCGATGAACTGTATTGAGAATAACTTGCACAAATCAGTGGCTGGCCACTGGCGACAGGGAAAACTGACTCACAAGCCTAGAAGGTAACCGCAGATCTTGACTGAGGACGACGGTATAGCGTCCGCGGCCATGCTGTCCCTCTATCATAGTGTTCAAACGTTCTCCAAAGCGTCACGAGAGGTCAAGCCCTCTGCGTTCTCGGGAAGGTGTGGGCGGACGCTCAAAGTGTGGGTGGATCGTCGCACGCCGGAAAGTGCGGAGTTGGGACTCGTACGCCGGCTCACGACCGGGAATCAGGGAGGACGTAAGACGACCTGAGGTAGATCGCCAGAGGAGAGCAGCGACGCCGGCGAGCTTGTGCTCAGGGCGGAGAAAAAGCAAGCACGATGGGCGACGGCTGCCGCGAACGTCGCGGCAATGGCCTTCCGTCTTCGTCCGTCCGTCTCTTGGTAGCGACAGCTGAGAAAATGGCTGTCACAGGACGCAGAGGATACTGGAAGGGTTCCGAGAAGCCGTAGAGGGACCCACACGCGAAAGATGGTGGACAGTACGGTGCCTGTACGCAGTACACACGCGTTTGCGTTGTCCTTCCAGAAGGAGGGTGCTATAGGTGATCGGGACCTTCGGCGGGACCGGGTGGTCCTCCCCATTTTCCTGCGAAAAGGGCGATAATAATCGGAGGTGCAAAGACTAGCGGAAGCATCATGCGATAGGGCGGACGAGCGCCCGAAGAGAAAAGAGGCGAGGCGGTCTACCGGGGCCCGTGTCGGAGAAAGGGCTATCGATATTGTCGATGGTAACGCGTCCGGGATAGGCGATAGCGGAGGTGAAAGCCTAGGAGAGAGATCATTGTGGCCTGAAGAGAACCTGGGCGGTCGTGGGCGCAGCGCGCGTCTGTGGCCAACGGCTGGAGGAATGATAAATGCAACAGCTTGGACTCAAGATGGAATAGGACGGGCGGGCCGGTTGAGCCGACCCGGCGGCACCGCGCGTGGAAGTGTTGGTGTGAGAGTTTCTGGATGGAGAACAAAGGGCGGACGGCGACCTTGTCAACGACGGCGAGTGCAGCCAACGCCTGACCGACTTTCTCCTCCCCACTCCATGCCTGTGCACTCCAAGCGACTATCCAGGTCTTTTCTGGACTATCTCACCCTAAAACCGGCCAATAGCGCGCCGCCCAGCCCGCCCCCGACACCAGCCCCCGCCCAGGAC